ATACCTTTTTTCGGGTTTTTATAATTTTAGTCAGAAACTTATAACAGCATCAACAAACGCAGTATGCAGATTTGTTAGTGCTATAAAAACTTGCGCAGAAAAGCTTTCCGATTCAAAATTAATGCAATTTTGGCTTAATTATGATGTTAGGAAAACTCAGATTATTTAAGAAAATTGTCTGTTATTATACCTTTTCGCAGATTATAGCGTCAGTCCGAAGATTAAAACGCAGTGAAGGAGTCATTTCCGACCCTATAAACCATATATATTCTTGATCAGCATCAACAGCCCAATCGTTCTAGCCAGGTCCGGTCGAAAAATAAATTTTTGACATTTTTCCGAAAATTGAAAATTTCATAAAGGGAAAAATTGTCTGTTTTTATACCTTTTTTCGGGTTTTTATAATTTTAGTCAGAAACTTATAACAGCATCAACAAACGCAGTATGCAGATTTGTTAGTGCTATAAAAACTTGCGCAGAAAAGCTTTCCGATTCAAAATTAATGCAATTTTGGCTTAATTATGATGTTAGGAAAACTCAGATTATTTAAGAAAATTGTCTGTTTTTATACCTTTTCGCAGATTATAGCGTCAGTCCGAAGATTAAAACGCAGTGAAGGAGTCATTTCCGACCCTATAAACCATATATATTCTTGATCAGCATCAACAGCCCAATCGTTCTAGCCAGGTCCGGTCGAAAAATAAATTTTTGACATTTTTCCGAAAATTGAAAATTTCATAAGGGGAAAAATTGTCTGTTTGTATACCTTTTTTCGGGTTTTTATAATTTTAGTCAGAAACTTATAACAGCATCAACAAACGCAGTATGCAGATTTGTTAGTGCTATAAAAACTTGCGCAGAAAAGCTTTCCGATTCAAAATTAATGCAATTTTGGCTTAATTATGATGTTAGGAAAACTCAGATTATTTAAGAAAATTGTCTGTTTTTATACCTTTTCGCAGATTATAGCGTCAGTCCGAAGATTAAAACGCAGTGAAGGAGTTATTTCCGACCCTATAAACCATATATATTCTTGATCAGCATCAACAGCCCAATCGTTCTAGCCAGGTCCGGTCGAAAAATAAATTTTTGACATTTTTCCGAAAATTGAAAATTTCATAAGGGGTTACATCATTAAAATTGCCAAAATTTGACAATAAATAGATTTTTTTAAATTTGAAAACTGAGTATGCAGCTTTGTTAATCTGCTAAAAACTAGCATAGAACAGCTTCCCGAATTAAACTGAATGATTTTTTGGCTTAGTTATGAGTTTTTTAAACTATGATTTTGGGAAAAATTGTCGTTTTTATACCTTTTTTCGGGTTTTTATAATTTTAGTCAGAAACTTATAACAGCATCAACAAACGCAGTATGCAGATTTGTTAGTGCTATAAAAACTTGCGCAGAAAAGCTTTCCGATTCAAAATTAATGCAATTTTGGCTTAATTATGATGTTAGGAAAACTCAGATTATTTAAGAAAATTGTCTGTTATTATACCTTTTCGCAGATTATAGCGTCAGTCCGAAGATTAAAACGCAGTGAAGGAGTCATTTCCGACCCTATAAACCATATATATTCTTGATCAGCATCAACAGCCCAATCGTTCTAGCCAGGTCCGGTCGAAAAATAAATTTTTGACATTTTTCCGAAATTGAAAATTTCATAAGGGGTTACATCATTAAAATTGCCAAAATTTGACAATAAATTGATTTTTTTAAATTTGAAAACTGAGTATGCAGCTTTGTTAATCTGCTAAAAACTAGCATAGAACAGCTTTCCGAATTAAAATGAATGATTTTTTGGCTTAGTTATGAGTTTTTTAAACTATGATTTTTGGGAAAAATTGTCTGTTTTTATACCTTTTTTCGGGTTTTTATAATTTTAGTCAGAAACTTATAACAGCATCAACAAACGCAGTATGCAGATTTGTTAGTGCTATAAAAACTTGCGCAGAAAAGCTTTCCGATTCAAAATTAATGCAATTTTGGCTTAATTATGATGTTAGGAAAACTCAGATTATTTAAGAAAATTGTCTGTTTTTATACCTTTTCGCAGATTATAGCGTCAGTCCGAAGATTAAAACGCAGTGAAGGAGTCATTTCCGACCCTATAAACCATATATATTCTTGATCAGCATCAACAGCCCAATCGTTCTAGCCAGGTCCGGTCGAAAAATAAATTTTTGACATTTTTCCGAAAATTGAAAATTTCATAAGGGGTTACATCATTAAAATTGCCAAAATTTGACAATAAATTGATTTTTTTAAATTTGAAAACTGAGTATTCAGCTTTGTTAATCTGCTGAAAAATAGCATAGAACAGCTTTCCGAATTAAAATGAATGATTTTTTGGCTTAGTTATGAGTTTTTTAAACTATGATTTTTGGGAAAAATTTTCTGTTTTTATACCTTTTTTCGGGTTTTTATAATTTTAGTCAGAAACTTATAACAGCATCAACAAACGCAGTATGCAGATTTGTTAGTGCTATAAAAACTTGCGCAGAAAAGCTTTCCGATTCAAAATTAATGCAATTTTGGCTTAATTATGATGTTAGGAAAACTCAGATTATTTAAGAAAATTGTCTGTTTTTATACCTTTTCGCAGATTATAGCGTCAGTCCGAAGATTAAAACGCAGTGAAGGAGTCATTTCCGACCCTATAAACCATATATATTCTTGATCAGCATCAACAGCCCAATCGTTCTAGCCAGGTCCGGTCGAAAAATAAATTTTTGACATTTTTCCGAAAATTGAAAATTTCATAAGGGTTACATCATTAAAATTGCCAAAATTTGACAATAAATTGATTTTTTTAAATTTGAAAACTGAGTATGCAGCTTTGTTAATCTGCTAAAAACTAGCATAGAACAGCTTTCCGAATTAAAATGAATGATTTTTGGCTTAGTTATGAGTTTTTTAAACTATGATTTTTGGGAAAATTGTCTGTTTTTATACCTTTTTTCGGGTTTTTATAATTTTAGTCAGAAACTTATAACAGCATCAACAAACGCAGTATGCAGATTTGTTAGTGCTATCAAAACTTGCGCAGAAAAGCTTTCCGATTCAAAATTAATGCAATTTTGGCTTAATTATGATGTTAGGAAAACTCAGATTATTTAAGAAAATTGTCTGTTTTTATACCTTTTCGCAGATTATAGCGTCAGTCCGAAGATTAAAACGCAGTGAAGGAGTCATTTCCGACCCTATAAACCATATATATTCTTGATCAGCATCAACAGCCCAATCGTTCTAGCCAGGTCCGGTCGAAAAATAAATTTTTGACATTTTTCCGAAAATTGAAAATTTCATAAGGGGTTACATCATTAAAATTGCCAAAATTTGACAATAAATTGATTTTTTTAAATTTGAAAACTGAGTATGCAGCTTTGTTAATCTGCTAAAAACTAGCATAGAACAGCTTTCCGAATTAAAATGAATGATTTTTTGGCTTAGTTATGAGTTTTTTAAACTATGATTTTTGGGAAAAATTGTCTGTTTTTATACCTTTTTTCGGGTTTTTATAATTTTAGTCAGAAACTTATAACAGCATCAACAAACGCAGTATGCAGATTTGTTAGTGCTATAAAAACTTGCGCAGAAAGCTTTCCGATTCAAATTAATGCAATTTTGGCTTAATTATGATGTTAGGAAAACTCAGATTATTTAAGAAAATTGTCTGTTTTTATACCTTTTCGCAGATTATAGCGTCAGTCCGAAGATTAAAACGCAGTAAAGGAGTCATTTCCGACCCTATAAACCATATATATTCTTGATCAGCATCAACAGCCCAATCGTTCTAGCCAGGTCCGGTCGAAAAATAAATTTTTGACATTTTTCCGAAAATTGAAAATTTCATAAGGGGTTACATCATTAAAATTGCCAAAATTTGACAATAAATTGATTTTTTTAAATTTGAAAACTGAGTATTCAGCTTTGTTAATCTGCTGAAAAATAGCATAGAACAGCTTTCCGAATTAAAATGAATGATTTTTTGGCTTAGTTATGAGTTTTTTAAACTATGATTTTGGGAAAAATTGTCTGTTTTTATACCTTTTTTCGGGTTTTTATAATTTTAGTCAGAAACTTATAACAGCATCAACAAACGCAGTATGCAGATTTGTTAGTGCTATAAAAACTTGCGCAGAAAAGCTTTCCGATTCAAAATTAATGCAATTTTGGCTTAATTATGATGTTAGGAAAACTCAGATTATTTAAGAAAATTGTCTGTTTTTATACCTTTTCGCAGATTATAGCGTCAGTCCGAAGATTAAAACGCAGTGAAGGAGTCATTTCCGACCCTATAAACCATATATATTCTTGATCAGCATCAACAGCCCAATCGTTCTAGCCAGGTCCGGTCGAAAAATAAATTTTTGACATTTTTCCGAAAATTGAAAATTTCATAAGGGGTTACATCATTAAAATTGCCAAAATTTGACAATAAATTGATTTTTTTAAATTTGAAAACTGAGTATGCAGCTTTGTTAATCTGCTAAAAACTAGCATAGAACAGCTTTCCGAATTAAAATGAATGATTTTTTGGCTTAGTTATGAGTTTTTTAAACTATGATTTTTGGGAAAAATTGTCTGTTTTTATACCTTTTTTCGGGTTTTTATAATTTTAGTCAGAAACTTATAACAGCATCAACAAACTCAGTATGCAGATTTGTTAGTGCTATAAAAACTTGCGCAGAAAAGCCATTTATAATGTGAGTTTTTGGACGATTTTTGCAAATTTTCATGATGTAACCCCTTTCCTTTTTTCCGAAAAATGGGAAAGGGGTTAAAAGAAAGTGAAGGAGACATTTCCGACCCTATAAATCTGATGCAGTTTTTTTAACCTGCTAATAATGAACATACGAGCGCTTTCTGAATTAAAATGAATAATTTTTTGGCTTAGCTATGATCGAATTAAAAATCGGTTCCTTGATCATATTGAAACCAAAATTTGGCTTCTCGAAGTTTGCTTCCGTTCTTGTCATGTATTTAAATTAGTTTGTAGTTTTTGAAATCAGAGATTTATTTCAACGAAAGTGTTTGTTAAAATCACAAGCATCAATGCCAAGGTTCTTCTTTGCGGCTTTTGGAATCAAAGCCTTATTGATTGTCGTATATCCTTTTAATCGTTTTATTTAAGAAATCAGCACAGATCAAAAATATTGTCCTGGACATATCCAGGTGCAAGCCAAAAGCAGCTCAAACCACCGGATAGGAGCACTCGTCGGCCACCAGGCAGAAGTTCTTGCCGCGCGGCAGACGGAAGTAGCCCTGCTCGCCCCAGGTGTCGTCCCAGGAGTTCTTGATGATCCAGTAGTCGTGACCGTTCTCCGAGCCGTACCCAACGACCAGGATGGCGTGGTTGGGCTCCGCGGAATTATTGCACTCCTCATCATCGTAGATGCCGCCGTCATAGCTCTTCAGACTCTCTATGCCGTAGACCGAGCAGGCAACGGGTCCCAGGGTGGCCACCACCTTCTTCAACTCCTCTTCGTCCTTGGGCGGAATGGTGCCGAAGCCACTGATGTGGGCTCCCGCCTTGCTCTCGTCGTACTTGCAGGTGTCCTGCTTGTCCAAGTACGGATAGGTTGGCAGCTGAGAGACGCCCTTCTGGTCCTCGTTGATCCAGCAGAAGGCGGCCTCCTGGAAGCCACCATCACAGCCGTTCAGAGCAAAGTCCTCGGCTGGACCGCAGTCCACCAGGTTCTGCTCGGAGAGGACGGGCAGGGAGCCAGTCTTGCGGAAGACATGACCCTCGATGGCACCGACTGTGGCGTGGGCCCAGCAGGAACCGCAGGTGCCCTGGAATCTCACGTGGCTAACGCCTCCCTTCGCGCGCCAATCAAAGGAGTCGGGAACATGGCCATCGGGAATGGGCACATCCACACGGCTGGAGGCGGCACGAGCCTTGGCGGCACGGTTGATCTTCAGACCGGTGAGCTGGCTGAGGAACTCGCCCTGGGTCAGATCGGCGAAGGCATTCACCGCCTGCTTGAAGGTGGAAGTGCCAGCGGCATAGGCCGCGTTTCCGGCATCCACCAGGCTCTTGGTGGCCGCGAAGGCACCCTCGTGCAGGGCCTGATCAGCGGCATTGAGGTAGGACTTGCCGGATTGGGACTGCAAGGGGAGAGGCAGGAGTTAGTCGGTTATTATCGGTTAGAAGTCACTCTACAGATCTCACCAAGAAGTCGCCGAAGCTCTGGACGTTGCTGAGCAGCGGCACCTTGGGCACAACGCTGGCAATGCCACTGGCAGCACTCTGGAAGCGGTTAGCCGCATTGGAGGCCAAGTTGCTGAGGCCACCGCCGAGGCCACCTCCGAGGCCACCGCCCAAGCCACCTCCGAATCCACCGAACTGGGCAGAGACCGCAGCCACCAGGAGGGGCAGAACCAAAAGAACTTCATACTGATCTGTGTAGGAAACAACGATTAATGAATGGACGGCGGATCCAACTGGTTTCTCGGGGGAACTACGGAACAGAGATCTCCTCTGCGCTGTAATGACTATATTTGATTGCGTATGAGTTCTCTAATCGGAATACTATATGCAACCTGTCCAGTAATTCCCATCTGACGACTAACCTTACGCGCCCACAGATTAAACGCAAATGTTTTGGGCTCGATCGCCGGACGGAGCTTATATATACTAGTGGCTATTAGCAAGTGAGTCTCTCTAATATGTATAACCCGCCAACCTCGCCCGCACCCAGATCAATCCGAACCATAAATCCCAAGTCCAGTGATTCGGAATTATACTGATTGCCTGATCTCGGCTATACTATAAAGGCTACGCGGAGCGGTTTGGGAACTCGTCTTGGCTCATTAGTGGCGCCGTGTAAGAAGACACTAAATATAGGCGAACTAGAACTAAATCTTGTTCGAATACTAATTATAATCGGGGGTATATACATAGATCTCGTTTAGTTGGATTACGGGTTTGCTGCCCCTATACCGATCTTCCGTTCGCACTGCATTTTCGACAGATTGATTCTCGTTTTTAATTAGTTAGCTCACTTAATCCCTTTTTAATGTTTTATTGTGCACTGATCAATGGCAAACCGGAAAGTATCGAAAACTCGTTGCTCAGAGCGAAATTGACTAAACTGTTAATTATCCACGGGTTCTAAATTAAACTTTAGAATATGAAGACTCTTTAAACTTAATAGAGATCTGTGACGAACCGTTCGGAACGATGGACGGCTGCTAATGTTTTTGATCCGGTCTCAAGTTCGATCTTTTATAGCCTTCGATTTGCCTGCGCTTCGTTAGAGTTATCTTGCGAATTCAATTAATCGAAGAGTTTTGAATATTAACTAGTGATTTTTGATTAAAAATACTACGTCATTCATTAACATCTCATATCTTGATTTTAATATTAGCATCTTTTATCTAGGGTTAGTTTCTTTAGTTCTCAGCAAAAGTCGATTGTAAATATATGTAATTTAATTGGGGAAGCCCCTTCTTCATTTGTTTTAAGGTAAACAAGTTTTTTTTATCTAAATTAGGTGATGCTGCCATAATTATGTCAACTGAAACATTAATATTTATTAGGCTTAAGCTTATTTATAGGTGACAAGAGATAAGCATTTGCGCACAATTTTAAATTAATTAATTTATGTAGATTTAGAGGCACCTGTTTCAGTCGATAATTTTGCTAATTTGTTTACAAATAATCAGCATTAAATGAGTCTTTTAGATGATAGTGTTATCAAGAGTGCTTTTAGCCGAAACGAGTCAAATTTAAATTTGGAAATGAAACTGCATTTAATAAATGACTTGTTTATATTTTTACTCAGCACATAGATCTCCTGATAACCCCAATTTTTGTGTTTTATTGTGAATTTATTTATACCCGATTAACAATTTGAATTTGCACATTAAGTACATTTCGCCAAAGTGTTTTATGATCAAACATATCATTCGTAAAAAACCGGAAATGATAAAAAAAAACTCGTTGTTAAATTACACTCAATTATTGCGACACAAAAGATTATATCATCTGGTGAAGGGGAGAAATATTTTCAAACAAGTTCAAGTTCCGTTTTTAAGGAGTTTTTTAACTTAACATAAAATCAATAAAAGTAAGGATTTTAAACAAATTAAAAAGGAAATTTTAATGATCTATTTTTCGAATATTTGCCATGATAGTTAATTTAGTATGCATACATTTAAGGCCAGCGCTTTGCTTCTGTTTACTTTGAATACTCAAGCTAATTTTATTCTTAATAAAAATAAACATAAAATAGATATCTAATTCGAATCCAAAACTAGTTTTTTCATACTATATGTAAATATAGACTTTGTGGCAAACCTTTTCAGGCGTAAATTAATGCTAAGCAGCTAATAGAATTTAAATTAATGAAACAATAAACACTGATGAATTTTTTATATATAGTTAAAATACTGCTCCCCGAAATTTAAACATTGTAAATGTTTATCTTTTAACAGTTTAATGTTTTAATAAATTAATTAATAAATTAAATATTTATATAACAATTTGTGTAATACTTTTATGCGGACTTGCGGCTCCTGGTCTGGACAGATCGGGATTCCTGGACTTCATGGATGGGCGTGGCTTCTGGCAGGAAAATAATTGGTTTACTCAGATCTACAGGTGGTGCAGCCCAATTTCTGGTCATGGGAAAGCGCTAAATTGAAGTAGAAAATATAAAATTAATATCTTTATAATACCCTTTTAATATTATAGAGATACTCACGCCACTGGGTCCATTGATGGATCCGTGTCCCACCTGGGGATGGGCCAGAGAGAAAGCCAGGCAGGCCAGGAAACTCAGAACCAGGATTACTTTCATGTTGAAGGGATATTGAAAGGACTTTAGGCTGAGGGGACTTAAGATGCTTTTCCAGGCAACTGCTTGGCTTGCAATGATTCTTGCATCTCGACAAGATTCCCTTATATAATCGAACTTTCTCCTTTTGCCTGTACTTCCTGTACTTCCGCTTTGCTTAAAAATAAACCTCGGATCGGGCCCAGAGAGAGAGAAAGGGAGACGTTCTGCCGGAATCCCGGATGGGGGCATTCCCAGTTAGCAGTTACTTACTGTTTTCCTTGGGGTTCTTGGTGCTTAAAGATTCTGCTCAGCGGCAAAGAAACAAAAAGTGGAGGGCCGCTTCACAGCCTTTTTTATATTCGTTCGTTGGACTCTGCGATACATTTCAAGGTTGTCTTGGCATCTGCTGCCACATACCACATACCACATACAAATATATATATATTATGTACATATATATTGTGTGTATATATGCCGTGTGTGCTTCTTTCATTAACCACTTTGAGCCGCGGCAGCAGCAACAACATCAGTCAACAGAACTTCAAACGAAGTCACTCGTCTGCGTCTGCGTCTGCGTCTGCATCTGCGCCTGCGCGAAGGTGGAGCTCGAGATGAAGATGAAGATGAAGATGAAGACCAAGGATGGTGCAGCAGGTGGGCAGGGGTTAGGCGGGGGCAGGAGTAGGAGTAGACTCTAGCCGGGGGCGCCTTTCGGATCTTCTTGGTTTAATGTGTACGTGGAGAAGAAGTCGCTGCCTTTTCAGCTCCACCTTCGTCTCCGACACACATAAAACTTGATGTGATGCGTCTGCGTCGCCGGAATCCTCTTTAAATTAAGAAAGATGATTTGCAGATTTGGATGCAGACACGGACATGGGCAGCAGGCCGCGTGATGTAAGCCCACCGAGGAATTATTTATTTTTATTCTCGTGCAATAAAATTCCCCAAACACACTTTGGGATACTTCTCTCGTTTGAGAGCCTTAGCAGTTAATTTACGATTATTGGCTTTCATCTTCGTTTCGTTTAAGCCGAAAAACAAATCGAGTGACTGGTTTATGGGATCTTCTGGTATCTTATTCATAGGAAAATCAAAGAATCTTGGTAAACCGCTCAGTTAAAGTTGAGTTTACGGTTATAAGATTAATTCCTGGAGAGCAGGTTATAAATCTTTAAAAAGCTGGAGCTAGAATCTTTCATCTAAGAAAATCCTTCAACCTTGTTTACTTATTACTTTTATTAATCAAGAGTTTCCTTTTTTTTGTGGTGGTTGTCATACAATTAAAGCATACAATACAATATATATTTATCGTTATATATAGATTAATGTCTTAGCTCCTTTAATCTCTTTCTTGCTGATCGATAATGCAGGTTTCGCGGGGGTATCTCTGGGTCCTCAGAGAGAAGCGTCATTTCCGGACATGTCCGGCCGGCTTGCGGAAATGCTCAGTTTCTCAGTGGAACCCGGAGAATCCCCCTCCTACCCTTGCCACACCAAACAGTACACACACAACTTAGGCTAGCGGGCTGAATCCGGGTGGTGAACCTCCCGGAGAGCCTAGTTGTGGGCCGCCAGTGGCTTGCCCAGGACACGCATGGCATTGGAGTAGTCCGAGTCGATTTGCGGAATGATCTGCTGCTCATTGGGGCGCAGGGTGCGTATCAGGTCGTTGAGGGACAGCGAGGACTGCGGTGTCAGCTCCTCCTTGGGCTGCAGCAGCTCCTGGGAGCTGGCCATCTTCTGGAAGTCCTGGGCAATCTGCTTGATGCGCTCCTCAATGGCGGCAGCCGGGGACTCCGTGGAACTGGGCAGGACCACAGGTTCGCTGGCATGGGCGTTCACTTGCGACTCGTTGTCCGACTCTGGCTCTGGCTCTGGCTCTGTCTCCAGCTCATGCTCATTGTCTCCCTCCGGCTCCGAATCGTGCTGCTGGGAGCTGTCGGTCTCCTCGGATGCGGGTGCAGGGGCTACTGAATCCTGATCCTGCTGCTGGTGCTGCTGCTGCAACTGCTGCTGCACCTCCTCGATGGCATGCATTTCGGGATGCAGCTCGTTGTCGCTGAGCGGGAAGACATGCTCCTTGATGTCGCCATCGCTGTCATTGCCCAGCTCCCGGGCATGCTCGCCAAAGTTGTCGCCCTCGTGCTCCTCATCGCCCTCGCCATCAACCTCATGGTCATCATGCTCCTCGGCCTCCACATCGACCTGCTCCTGATCCTCCACATCCACATCGGCGGCATCAGTGTCGGGCAGCGAGCGGTCATGGTTCAGCTTGTAGGTGATGGGCTGCTGCTGGAAGTCCTCGACGGGGAGCCGATGACCCACAGCTGGCGAGGACTTGGCCTTGGCGGCGGAGTACATGACGCCACTGGTGGACATGAGCAGAGGCAGCGGCGTGGTGGTGGCGGCGGCATGCAGGTTCATCAGCGAGACAGCCGGTCGGGGAGTGGTCGAGGTGATGGGACGTCTAAACCAAGTAAATAGACATAGAAAATGGAGTAGAGATGAGTTTAGAAGATCTATTCCGGGTCTGGTTTAAAGTTTCAGGTTAGTGCGAAAAGTTGCTTAGCCTAAAAGTTAGTTAGTTGAACACAAATCATCATGACAACATCAACAACAACAACGACAGCGACAGCGACAACGAGAGCGACAACATTCTAAGGAAGCTAAGCCCCAAACCACCAAACAAAATACATTTTTGGCGCTCACATGATGATGGGGACCAGCGGAAGTTGAGGCAATCTCAAAAGGCCGAACTCTAAGGACATTCAGAGAGGTTTTCCCCCTCTATTAACCCTCGGAGATTGCATTAACTTCGCGTACTCTTGGGCCATCACATTGGCGTCTACAAAGAGGTGTTTCTTTTTGTCGGGTCTTTGTGGATCTTAAATCATGGTTTCATCATAGAACTTGGAGTGGCGTTAGTAAGAAGTTAGCTGCTAGCTTCGCATTAGTCTTTAGATGCAGAGAGATGTGTGTGTAGTTATGGTAGATTGGTTACGATTTGGGGTTTAGCTCACCTATTAGTTCGTTCTTTAGCAAATTCTGTTCTCGAATCCCTCGGATTCGCACTCTGCCTGTGTGTCTGAGTGTGTTTGTGTTAGGTGTGTGTTGTGTGTTGTGTGAGTGTGTCAACTAAAGTAACTCGTGGGTTATAGGTCGCGTTATCCTTGCGTAATCTCTTGATCTGGGCTCTGGGCTTAGTTTTAGTTTAGGTTTAAGTTTTAGTTTTAGATTTAGTTCGTTTTACTTAATTAAGGACATTTGTTTAAGTTCTGTCTGCCACTTGAACAGCTCGTATAGCGAATTAATTAACGTTAATTATAGCATAATTTGTTTATTGCATTATCAATATTCTTAATCGTCCTGCTGCTTAAGCTCTCCTCTCTCTCTCTCCAGTCAGTGCTCTTAAATTCTGTTCGATGTGGAGTCCTTAAGTCCTTAAGTCCTTACCCCTGCGCCGACGAGACGGGGATGCTGCCATAGTTGTAGTAGTAGCAGCGGGTCTGCTCGCAAATGAAGTCCTTGACGGCCGAGCAGTCCTCGGGCATCCACTTGAGCGTGGGCTGCTTCAGGATCACGCATCCCTTCTCGGCGCCACTGCTGCTATAGATTTGGATTCGGAACGGAAATGAAGAAGAACGACATCGATGTAGATGGGCTGAGTGGGCAAGGACATCGGACAAAGGACTTACCTGTCGCGAGCCGTGCGCTGGGGCGAGGTGTTGCTGTTGTGATCGACGGGATCGAGCAGACCGGCCGAGATGGCGTCCGCCGAGTTCTCGAAGAAGTCGAAGGTGGCATTGAACGGCAGACCGGTGCTCATCCATAGGAACATGCCCGTGCCCAGGCGATTTCCGGAGGTCCAGAAATCGTAGTTGCCGTAACCGGCGTTCTTCAGATACGTGGTCATCGATTCGGCCTTCTCCTTCGTCTCGAACGAGGCCAGCTGCAGGCCCAAGGAGCGGCAGTATTGGTAGGCCAGGAAGTAGTTAAGCTCCGGGGAATAGGGGTTCATCCTGCTGATGAAGTACTGCACTCCATCCAGATGGATTGTCGTGATGCGTTGACCTGTTTTGCAAAGGGAGAACAGACACGGAGAATGAGTGTGGTTAAGAGTCTTCTTGAAGGTGTTCCGAGTTCACAATAGGTGAATGAACCTACTAATTCTATGTATATATATCTACGAATTTCGAACGCAATTGGAATCGCAATGCGTAACCGAAACAGCGAAAATGGTAACGGTTTCAGCTTCGGACATGGCATGCGTAATCCAAAGAGACGACCCAAAGACAAACATCATTAAATGGGATTACCAAAAAAGTAGCCAAGTAATGAATTGCTGGACAAACGCTCCATAAAACCGGACAGAAGAAGAACAAAACTTTGGACCCCGAATCGGGGGGGACAAGAGTGATTCACAATGATGACGATGATGATGATGACCAGGAGCATTTATGCGGTCCCTGACCCCTAGGGGCTAATTACCCAAGCCCCGAAATGGGGAATCAAGGTGCTGATGACATTAATTAGCCGCTGGTCAGCCGAAATGGAGACGGCGACCCATCCATCCGCCGAATCTTATGTAATCGCCGACCCGGAGAAGTGAAGTGTAGTGAGGTGAGGAGAGGAATGCGAGGCTGCCTGGCCCGGGAACAATGCAAGATGACAGTGCCTGTGACTGAGGGTAACAGGTAGAGATCTCTTGGCTAAGATACCTCTAGTAGACTTAATAGTGTATATACAAAAGAGTGTGTGTGTGTGTGTGTCTTGGCCCTTACAAAGCGGCTCAAAAGATAAACACAAACAGCGGGGCAATATGAGTACTTTGTCTTCCACACTGACGCAACAGAACCCTCCTCATCCGGACAGGGCACTTGGCCATTTATGGCACTTGTCGTGGATGGATATTGGCTACGGAATATGGGATATACATAGGCCCCAGCCTAGACACGAATGTTTGAGGAGATATATAATATGTGTGTACCTGCCTGCCGTGTGTGTGTGCTCGTATATGAAATTATTTCCGGCGATTTAAATGCAAGACACACACGAAGCCAAACTCAAAGTCTGCCTCGGTGCGAAGATTTATGAATCAACAGATTCTAAAAAGAGATCTTGGCACTTTTGAAGTGAATTTATTACGCGTCCAAGCGGATTAAGATTGTGATTTCCATCGGCAAGGGGATGGCTAATAAGACTAATGATCCCAACCCGGCCCAGAAGCTACCCAGGGAAATTCTTAAATTTCATTTTAATGGGGCAATTTAAGCTCGAAGCTCTGGGCCAATCTCAGCGAGGGATCAAATTCAATTCGAGCATTAATTTCCGCCCAAATGAATCCAGATCTTGATGGCAATCTCCTTCGCTACGAAATGGAACTAAATAAAAGCGAGTAAGTAGTATCTAGCCGGGAGAGGAGATAACGAGCCTCGGTCCAATTGCAGTTAATTTGACACCGACTTTAAACGTGAATCCAACTGCGGAATTGGGATTGGGATCGGAATCGGGATCTCGAGATCGGGTTCGGGTTCTGGATCCGGGATCTGGGCTAGGGTAGGCAGTAATTGGGCAACAGAACCGAGCCAGAACCCAAGCCTCCCTGCCTGCAGCTGTCGGGCACCGTAATTTGCCAAGGTAATTACGCCCGGCCAGCGATAGATCGCGAATCTAGCACGTCTCTAATGATGCAGTCAAAGTCAATTCTAGTGTTTGCCGGGACTCTGATCTCTGATGGGGATCGAGATCGAAATGGTGGGGATGTGGCCGTAGATGCGGACGCCATTGCCGGAGGATGTGATGGGGCTAACTCTAGTTATTTGTTGGCACCTAACATCCCTCCGGCCAGTTAGCAGGCAAATCATTATAATGGAGATGGCGACTTGGGATCAGCAGAGGGGAATTGATAAAAAGCCAGACCAGGAACCCAGAACGAGTGCAATTCAGCCGTGGGGTAATCGATGAGTGGAGAGCTCTCAGCAAAGACAGAAGACTGCCAGAGACTGGAGACTAAAGACCGGGGAATGAGGATAAATCGAATCGATGCAAAAACACCGAGCTGACTTAATGACTGCGACTCTGATTCGGATATAATGATGGGAATGCCTTGTCTTCTCCTCGGACTTGAATATTTTCCAGTCTTTCTGTTTTTTGTGATTTCAGATTTTCCCCCCTAGGCTTGACTTAGGCTTCCTTATTTGCAGTTCCTTGGAAGGAACGTCTTTTGTTTACTTGTTAAATGGAAAAAAGTAGGAATAATTATGGGTTATTCCCGGAGATTGAATTATCATTTGCTGGCGCAGAGGTAAGCCGCCAATTAGCAAGGCATTTTACAGAGTACAGTACGCTGAAAACTAATTAATCCATTCCAGGAAAAGACGTTTAATTACGTTAGTTGAAACCACATAGTTTCTAAAGCTTAAATTCAATTCAATGGCTTAAGATTAAAGATTCTATAAGACTTATCATTGAATTAAATGAATTAAGTAAGCCTTTTTTATAGGAGTAAGAAATAAAAAGAAAGGAGTTTTTATAGTCCTACAATTGGCTTTGAAACTTCAAATTTAAATCGGCCATACCTGAGGCAAATGTCCATTAATTTTAATTCGAAAAGCGTTCCCATGCTTGTTTTTATTTCGTTAATAAATCTGCATACTCAATTTTGAATTTTAAAAAATTAGAATTTTTGACAATTTTTGACAATTTTAATGATGTAACCCCTTATAAAATTTTCAAAAAATTGAAAAAAATTATTTTCTTCCAAACACGGCTAGATCGACTCGGAATTTGATTGTGATCAAGAATATACATGATTTATAGGGTCGGAAATGGCTCCTTTATCAAGGAGAGCTAAAAAATGCCCATTATAAGGGCCTTAGATCAATATTTTTATACGACCATTTTTTTGTGAAATCACTTTTTTTCAAATATCATAACTAAGCCAAAAATGCATTAATTTTAATTCGGAAAGCTTTCCGATGTAAGTTTTTAATACGTTAACCAATCTGCATACTCAGTTTAAAACTTAAAATTTGTATATATTTTTGAAAATTTTTACAATGTAACTAACCCCTGATGAAATTTTGAAAAATGGCAAAACAAAATTTTTTCTTTGGAACAATGCTATATAGATTCTGCAATTGATCCTGATCAATAATATATATGATTTATAGGGTCGGAAATGACTTCTTCACTGCGCTTCAAGCACAAAACTTTAATATCCTGAAGATAATGTGTATAGGTTCTTAAGATCTTTAATATAAGCTTCTTTCACTGTGACTTTGTATTATAATATCTATTTAAAATATTACAGGATCACCCATATATCCTTAATTACATGTTAGACACTGTAGGAAACGCGAGTCCCACAAAGACCCATCAATCAAAATTCTGTGACTACTAACCTGCAGCGCATGCCAAGAGGCTCAGCAGGCAGAAGAGTACGATTTTGGCCATCTTTCTTCGGCTTGGATTGGAGTTGGGGGCGCGGAGCACTATCTGATTGCCGCTGGCTACGATCGGGGAATACGAATCGGGTTCTCTGGCTTTTAGGACGCGGCTCAAAGATGGCTCGAAAAGAGTTGGGAGAGTTAAGCACTACACGTCGCGTTCACTGCAAGCCGTCGTCGTCGACTGATCGCGAGTGTCCAAGAACTGCGGACCGAAGAAGAGACCGACGATGAACAAACCGACTCGCTGCTTCCAGAACTCCAGCGATTCCAGTTCCCAGTTCCAGTTTCCTCTTCCAGACGCACACACACACAAGCACACACAGCACAATCGAACACTGGGATACAGGCACAGAGGCAGAGGCAGAGGCAGCGCGACTTGGGTTAATCCTTGGAGCTGGACCTGGAGCTGGGGCTGAAGTACGAGTACGAGTAATTGGAAATGTTAGATCCGCTGAGCTTCTGTTCTGGCCAAGTTAGCGTTGCTAAGTGTCGGGTGGTGCCGAAAGCAGTTAGCTTAAGAAGGAAATTGCCGGATGGAAGTGCGGGTAGGAGAGTGTGGGAAACCGTGTGGAATCGTGGAAGAGAAAGAAGAACCAACCGAAAGATACCAACTATTTGCTTATTTCATGGATGTGATTGGAAATTGGCCTCGCTGGCTCAGTGTGTGTGCGTGTGTCTGGATTCTTCCTGAGCCGAAGTCAGTGCTAGACAAAGAGCGCAACAACGCAGAGGTTCCTCCACACAAAAGCCGGGCTCAAACCGAAATATTGATACACTGAGAGAAGTTGAAAGGGTTTAGGGTTTAAATTATAATTTTCTGAAATGCATACTGCAGTATCAATAATTTCAAATGCTTTATTTAAATTAATTTAAAATTTCCCATATTATTTATTTGTATTTTACTTTGATGCTCTCCTCATTTTTACCTGTGCTCACGCACACCTTTAAATCCCACTGCACGTCGCCCGTCTTCATTCCAATGGGAGTCGGAGCCGCTGTCGACATCGCTGCCCGCGTCGGCATCGCAGCCAGCGTCGGCGGAGTCATCGCAGTCCATTGTTAGTTTTGTTCTTTCTCCCACAACGACGCTTTGGTTTTGAGTTTGGGTTCTTTCTGGTGGTTTTTCCCCCTCCCCCTCCCCTCCCCTGCAGGGTTCCACTCTTTCTCACCCGCCGTCTTACCTGTAGGGCTCGCTGCACGTTTGTCCCCCCGCTGCCCGCTGCCCGCTGCCCGCTGCCGGTGGTTCCAGGGCCAAAGCCAGGGCCCGTACCCCTTCCAATGGGCAATGTGGTTCCATTTCCATTAATTTGGTGCGCTATCGCGACGCTGAGTCGCCGTGGAAATCGCCGCTTTCTGCGGTTCCATAGGCCGTGTCTTTTACTCACTTTTGCTGGAAGCGTGAAATGTAATAATAATAATGATCTTCTGCTTTGCATTTTGACAATATTTCTCGGCTCTTCTGCGGGTGCCAGCCGCAAAACACGACTTTTTTCGGCCTCTAAAATAAAAGGAAAGATAAGAAGAGAAAAGAATATGATAAATGTGTGCATGTGTAATTAAAGGCAGCTCTTCGCGGCCTCTCTGCTTACGGGCTTCTGGCTCTGGAGCTTTCTAATTAACCTTAGAACCTGGTGAAGGATAAATATTGGTTTAATGATTATTAATAGCCGAACGCTTTAAGTGGCTAAGCGGAAATTAGCCTCCAATTAGAAGGGTTACAACGGAACAGGGGCCGCTACACAGCGAGAAGTTGTCCAAAACGAATTGGGCCGATCGTATTAGGTTAAATATGTACTTAATTCTTAGCTTTAATTTATTAAATATATTATAAGTTATTAGGTATTCCTTAACTGTGCATAAATTGCACCCTGCGAAGGGATACGATGTGTATTATCTCTGCCTCAACGACTTCACGGCAGCACGCCCTCTCGGCCTTTATCACTCCCATTTGATTCCGGCTTAATTCTAGCCTGGCCAATAGTTAATCCCATTGGACACATCGCCGATCGGCAGTTGCAGGCTATAATTATGTACGCGTTGGGCTAAACATAATAATGGCCAAGTGATTAACAGTCATGGGAAATGAATGGGCCGCAATTTCCCAGTTTGGATAGGGGGGCATCGATGGAACGGAGGATCGGAGGATTGGAGGATGCCCTGATGCACCTGGAAACCTGTGCGTGCGCAATCGAAGCTTCTATCGCAAGTACAACGCACCAACGGACATTTGGGCCCTTCGTTGAGTTTTAGTGGCTTTTTTGTTGGTAAAACTGCCGCCGGGTGGACCCGACGCTGTGACCGCGACGGACAGTGAAGGAGCTTAATGTGACCACCGCGAACTCCTGGCAATCTGGATTTCCAGCGGAGGGGTGGAGGGAGTATTGGATGGCCTTCGCCTTAACAGCATTCATCCATCTATACACGCGGCCGCCGATGCTGCCTGCTTCGTCTTAGCCTGATCTTCTGATCCTCACCATTTGTATTTGTGTGCGAGTGGATGCACAGAGATAAATATTTGGGTTTTAAGTTTGCCTTATGGGGTAATGTATTACATCAAAATAAAGTTTACATAGGAAACATTACCAAATTATATCGGAATATTAACTGACCCTAAAATCATCAGATATGGTAGATTGGTTAGTGATCGCTCAATTCGATGGGAATCAGATATTTCTCCTTGTGCTTTCCAGGCGTCGTCTTCTGCTTCTTCTAGTCGCCTCCCCCTACTCGTCCGCCCCCTTCCCATCCCCTTCCCTGGCTTCCTTCTCCACCTCCTGGACCCATTTCATTGCTAGTTGCTGTTCTTGTTCCTGCCGCTTGTTGTTTTTGGTCTAAAAATAAACTCGGCACCAGATTGAGGAATTTAATTCGCCTTTTGGTAGAAATCCTCGACTTTGGCTTTGCCAACGGACTTTGGCGCGGCTCTTCTTCCTTTGCTTTGCTGTGGTTCATCTCTCCTCTGCTCTGCTCCATCCTCTTCGTTCGTTCGCTTTGCTGTGCTTTAGGGTGGACCTTCAATAGCGTTTATTTCCCATGCTTAGTAATGGCTTCGCGAGCTCACCTGTCGGCGGGTCCACCCCAATGTGTGTGTGTGCGTTGCTCCCGGGTATCCACATCCATTTTAGCGTCAAGTTTAGCGATGATGCTGATGATGACGACATGGACATGGCATCTGGCCACAAGGATAGAGCGAGAGATGCGAACTAATACACACATTTTCCGCTTGGGATCAAAGGATTAATGTGAAGCGGGCTCTCCGCCTGAGAAATGACACTCAGATATTCTTTTGAGGCGGACATTGCGCATTTCCACTTGCCTGACTTCTAATTAGAAGATGCGCATGCTTGTGTCCTTGGCAGCACGAAGGTCATCGGCATTTGCATCGCGGGTCACACACACACATGGCAGCCGTCGTGCTGGCCAAGCCCACAAAATCGCAGGAACATGACCAGCAAGCCGAGCAGGAGCGATCCCATCCGACCCGATCCTAGACCATCCGCGTCGATCCCCAGTCTCATCCGAACCGTTCATGCATAAATTCATGTCCGATTTCCATCTCCCCTCCCCCCTCCGACTGCCATGAGTCATGTGCATAAATAATAAACTTATTAAAATATGCAAGGTTTTTCAATAAATGTTGTCGTCCCCTAGCTCGGATTTCGTTTCCGATGTTCTTGGGGTATATAGGCCAAGGGAACAGGGGACAGGACCAAGGTAGTATAAATATTTGATGAGATCTTTTGGGCCTAGTTCTGCTGCAGAATTGAATTCAGTTTGACGACTTTGTCAGAGATTTTGTCATAAGGATTTCTTACAAGTGAAGAGAAACATTTCTGGTTCCAGTTAAACTTTTGATTAAATTTAATAGATATATGTAATAGGCCTCATCACTGACTTTGATCAATTGAAAAAATTGACCAACATTTGTTTTCTTTCCTAAATGCCCAGGAAGACCCGCCTGTTGATGCTGATCAAGAATATATATGGTTTATATGATCGGAAACGACTCCTTCACATTTTTTGCGTGTTCTGACTGAAATAACAATACCATGCAAGGGCATAAAAATATATAAATAATCTTATCAAATTATATTTTGATATTTTCATAGATATTTTTATATACTCTGACAAATGCACACTTAAAATGTTATGGAATTATAGAAAACCATATAAAAAGTCAAAAGCCAGTCACAAAATCTCAGCAATTTGCCACAACTAGACCGATCTCTTTGGCGCTTTCCCAAATCATTATCCGCGTAGCCCCAAAAAAAAAACGAGGTAACCCAATGATCCTCCTCCCGCCTCCAAAGAATGGCAATTGGCCTGCTTCGACTCTGGCTCGGACTTCTTCTAACTTCTAACTTCTTCCAAGCTGCCAGCTCCAGCTCCAAGTTCCAGCTCCAGCTCCCAGGTCGCCTTGACCATAACCATATCAACGGTAAATAATTTCGATCACAAAGCAATGGAGCTGAAACGAAACGAGAAACGAAACCAAATGAGCATTTGCCGGAGGATGGGGATCGGGATGGGGATGGCCAACTGGCAATCAACCGGGAGGAGAAAAGAGGCGATGGTATTGGGGACAGCAGGAGATGGGTGGGGGTTTTCAGAGGAGCTCTTCCACGTCATTTCAGATTCCATGTCAAAAGGTGAAGCCAATTCAACGTTTTCTGGCGAACTGGGCAACAGAATCACGACCAGAACAACAACATCCACATCTCCGGGCCAACACAATGCCAACTAACCGCATCAACACGAAAATCACCCAAAAATGGAGGAGAGGAGGAAGCCCAGAGCCAGAGCCAGAGTCAGAGGGGGAATTCCATAGGGGATTCGGATGATTCCCACTAATTTGTGAGTCGCGCAACTCATTGACCCATGCATGATCTGCTTTCAAACACACAGCGGATACCCGAAAAAGCGATCCCAGTACCAGAAATATCTCAATTCGATATAGAACAGAGACACACAGACACTCTTGGCCCGATCGCTGGTAATGCCCAGACAAATGGCCAAAGATCTTCTCATGTCGCTAATACGGCCATTAGACCTAAACGGTTGGACTTGGAGTTGGAGGAGGAGTTGGAGTTGGAGGAGGAGGTGGAAACGGAGAAGGTGGAGTCGAGGTGAGCAGGAAACCGAGAGGCATTCTTAATGAGGGGAATCAAATAGAAATGAAAGAAAGACGGAAGTAGACTTTTATGTGCAGACATCGCCGCTGGCCAAGATTATAGCCAAGTTGGTACGTTGGCAAAGGGGCTCATTTGCGAAATTGAAATGCCACTGCCACCAGGTTACTACATACCTATCCATGCGGGTGCGGAATGATGGTGTTCAGGTGGCCATAGCGTGGGTGTGGGTACGGGCATGGGTCTCGGTCGCGGTCGCGGTCTCTCGCCGGGTTCAAGCACCTCTCTGAGCCATGACTAACCGAATGACTGATAGCTGAGTGCCGGAGCATGGAGCTTGGAGCATGGAGCATGGAGCACGGTGCGCTGCCGACTTCTATAATAGAGTGCCCGTGCCCGATTCTGCACTTGACCGATGTCCAGAAAAGCCCAGAACTCCAGAACCCTAGAACCCAGAGCTGGCCACATAATTACATGCCATCTCCCGCTGCTCCACCCTCTTTTCCCACTCCAGTCACTGACTTTTCCACACGGAAATAAAATAATATCATTTGCATTTGTGCGGGGAAAACTTGGCATTAAAAGAGACCACATGACTTGGCCAAAAGATACTGTAACTGTGAATTTTAGGGAACCCATAGAATGATGATGAATGTTTCTAAAACCATTGCTGAGATTCAGCCATCAACAATATCATTATAAATTAGAACCTGATAGAATAGAATTCTTTAAATATCATTTAATAAATGCAATTTTCCAATTATAATCAAAGAATTTTCCGCTGTGCATTCATTTCTCTGGCGAAATGCCGACACTAGAGTGTGTTTGTGTCGCCTACGATCAAGTATGCCATGGACGTGGATGCGGATGTGGTTGTGGATGGGGATGGTGATGGTGATGGTGATGGAGATGGAGATGGGGATGTGAGGGCAGCCTATATGTGTGTGCATGTCCAAGGGTATGTGCTTCTCACGACAGCAGCAGCCCGGAGCTGCAGCTGAAGCTGAAGCTGGAACATGCCGCCAGTAGCAGACATTGGGGCCAAAGCTAGAGCCAAAGGCAGTCCAGACCCAGAACCATGGCCAGATGCAATGCCAGATCCAGGGGAGGATCACGGGGCTTGGGCCTCCAACACGAGCTTGATGACTATTATATGTGGGCAGAGGTCGGCGGGGTCGGTGCGCCGTGAACTTCTCATGAAAAGCCTAACCATGGGGAATTTAATAGTGCTTAGCACCAGCAGAGGACACCCGAGAACGAGAACGAGAACGAGAACGAGAACGCGACCAGGCAGACAGATACAGATACAAATTCAGATTGGTAGCGTTCATTTGGCAGTCAATTACGGAGTGGAGAAGGAGGCGGAGTTGGCCAGGTCTGGAGTGGAACTCATGCTGGTAGCAACACCTGGCCATATTCATATTATGACCAAGCACCACCAGTTGAGGATCAGTCAAAGTCAAAGAAGTGCTGCCGGGAATGGTCAGGAGATGGGACTCAAAACTAAAAGGAACCTTAAGAAGACATGGGTTTGAGCAAAGAAAAAGTTTATTACATTTATTTAAATCGAATTTGTATATGGCATGCTGTTTCTTTAAACACTACTATATAGTAAAACCTTTAGAACTTGGATTTGGTTTGTTTACTGCCCAAAGGTCACTGATCAGCGGCCTCTTAATCGCTGATCTCTATTCGAAGCTATGGCGCAATAGGCAAAAAACCAGAAGGCAGAAATGCTAATGATAATGATGCCCCATGGAGCAACAGATCTTTCTCGTTTTTTTTTCCTTTCAACGATCATTTACCATTTATCAGACACAACATTTACTTAACAAATGAAAAACAGTGAAAAAGCAAAAGGAAGGCAACGGGGTAGAGCAGCGGTATTGAGGTAGTGGAGCCATTGGACCTTAGGTACCTCTCCTGCTCCGCCATGCGCTCCTGCCGCTCCGGATAGACGATCTTGTGCTCCTGTAGGTACCGAATAAAGGCCATCCGGTCCAGCAGGGACATGTTACGAACCTCCGGATTATGCTTATCGACAAAGTTATAGCCTTCGCCGCCATTCAGCAGAAAGGAGGGGATCACCACGCCGTAGTACTCATCCGTTTTGACCCTCTCATAATGCGGAATCTGGCAGTCGGAGCACAGAGCCTTGAACTCCGTGATGCGCTGGCCCATGGGTCGGCTATAGTTGAACTTTATTCGCAGCCCGGACACCTGAAGGAAGCCATTGTTCTGGTTCTTGGTCCGCAAATAGGCGGAATGTTCCAGGGCATTCATCAACTGGAGGCCACTGATCCGGGTGTGAAATATGCCGTTGCTAAAGGGCATTACAGTGATCACATCCCCCTCCGTGATGACCCCTGGGTCAATGGATGCCCTGATGGCTATTGAAAGAAATCAGGAGGAACTCAAAGATCTCTACTAGGATTGCTTAAACCTACCGCCCGCATTGATGATACCTATGGGAGCATCTGTCCAAGAGCCCCGATCCTGCAGAGTTTCCTGTACTCCAGCATAGACGAAGCTATCCGCAATCATGTTACCAAAGTTGCACTCCCCAAAACCGCAGCTCTTGCGATCTCCATTCAGAAACACCGAGGTGGTGCCCACCACATGGCGCTCCATGTCATCGATGACCTGGCGATAACTGTCCAGAAACGCCTCGATATCGCTCTTGGGCTCAAAGCTATTGTCCAACAGGATGGGTTGACCCTTGAAATTCAGTAGGTTGCCAGCTCTATCGAACTGAAAAGAGAGAATAAGCATTAAAAGGATGCTACCTTATTAGATAAATTTTATAAATATCCCACTTCCAGAGACATCCTGCCCAGATACTTGGTATAGGCATAGGCCTGCACCACCGGCACCTTCCTGCCATCCGGCTTGACTACTATTGTGGGATAAGGACCTTCGGGTATGTCCTTGCCAGGAGCACGACCCGTATACAGTAACGTGTGCGACTGGCCCCCGACCACGACATCCACTTCCGGACACATTTTGGCTATTTCTATATCCTTCTTATAGCCCGCATGCCCCAGGGCAATAATAATGTTGACGCCGAGCTCCCTCAGCTTCATGGCATACTTGCTGAGGGTTTAGAGGGGCAGGATTAAGCTCTTCAAAAATAATATCTTTAAGTTATAGTACTTAATCTCTGGAATCTCATTTACAAATTCAATGTGATTGGGCTGCGTGCGCTGCTTGGTTTCCGCATGGATGTAACCCACAATGCCAATACTTCGACCGCCCTTCTTGATGATCGTGAAGTTCCTCAGGTTTTCACTAGCCTCCAACTTGGGCTCGTCGATCAATTTCAAGTTACAGCTGACCATGGGAAAGTTAATCAGGCTTATGAATTCCGCTAGAACATCGGTCCCATCGTCGAACTCATGGACTCCTAGGGTCTTCAGGGGTTCCCCTATGTAATCAAGTTTATTTATGTTAACTTTTGCCTTACCATGGCATCGGGAGCCAGCATATTCAGCATTCGGGCCACCATCTTGCCCTGATAGACCGCGTACCAGGGGGTTCCATGGAATGTATCGCCGCCATTCAGGTAAAGCACTGGATCGCTTTCCTCTTTTCTGTATTTATCCAACCTGGAACCAAGGCGGAAGATGGATCTATCTCTGCATCTCCACAAGGATACTACACTCACGCCGTGGCCAGCCGTCCAAATCCTCCGTAGCACTGACCCAGTTTTTCGTCTATCAACTTACATTTACCTCCTTTAGCGGAAACCTGATCGTACCTCGCCTGCATATCGTTGGTGTGCAGCAGGATAAACTTGAAGCCATCTATGTGATCTGAAGTGGACAGGATTAACAGCAGGACCGCTATCCCAGTCGCCTGCAGAGGAAGTTGAATCATTTTTACTTGAATACTTTATCCAAAATCTACTGAAGGCAAAGCAAAAGAAAACTCGGTTGGGAAAACCCCTAAGTACAGCCTACTTTCGGGATTGCGGAGTTCACTTTTGGAAAGGCCGGAAAATATGCCAAGGGGTATCTGATAATAATGGAAAATTAATCATTTACAAAACCAAAATGTCTAGAAAATATTAATGGATGCCGGACACCAGAAGGAAACCCGAGCTGAAAGTATTTCGGACTTTGTATGTTAATATATTTGATTGGATTTACAGTAGCTCAATCGCTAAAGTTTTTACAAATTTAGGTATGACTCAGAAACTAGAACTACCTTTCGCTTTAATTATCCTTTGCAATCATTAATTTTATGTAAAATAAAATAGAAACTTCTCTAGCTAAGCACTCGCATTAGCAGAGAAGAGATGAGGAGTAGAGCGGCGGAGCTTATGAGTCCAGCGGCTGATGATCCTACGAAGACGATGCGACCCTCTATGCCCGGATTTACATAGTCCCGATGCTCTAGGTAGAAGGAAACCGCCTCCTTGTCGTTCCTCTGCAGGCGCTGTGGCGTGTGGATCCCATCCCTGATCTTGTGACCATCTCCATCGTCCAGCAGGAACTCTCCCACGATCACATTGTACGCAGCCGTATCATTTAGAGGGCTGTACGTGGGGACTTGACAGGAGGCACAGCGCACCTGGACGGACACGACGCGCTGACCCTCCGGCTTGGCGTCATTGAACACAACATGGAGACCGGAGACCTGCAGGAAGCCTCCGTCTGAGTCCGTGCCTCTCAGGGAGGCTCCATGCTCAAGAGCTCTTCGGATAGAGCTACCCGTCATGGTGGCCATGAAGAGATCATTGCCCCAAGGCAGCACGGAGAGAAGATCGCTGTCGGTGACGGAGCCATCGGATCGCTTCTCAATGGAGCTGCGAATGCCTAGATAACCGATTAAGAATTATAACTATAAATATTACGTATTTCAGAGATTCAAGCTTACCCCCGCCCTGTATTAGGGAAATAGCAGCATCTGTCCAGAAATCTCCGCCCTGATCCTCCATCATTCGGCTGAAGACCATTGCATCGGCCAGAAGATTCCCAAGATTGCACTCCTTGGCCCGGCACACCTGCTTACTGCCCTCCAAGTGAACCTTTGTGTGTCCCACCACTGACTTCTCCAGACGGGTCACATTCGGTCGGTAGACCTCCAACAGCTCGAGGAGATCCGGCTCCTGAGCCACCGAAGCATTCAGCAGGATGGGAGCACCATCGAATTCGATGAGGTTGCCAGCTGCATCAAACTGGACATGAAGTCGTCCCAGGTATTTGGTGTAGGCATAGGCCTGCACCACAGGCACCTCCTTGCCGCTCTTCTGCTTAACCATCGTGGGATAGGGACCGTCGATGTGCTCCGCATCAGGTTGAGCTCCGTTGTAGAGGAAGGTGTTTGTGTGGCCACCGATTACGATGTCCACATCGGGACATTCCCTTGCTATCTCCTGGTCCTTTTGGTAGCCAGAGTGACCCAGTGCTATGATGATCTTGATGCCTTGAGCCTTAAGTAACTTGGCCTCGGCACTGAAAAATACACAAGTCAATAAACAAGATCCTCAGATGACCTGCAACTCACTTGATGGACTCCACTTCCTCTCTGAACTCCACGTCCATGTTGAGAGTAAGCTTCTTGGTGTCCGGCGTCAGGTAGCCAATGACACCTATCTTCGTGCCATTCGTTTCCAGGATGGTTGAGTGCGCCAGGTGCTTGGTGGCCTTCAGTTGGGGAACCTTGGTCAGGTCCAGGTTACAGGCCAGCACTGGGAAGTTGACTTCGTTGAGGAATGGTATCAGTCCCTCGACTCGCTCATCAAACTCATGGTTTCCAAGGGACTGTAATTCAGGAGGAGATCTTGATTATCTACATTCATTAGGCTTAAAAGATAAACCCTACTATGGCATCAGGTTGCAGTTTGTTGAGGAAGGCGCTGGCTATCTTGTCCTTGAAGATGGTGAACCAGGCTGTGCCAGTGTAGGTGTCACCTGCATTGAGATAGAACACAGGAAGACCACCCTCCTGGGCCTCCTTGCGGAATTTGCGAACTCTGAAAGGGAAGGATTATCGAATTAGGTTGCCATTATAATCCATGGGTGCCCCTGACTCACTCGTAGGCCACTCGGGCGAATCCTCCATAGCACTTGTCCGTGTGCGCATCCTCCGGGGAGCAGGAGCCACTGTTGACACTCGTCTGCTCGAACCTCGCGTGCATGTCATTGTTGTGCAGGATGATGAACTCGGTGGCCACCTTGGGATTTCTGGCGACGGGATTAGCCAGGCCCTGGTGGCTCAGGGGAATCAGGAATAGCAGGCACAAGATCCAGTGCGATCGCATCTTTAGCCTAGAGAGGAATGACAATTCATTCACAACTCACAATAAAATCTGACAAATGTGGCGCTTTAATCTTTATAGCTCTCTAATAGCTTTAATGACTTTACAGGGCTAAGGTGTTTTTTTATTCACTTGCATCTACAGTGGGTACTCACTGTCTGAACAAACAAAGTAGATATAACAATCATTCAAGTGGCGAACAGAACTTCATGTTCCGACTATTTGCAAATGGGCCTTTCTAAACGAGCAGGTGTATTTTTAACCGTCCGCACACGATAAACATATCTTTGTTTACTCCCTTTCTGAAAAATGGTATATATCCAAAGCGTCACAACGAATTCCAAGCAGAGTCGAGTGCGAAAAATAACAATACAATTAATTCGAGCAATGAGTCGCTCCGCATATCCCCACTTTTAGCGCAATTAATTTGCTTATAAAGCAAAAAAGATCATTTGATTCGACTGCTAAAAACTGCATACACTGATCGGCACAACACTTCGCACAAACATTAAATATATTCCACAGTTTTTACTAAATACTTCAAAGAATTACATGTTTAGTTCCATACCAAAATAAACCAGAGAGTGCCATAAATTCCGTGAAAGCAAACAAGCCCGAAAACTTGCCAACCAAAACAAATAAAGCGAAAGGCATAATTCATATTCTGAATATGTACATATATTCACAGGTATTTACACGAGAACTGATTATTTAGCTAAAGTGCATTGACCAGAACGAAAATGATTCAATAAAACAAAAAATTAAGCAAAGGTGCAACCCTTTCTACTCAGAACTTAAACAGACTTTCTTCTTCAAAAGGTTATAAAGTTCAACAAAACAGGAGTTAACTTTGTGGAGATTATATTTTCCCAATGTTTATTTTTTTGTTTGTTGATTAAGATTTATATAAAAATATTTATGACTTTTACAAAATGTTGACGTTTTCGTATACCACAAAGAAGCCCTAAAATATGGAATATGAAATTGATATTTTTTTATGCTAATTTTTTGGATAAATCAAAGTTTTTCCAATATCATAACTAAGCCAAAAATGTATTAATTTCAATGCGGTAAGCTTTTCTAAGCTAGTTTTTCTACGGCTAATTAATTTGCATACTGGGTATTGTATAAATTCAATTTTTGATCAAATTTTGACAATTTTAACAATTTTTATAAAATTTAGAAAAAATTGACAAAAATTTATTTTCTTTTAAACATGCCTAGAAAGATTCGCCTCTTGATCCTGATCAAGAATATATATGGTTTATAGGGTCGGAAATTACTCCTTCACAGCTTAATAAGATTCTGACTGAAATTATAATACCCTGCAAAGGTATTATAAGGGAGAGCTTGGTCATAGCGAGAGATCATGAAGAATATCATATTCCAGTATAGACAACTTTTACACTTAGTTCTAGCAATGTTTGTATATCGAAAAGAGGAGTTCAATATAACTTTTCACGAAAAAATATAGCTCCATCGTATTAAAAATATCATAAACTTTTGTGTAGCGAATTTTTGTTTACTAAAAATATATGGGGCATCGGATTTCTTCTGTCTAAAATTGTAATCTATAATTATATTTATTCAATTTTAACGAAACCTTTGGAATTTTAAATTCAGCTCGCCTTGAATGAATATCATTAAAGCGAAATAATTAAGCTTTATTTGTGCAGTCACATAGTGTAAATGGAACTATATCGACTTGACATTCCCATTCAAACAACTGACTTGGTTTACAAAGGAAATATACATATGTATATATAATTATATCAAGTTTCATTTAATCGCCCGGCACTTTGTTCACTTTTTGGGGGGGGATATCACTTAATCGCCGGCCCAGTTTCCATTCAATTGAAATTATTTATTTAATTTTCCCCATGTTTTTTCATTGGAATTTGCCGCACGCTCTTGGCCCTTAATTGGAACTTATTTTTACTACCAACTTGCGATTAATGTGAAGGCAAAAGCACGTTCGGTTCGGTTGTGTTTTTCGCGCTGCAAAAAAATTCAGAACAACCTTTGCCACCGATGTCTATAATCGCACTGACTGCTCTGCTCTTTGCGGTCTGCCAAGCTGCTCTCTGGTGCAGCTTTTGGTTGTGATTCTTCTAATTATTATTTATTATTTTTTATTATTTGTATTTCGCTGCGGCGTCTGGACATCCGATTTACTTGGCACATTGCACATGGTGTCTGGGGGGCCTGGCAGCACCTTTGGATCAAATCAACCGGCAGAAGAGCTTCCCGCTCTCGCAGGTGAGCAGCAGATACAGGCACAGATACAGATACAGATGCACAGATTGAGATACTTTCGGGAGATACTTTTACTCTCGAACGGCGTTACGTAGCGTTACGTAGCGTCACGTAGTGAAGTGCGTTGCGTAGCGTGCGAGCGAGAGTGGAAGCTGCCAATTTATGCCTTATCAATCGAGAATCGCGAATCATGTGCAAAAATAACAGCATGCAGCGTCATAATAAAACTATAATCCCATAAGATTTGGATTCATTATCTTATTTCGCAATACCAAATATTCCTAATTTAAAAACAATAATTAAAACCTTCTGTAACGTTTCTGATGTATTAAATGTGTATTTTGAATTCGAATTTAAAATGCCTTTAAAGCTGTATTAGTTTTATTTATGTATTCATAATACAAACAAAATACTCTCATTAGATATTAAGAAATGAAAATAAATAACTGAAAATACAATTACCTGCAGATTTCTCTCAGTGCATTAATGGCAGATCAAAGCACAGAGAGATATCTCTCATATCAGTTGCTCTCAAATGCTGGCGAACTCAAATTGAAATGCAAAATATTTGTGGCAAAAAGTTAATTATAAATGCACTGGAAGGGAGATATAAAGCGATCCCATAAATAGTTTCGGTTGAATTATTACCCTCATTTTGAAAAATTCTATTTATTATTATTATTTATTATTATTATATATTCTTAAATAATGAGTACATAAACCTAGGCTAGACAAATACACACACATATATATAGACTAGACAACAGTTTATTTACCCCAAACAATATATATATATTATATATTATGAACTAATATTTTACATGATTAATGACTCTTCTGGTTTCGAAATGTATACACAAATAGCCCATTCATTTTAAATAATAAATTGCTACTAGTAATGTACATCTGTCACTGCATTCTGAGAATATTTGTATTTCTAATTAAAATTTCAAGCTCAACTTGATGTTTTAAGTAATTTTGTTTAAGGTTCCCTATTATAAATAAATAAATTGTAAACTAAGCCAAACAAGCAATAAGTTTAATTCGGAAAGCAGTTTTTGTTAGGCTTATAAATCTGCATACTTAATTTAAAATGTAACGATGTAACCCCTTATAAAATTTTGAAAAAATTGGCATAAACGTATTTTTTTCCTTCATGCCTAGAACGATTTGCCTGTTGATGCTGATCAATAATATATATAATTTATAGGTTCGAAAACAATTCCTTCACTGCGTTGCAAGCTTCCGATTAAAATATAATACCCTGCAAACGGTATAAAAATAATCTTTAATTTAAAATAAATCTAGCATACATGGCGTATACTTAACGTGAAAACCCTTAAATTAAGTATACGCCATGTGGGCCTTAAGGGAGAATAGTTTAACATAAATGGTTCCAGCTTAAAAGCTTAGAAATTTAATTATATGATCGAATCTGGAAATCGAGCTTTAAATATTCGATATTATTTATATTTTTATATGACAATTTGTTCAACAAATCAAAGTTTAAAAAACTCATAACTAAGCCAAAAATGCATTTATTTTAATTTGGAAAGCAGCCCAATGCTAGTTTTTATTAGAGTAATAAATCTGCATACTCAAATAAAAATGTAAAAAATTAACATTTTTGAGAATTTTAATGATGTAACCCCTTATAAAAATTTGAAAATTTTGAAAAAAATAGATTTTGGCCGGAGATGGCTAGATCGACTCGGCTGTTGATGCTGATCAAGAATATATACGATTTATAGGGTCGGAAATGACTCCTTTAGCTTCTAACTCAAATTATAATACCCTGCATGTGTATAAAATTGTAACATTATTTTTAATTTTTTGAAAATTTTAATTATGTAGCCCCTTAATAAATTAAAATAAAATGGATGAAATTGTTTTTTCTTATATGTATATGTAGATGGCTAACATGGTTTAACCCAATAATAACACTAACATGAAATTTTTCACAACATTTATTTGCTATTTTCGTGCGATGGTTAAACCCAATTAAAGTGTGTGACCTGAGACGATCCAAAGAGCAACCCAGACCTCACCAGACGACACAGATTTAAGCTAATTGCAGGGAGGGGATGTAAAGTCCGGGTGCCGGGACCTCATAGGTATATATTACGTCAAGGAAGTTTCTCTAGAAGAATCTGGTAAGCAGGGAAGAGATCAGGAGCAGCGCTACAGAAGCAACGATTCCGGACGCAGATCCTGTGTCGACCTTCTCGTGGATCACGATTCTGTCCTCGATCTCCGGGTAGACAAAGTGGCGCTGCTTCAGGTACTCCATGGTGGCGTTCAACTCGTTCCTCGGCAGGCGTAGGCTGTAGGGATCCACCTCCTCCTCGGTTAGGTCGTACCCATCGCCGCCCTCGAGCAGGAACTGCGGCAGGATCACCAAGTAGAGCTCGGTCTCGTTAACATTGTGGTAGGTTGGAACGGAGCAGTTGGAGCACAGGGCCTGGGCGGAGACCACCCGCTTGCCAGCGGCGTTGTTGTAGTTATACTCCACCCGGAGTCCGGACATCTGCAGGAAGCCACCGTTCGAGTCCAGCAATCGTACGCTAGCGGAGTGCTCCAGAGCGGCCAGGAGCTTCTTTCCGGAGATCCTCACGATGTACAGATTGTTCTCGAAGGGAAGGACGGTGAGAAGAGTGGCTCCACTGATGGCGCCATCGTTTCCCTTCTCGACTGAGGCTCGGATTGCTGGCGGGGATTGTGTTAGGATTACCACCTGGTTCTAGTTTTCCCTCTTCAAGAGAACTTACCACCTCCCTGAATCAGGGCAATGGATGCATCCGTCCAGAAGTCGCCGCCCTGGTCCTCCACCACGCGACTGTAGATCATGGCATCAGTGACCAGGTTGCCCAGATTGCACTCCCTCATGCGGCAGATGTTTCCACCCTCGAGGAACACCTTGGTGTAGCCCAGAATCGTGTTCTCCAGCTCCTCCAGTCCGGGACGGTATTCGGCCAGCAAGTCCAGCAGATCCTGTTCCTGTGCCACCGAGGCATTCAGCAGGATGGGAGCACCGTCAAACTCAATCAGATTGCCGTCGGCATCGAACTGAAAGGGTAGATATCAGAGAGGATTACGGGGGAGTCCACAATACAGCTCTATATTGTAGTTACCTGGACATGGATCTTGCCCAGATACTTTGTGTACGCATAGGCCTGCACCACCGGCACCTTCTTGCCGCTCTCCTGCACCACTGTGGTGGGATAGGGACCCCTAACTGCCTCCGGATCGGAGTCCGTGGGATCGGCCACCGGCTGACTGGCATCGAGGAAGGTGTGCGAATGTCCCCCAATGACAATGTCCACCTCCGGACAGTTTTTGGCAATCTCCTGATCCTTTTGGTAGCCGGAGTGACCTAAGGCGATGATGATGTTGATGCCCTGAGCTTTCAGCTTGGCAGCCTCAGCACTTTGTTAAAGAAAATATATTTCATTAGAACCGAGTCAGGATTATTTCTCTGGGCTTCACTCACTTGATGGACACTATCTCCTCCTCGTACTCCACTTTGTTCCGGAAGGCAAGGGTCTTGGTGTCGGGAGTGAGGTAGCCAATGACGCCAATTTTGACACCATTTGTCTCCAAGACAGTGGAGTTGGCCAACTGCTTGGCGGCCGCCATCTCGGGCACATCGGTCAGGTTCAGGTTGCAGGCCAGCACGGGGAACTCCACGGCATTGAGGAAGGGAACCAGGCCCTCCACATTCTGGTCGAACTCATGGTTGCCCAGGGACTACACAAAATCACAGTGAGAACTCAAAACTTGTATGCCGATTATGTTCCACTTACAATGGCATCTGGGGAGAGCTTGTTCAGGAAAGCACTGGCGATCTTGTCCTTGTAGACGGTGAACCAAGCGGTGCCAGTGTAGGTGTCACCTGCATTCAGGTAAAACACTGGAGTGCCACCCTCCTGCGCCTCCTTGCGGTACTTGCGAACTCTGAAAGAGCACTCATAGTAATTAGAGGATAATTAGTTTATGTATTTCCCCAAAACTACTCACTCGTAGGCCACTCGGGCAAATCCTCCATAGCACTTATCCGTGTTGGCATCCTCCTCGGAGCAGGTGCCACTGTTCACGTTCGTCTGCTCGAACCTGGCGTGCATGTCATTGTTGTGCAGGATGATGAACTCACTGGCCACGTCCGCCCGGGGAACTATGGGATTCGGACGGACTGCGGGTATAATCAGGGCCCAGAGGCAGCATGTGGCGATAACAATACTCCAGGCAGACATAATTTTTGGTCTGAAATTAATGGTATACCTTTAATATATTATCACTGATAAGCTATCGAATAGAAAGGATGAGATGTGGGTAGATAATTAAACACTGATTTGTTTTTGATGTATATTCCCATATGGGATTAATTGGGGAAACTTACAGATGAGTAATAATAGAAGTAATATGGCAAATAAAGCGCTTTTAATTTTAAATCAGAATCTAGAAATACCTCAAAAGATTACTATCCCCGAAATAGTTAGAGATTAAACTTTAATAACGCGATGTTTATCTGCTATTTGTCAGCTGTAAAACCGTCGTAATAAATCTGGGTTTTCCCCTCCCAACCACCTGAAGGTCCTTTGTCCGTTATCGTCCACTACCGGTGAGGGGCCAGTAGGTACCAAGTGGGTATTTATCAATCACGAGCGGGTACAGAAATCGCAATTCAAGTCATTTGCTAGTTTATTGACGCCTTAAATCTAATCGCCGCTTATCACTCTGCGTGTGCGAAAACACACAAATCCCCAGCCCATTCAGATCGAGCAATATGTATTTCTTTTAGCGCCAAAGTCACTCCACTCCGATGATGACTGCTTAACTGGTTTGCAATTGAAACTCGGAAACGAGCTCCGGAGTCCGGACTTGAGCTCACTCAGATGCCTTTGGCATTGGCTTTCTGAGCTTTCGCGGCTCGAAAGTTACTCGAAAATATGTATTAACTCTAATACTCTCGAAAGCGAAACCGAAAAATCCGAGCCACGATCGCTGGGCTACTTACATGCACTCGTCGCACGGTCCGCGGGCCAACTGACCCATCGAAATGGCCGAGAGCCCGCTAACCGTTATAGCCGCCGAATAAACCGAAAAAACACACACACAATAACAACAACAAAAGCCGAGTACCAACAAAAACAACAACGAGAAAAAACAGTCAACCGAAATTTACTGTCTCGCAAAGCGGTCTGATTACGATAAGGCCTCGCATACCGCGGCTCAGATCGGGGCTGACAACGTCACTAACCTGGCCATATCACTAGCAATCCGCAATATACAAGTGAATATACATTATATATTTTGTGCCGATATATTTGGGAGCCACCAGAAGCGGACTTATCGCGACATAATCGACCAGATAATCGTAGATATCTACCTGACTCATCGCCACTTTTACCAAATGCCATTCAGGGGCAGGTACTTGGCCAACAGTTGCCCAAAGTGCGGCATTCCCACGCCAAAAAATATGTATGGTTCTGGCAATAAGTACAGTGAGCTCTGGTTGCAGGGAAAGGATATAGGTGGGAATATGGTCAGAGATTGTTCGAGAATACAGAAATCTCTGCGGAGATAACATTCAATTAAAAGGTGTCCCGATTCGATTGAAAGAATCTTTATAAAGTATAACATATGCATATGTATAAGTATAATAAGCTGAGTTTAATTATATTTTTCAACAATATAAAAACAAAATTGTAAATATGTAAATGAAATGTTTAAAAATAATTTTACCTAATTTGAATAGTAGCAATTGTACATTTGTACTTTTTGCAAAGGCTTCCCTTATGATTTTTCCAATTTGTACCTTTCAATAGAAATAATCTGAATATAACTAAATGTGCATCTGGTTTCGTCCATTAAATAAAATTAAATACACAAGACTGGGTAAGTCAGGTGTTTTAACAATGTCGCCAATAAGCACTTGGCTGACTAAACCAGCTAACGAAGCTTATGCTCTTATTTAATCAACAATATCACTAATGTTTATTGTTTGTTATTTGCACAACGGCTTACGGCTCTCACTATGACACAGGAACTATAGACTAAACTAAAACAGAAAACAACAATCAGGAAAAGTCAGTAGAACAATTACACTGTGTTCACCTCCAGGAGCACTCACTGTATTCTGCCACAAGTACTACAACTGCGTTACCCCGATCTTTGTTATTAATTTCTCGAAAAATGAAAACAAAACTCCGCGAAGACACTTGTTCCGCGAAATCGAGGCAAATTCCATTGATGACAATGAGGACTGCTTGTTCCGCTGCTGTTTTATGGCCGCCGCAAAGGGATAGATACCACTCGGAGTTCCAGAGATTTATGGCTATCCGTTTGGCTAAATTACTTTTCGAATTGCATGTGAGTTTTTTCAGCAAAATGAGAAGATCACAATTGTTGTGCGAGACTCGAGCACCCACACACACACACACACACACACTCAGGGGAGAGACAGCCCAATTACGAGTGTATCATCGGCTGCCACTTGTCGCGTGCTTTCCAAACTGTTGTTCAATCGGCTATATAGTATAATGCTGTGTGGGCTATATGTGTTACCCCGACTCACAAATAACAGCTGCGACGGATGGATGATGTATTTACTGTCTGCGGTCCCTGTCTCTGCGCAGATACTTCAGGCCGGCAAAAGGTACAACCTAAAAATATATATCTCGAAAAAGAAAAGATACAAGATACAACATCCAAGATACAGTACGCAGCAAAGACAATTGAGTGTGTAAGTTCGAAAATAAACACTGGATGCCGAGAGAGCTGGCCACAGATATTACACAATGTCAAGTTTGCGATAAAATATAGAACGATAAAAATAATATATATGATCCAATTACGATAGGCCCTTTGCCACATTGCATTGTTTATTGTGCAAATATAGTAATGTACCTACTATTGGCAGCGCTCTTGAACGATTGATTGCCAGCGCGGGCCCAGGCGACGTGATTATATTTAAATTCATTAACAACAATATGCCAAGATAGTGCCAAATTCACAGCCCCAAATCAATCGAATAACGCCCAATTTCCTCAGCCATAAATATGAATTGATTGCCATCGATGCGTCAGTCACTCAGTCGATGAAGAAGCCTTGGAGAGAGTGAGCCTTATTTTTTGGCAGCCCTTAAATTAACTATCAGCGTTATCGATTGGCATTTGTGTCACTCACCTTTCCAGCCCATAAGCTTTCAGGTAAACTCTCGCCATGCCAACCGGCAGTTTTGTTTCTCACTTGATTTACATTGGCTACCATGGCTACCCATCATTTCTCTCAGTGCCCTCAGTGTAGAGTGTAGTGTGTAGAGTGTAGAGTGTAGAGTGTAGAGTGTAGAGTGTAGAGTGTAGAGTGTAGAGGTGTGCACTTATTATTGCAACGGGGCAGGTCAAAAACCAAGCCACCGATCGAAGAGATGAATGTGAAGCGTGCCAGCTGCAAACGCTCTAAAGGATCGACTCTGGCAACTAGAGAACACCCTACACACTCGGGCTGTAAAATTAAAGAGAATTCAGAAAATATTGTACATACATAAATATATCTACGACAAATTGTATATTACAGAATATAGTTTTATTGCACCATAATCTTTAAAAAATCATTAATTTATAAACAAATAAAATACAAAAATAAACTAGAAGTTACTATTGAAAACTATTGACTAATTTACTTTGATATTTATTTAATAAGTAATGCATATATTTTCAAAGAAATAACACTTTACGCGGTGAGTGTTCTCGAAAACCACTTCAAAGTTATAGTCACATACATATTAACAACTTTTAGTATAGTATCTCGGTTTATTGATAAAACAAATCGTAAACATAAACAATTATATTAATATTGCGTATATTGTGTTAATATAACGAACGTATTTGTTTACTTTTGTCAGAAGTATTTAAAATTTAGAATTATTAAAAAATTTTCATTTTACTTATATGATAAGTGATATGATGATATTTATGATATTGTTAAAGATACTAATTGAATAAAAAAACTAATAATTTTGAGATAAAATTAAAACAAACAGGATTAAAAGCAGGAAACCCAAACGATGGTGATGCCGCACCAAAGGACCACGAGACGGCAGCAACAACAACTGCAAAGGGCGGAAAGAACGAGCGGGGCGGGGTTGGGGTATTGCCTAGAGATTGGACGAAGGAAGGGAGGATATTCGGAGCGCGGCTGCTGCAGACAGAGAGCGCCAGCTGAGGGTTGCAATATCCTGCTGCTGCTGCTGCCTGTGCCTGTGCCTGTTCCTGTGTCCTGGGCCTCAGCCTGTATCCTGTTGCCCTCCCGCTTCAGCTGCCGCAACTCAAACAGCTGCAACAATTTTTTTCCTCGATTGGGATGGTTGTCTTTAATTTCCTTTGGCGCGGCACATCCCCTAATGCCACTGCTATCTCCGGTTCCTGGCGCAGTTCGGGGTTGTTGGAGTTGCCAGTTGGCCTCCGCCGCTGCCGGGGTGTATCGCGCAGCTCAGTCGTGGCGATCGCCAGGTGAACGAAGGTTGTGTCGAGCAGAGTCGAGTCCGCAATCGAGTCCAGGATTTCAACGATATATAAGCTAGAAGAATTGTATATTTGAAGAGTGAGGATCATGTCGGGCAAACTAATCATGAAGCGCAAACGAGCGAGTCAGGAGGAGCAGCTGCAGCAGCAACAGCAGCAACAACATCAGCAACAACAGCAGCAACAGGACGAGGAGCCAGCTCCAGAGAAGCGCCATCGTCCTCTAACCCCACCGGCTGAGGATCCCTCAGAGGATCAGGCGTCTCGGCCAGACTCCGCCAACCGTATCCTTCTAGAAGCTCTGCAAAAGATAATGGAACTGCAATCCGAACTGGATGCCTTTGAGCAGGATCTGGACGAGCGTGACGCAGCTGCGGCTGGACGGGAGGATCCCGATGCCGATTCAGATACCGATCCCGAGGACGCCGAGGTGGCTGCCCAGTTTGCGCCAGCACCAGCAGCCACTCCTGCCCAGCGCAGTCAGGCGGAAGCCCTGGGCTTTGCCATGTGCGCCCGGGAAACGCTACTCTTTCTGCAGAGCGAGGGTGTGCCCACAGAATCACCGCTCTACCAGACGCTTCTCGGCAAGCTGGTGGGCCAGAGCGATGGACTGCTGAACGCCTGATGGAACTGCGAGGCAGAGGAGGCGGAGGAGGAGGAGGGCAGAATTCTAGTCACATTGCTGCGATCTCAGTGCAAGTAAAACGAGGGAGAGAGAGATATGGGAGAGGGATGATCATCACTTCATTTGGGGGCTGGAAGTTGAATGTATATCATCCCAGGGTTATATATATACGTAATCCTAAGCTTTTAAATCTAGTCAATTATTGTGAAGCAATATAAAATCCTAAGATACAACGAAGTAAATAAAAAATGATAATAAAATACAAGCAAGTGTCTCTGTTATTAGTTTTAAAAGTTCTTTGGAGAAGGCTCAGGTGGTATACCCTAGCATCCATTGTTTCCTAATATGATATTGGAGTCTGATGTTGATCAAATTAAAGAAATATTAAATTAGTAAAATATAACTACATCTCAAGATATAAGCGTGTAGGTTGCAAAGCAACAAACATCATAACTAAGCCAAAAACGCATCAATCTTAATTCGGAAAGTTGTCCTGTGCTAGTTTTTATTAGGGCAATAAATCTGCATACTCAAATAAAAATGTAATGTAATGATGTAACCCCTTATAAAATTAAAAAAAAAATTGTCAAAAATTTTTTTTTCCTTCATGCCGAGAAACATTCGCCTGTTGATGCTGATCAAGAATATATATGGCTTATAGGGTCAGAAACGACTCCTTTACAGCTTTATAAGCTTCTGACTAAAGCTTAAATAAAATTTTTTTTATTTAAATTTTTATATGACAATTTGTTCAACAAATCAAAGTTTAAAAAACTCATAGCTTAAACAAAAATGAATTAATTTTAATTCGGAAAGCAGCCCTTTGCTAGTTTTTGTTAGGGCAATAAATCTGCATACTCAAATAAAAATGTAAAAAAATTACATTTTTGACAAATTTAATGATGTAACCCCTTATAAAATTTGGAAAAAATTGGCAAAAATTTATAATCTTTCCTTCATGCCCAGAAAGATTCGCCTGTTGATGCTGATCAAGAATATATATGGTTTATAGGGTCGGAAATGACTCCTTCCAATAAAAGAATTAGTATAGTTAATAAACATCGCTCTAAATAATAGAAGCTAGGTTTCGTAGAATCTGTAAATATCGACAGAGAATAGATCAACTTATAGGGTGGAAAATGTCATCTCCTCCTGCTGGGGTATGAAAATGGGGTGGTTTTCTGCCTATATTAAAACACCCTCCGGAATTTGATTTTCAATACATTTTAAATATATTTATTTATTCATTTGTTTATTACTTGTGTTATTTGATTTTACATATAGTAATTAATGAGAATAACTCAATCGTCGTATTTTGTTAATTCTTTTAATTCATTTCTTGTAGGTATGTATATAATATAAGTGTATATATATTCTTATTGTTGTTAGGGCGGGGGCTTTGTTGTTGTTGTTTCGGTTATTTTATTAACTTGTTACCATAATTTATATATTTTTTTGGGGGTGCCTTGAGAGCGCCCCTAAAGTAGCATTTTGTTGTTATATATTATTTCCGTTTATTAGTTATTTATTCTGTATAATTTGTAACAACAATAATTATTTGTAATAAATGGTTGTAATTCTCTTTTTTCGTTTATATTATTTGTATTTTATATGATATTCCTTTAAAACTAGATTTTAATTGTTTTTAACAATTTAACGTTTCACATTGGTTGTAAGTAAATGTTTCATTTTGTTTGGACAAGATATCGTTTTTTCTTTATGCGAAATAGTGTTTATTTCGCAGAGTTTTAGTAGAGTCAAAAGTCGATCATCAAATAAGGTTAAATATTAATAAAGAAAAACCGGATAATAATGATATAATATCTATAAATTGGCATTTCAATTGGTTATTTAAGGATCTTCTCTCTGACAATCACCTTCCTACATACATTTGGCACTCTTTCTTGGTTCTACTTAAGCTCTACAGAGGAGATATATCCCATTTAGCTTATTTTAAAAATTAATTGGTATTTGTTAATTAATTAATCAAACAGGAAACGTAAAACTTTAAGCTTGGCAATCGATTACAAGGTTATATGGGTCTTTCTTTAAATTTGTGTTAGTTACATTATCCTGGATTAAATGGGGTTAAGTACATGTAATTATTAGATAATTTACTTTTAATTTTAGTTCAAGTTACGCTTCTGCATTAAGTTGTTTAACTTTATAAGTAAATCGAGTATTCTGCCTGTTATTTTTTAAGTATTTTCGTTAATTTGTTATTGTTTTCGTATGTTTTTTTTTTTTATTTAATAAAGTAATCATTTGCAGCACTGCCCAGTTATGGGACATTGATTCACAATAAACTTTGTATATATTTCTTGTTTAGTTATATTTCTTGTAGATATATTCATGCTGAATGCTCGATTATTCGATTTAATTTATAAGGTATTTTAATGTTTATTCTGTTTGTGTCTCCGTTTAATTATGTAAATATTAGAATTTGTAAGTGTATATATATATATATTCTTTATCTGTATCGTTAGTTTTCTTGCCAAATATATGCATATATAAATAAAATTATGGTTTAAATGTGCCCTCTGTATTAATTATTATTAGTATTATTATTTGTATTATTATTATATTTTATTAAGTTAATTAATCTCATAGATTTTGTCTGCTGCTGCTCCTGCTGTCCCTATACATATGTATATAGCTTTGTCTTGCTTTATCAGTTTGTTTGCTCGCCTATCTGGGATCCAATCCCAAAGCCCACTAATCGTTCAGGCTCTTTTTTGAATATATCTTAAAGATGTCTTGTAAATAGAGAGTAAAAAACCGGACACAGTTCGAGTGTGTGTGTGGTGTGTGTGTGTGTGTGTGTGTATGTTTAATAGACAACGCGAAAGTAAGGTTTCGACTTGTCTATTTTCCAGCCTCATCGCACGCAAAAATATATGTATAAATATATCTGTTATGTTCTGTATAGTATGTATATATCGTAAAGTTCATTTTGTCCATTTGTAAATACTCCTCCTCCTTGCTCCTACGCCTCCTCTAATCTTATGAATCGTGTGTACAAAGTGATGTTGAGATGTTGTGGTTCTTGGACTCAGAAAAACTGCACTGGCAAGAACGGAAATGTGCCAATGTGTAGCGAAGAAGGATTGTTAGCAGGTCTGTAAGAGAATGTTAATTTGGATTTAGAGAGATAGTTGTCTTTGGATGACACTGGATATCTGGGTCAATGCAAATCAATAATGGAGAGCTGAGGGTATTAAGCGGAGACTGGGTATTGGTTATAAAGCAAGCAAATGACGGGTCTAGGGATGTATCGCCCCATCGTCTCGTAACATCGGATTTATGGAAGATATATGACAAAATTTAAAAGATCTATTCCGTATATGTATTTTTTATCATCCCTAGGCGTGTTCAGTCTTGATTATTGATTTGCAAAGACTACTATAGACATAACTTGTTGTAGGCTGTGGATTATGGGTTGTGGATAGTGTGTTTGTGCAAGGACCAAGGAGTTGAGTGAAGTTTCATGCTGATTTCAATACCTTACTAATAGCATATTGGGCACTGTAGCGGTTGTGGTGGTTGTTGTTGTTGTGTTGTTATAGTTTTTACTGCCTAATGTTGTGTTGTGATGATTGTTGTTGATGCTGTTGTTGTTGGCACTCTTAGGCCCCTCCATGGGGCTCAGTGAATGATGATGATACGCGGTTAGGAATGGGGCGTCTTTGTAGTTCTTCGTGTCACCCGTGTTGGTGACCTTATGGAAGTTGCTGCTGCTGTTGCAATTATTGTTGATAATGTTGTTGGGGTTATTGTTACTGCTGCTTATGCTGCTGCTGTTGCGGGCTGAAAGCTGCGGTGGGAGATTTGCTAGCGACCGTTGTTGTTGTGGCTGTCGATAAAGATGATGCATCAGCACAAGGAATTGCAGAAATATACATCCCTAATTGGGAATAGACTAACCTTGCCATTGCCGTTAAAATAGTAGTTGTTGGGATTTATGCTCTTGCCAATGTGGCACTCACTTGACCCATGGTGGCTGGGCGTAAAACTGTTGTTGTTGCTGCTATTGGTTTGGGGTTTCATGATCATATTGTGGGTGGTGGCACGACCTCCGCTGGCACTGCTACTGCTGCTTGTACCCAGCCAGTTTCACCTGTTAACATGGCTGCGATTATGATTCGAACTGAGACCAGAGCCGCCGATGGCATTTGTTTGGGAGCCACCACCACCACCGCCGCCGCCAGTGCCCAGGCCTCCGCCGCCGCCAGCTGAAAGTATTCCTTGTAGTTAGTCTAAAAAGCAAGAGAGGTACAGTCACTCACCTGAATAGCCCGGGGAATGCTGATAATAGTCTCTCCTTCCATAATCCGGCTCGTAGTCCGAACTGTCGTAATGTCCTCCTCGTCCACCGCCACCGCTAATGGCGCCCACGCCGCCCAAAATGTTGGCTGGTGGTCCGTGGGGTACGTGGCCGTGGCTGCCGTAAGAGTAGCTATCGTACGATTGATGCGGATCATAGCCAATGCCGTCGTCATAGCCGCGACTTTAGGGAAATCAAGGATATAAGCAAGTGATCTAGAATTACACTTTCCCATCAAACACTTACCCGTACGTCTCATCCATGGCAGTCCTGGCTTTCTCCAGTATGGACATCACCTTCTGCTTGGGAGCGAGCACATTTTTGCTGAAGGACGACTGCTGTTGCAAGCCTCTGAAAGAGCGAATAGAAATTAATTAAAGAAGGTTATGGCAGACTTATGAACCAGTCAATTACCTATAACTATGATGCACTGCATTTTTGGCTCCACCGATGGGATTTATGGAGCCACCCATGGCATTGTTTCCGGCGCCACCGCTGTGAGAGTTCTTCTTGTAGCCGCCACTCTTGCCGGTGTCGTTGTCATTCAGGCTAGTGCTGTCCATGAGCTCACGCAGCTGCTCCTGCCGGATGATGTCGTTGCTGTCTGGGATCAGATATTTCCTTAGTTCAGCCATGGCGTAGGCAATTCTGGCATAGGCCTCGGCAGGCGGCGCTATAGTGGATATCTCCACATGCAGGTCGCTGTTAAGGTGCGCGTACTTGGGATCCTTGGAGCTGCGCAGTTCTTCCTCTTTGACGCGATCGCGCATGGAGTTGCGTCCCAGGACTGTCATCTTGCAGAGCGTCTCCTCCTGCAGGCGACGTAGGGAATTGCCCTTCGGTCCCAGCAGCTTGCCCACAAAATTGAACTGGGAAATAAACATTTCTAGGTGAAATTTCTGAAGGATACACTGAAAATCGTATGATATTCACCTTGGGATGTTCCCTTATGGGCACCAGGACACGTTGTGAGATTCTCAATGGCTTTTCTCTATAAATATCAGCATATTTTTGCTCCCGACTGGGAATCCTTCCTGTGGTCTGCACCTTTTCGATCTCTACAAAATAAAATGATTAGAAATCTATATGGATTTAAAGAATAATTTCACGTACCACCATCCAGCAGCTTCTCGGCAATGGGAAACTTCCTGTCCATGCGGTTCCGCTCGGCCATGCAGTCCCGTATGTACTCGTTGGCCTTCTCGTTGATCTGCACACTGCCACCGGAATCTGTGCCATGGTGACCGTGATCGTGGGCGGAGCTATCGCCGTTGTGGGCTCCACCGGGAGCTACACTCGAAGCGGAAGGCTTGCGTGGTTTACCGCCAAACTCGTTGTCGTCGTCGTTGAAAGCGGAAAAGTCACCATTGCCGTCGTACTTTTCGGTCATTGTTTTTATTTCGCCCGTCAATCCGGAGCAACGATCTGCAATCGGGAAAAATTTAAATTATTCCACCGTATCTTAACATAAACACACTTTTTTTTTCAAAATAGGAAAATATTGATTACGGTCATTTTTATCCATTATGCGCGTATAATATTTAATATTGCGAATTTAATATATTTTAAGAAAGATCACGGCTAATTAAACCCGAAGGACTAACAAAAATGATATGGTCGTAGAAATGCGATCTTACAGAACTTGACCTCAGGTGAGAAATACATATAGTTTTTTACATTTGTATTCAAACTACATTACAAATTACATTACATTATTTGACTCTCTTTTACGACGTTTCTAATATTTATTGTATTCGTTTTAATTAAATGCAGTTATTTATTGAAATCAATTAAGCTACCCTTGGGCAGCTCTTGCACATACACACTGTTAAAGAACACACACACACACACACACACACACACACACATTGGGCAAACCAACCACCAAGCAAAATTGAGCGAATTTCAAATTGTTGCCTTCAGGCAAATACAAACACAACAAAAAAACAAAGCTTATGGTAAATAGAACCGGTAAAAACAATGTTTTTCCACTTGAATTCTGGAATATCAACATTAACGCGCTGTCTTGGCATTTTCCGCCTGCTCTACGTGTGTCCAACTGGTGCTCGGGTTCCCCGCTTCACACCCCCGCGGACCTAACTGCATTTTCACTTTCAGTGGACGCAGTTTTTCTTCTATTTTTTCTGTATTTGCGAAATTGCATCGAACGCTTTTTGTTGCTTTGCCGTTTTGCGAACAGCGGGAGTTTCACGGTTTTTCGCATGCAAGATAACTTTGCACGAGTCTACACTAGATTATTACCACTGTTAAGGGCCTTTTCGATTCTTGCTTTCAATTTAAAATGTTGCGAAAAAACTGCAATTGGCGAAAAAAAACAATACCGAACAGTGTGACCGAGCCAATGAAGCGCAAAAAGGCGGGTCATAGGAAAATACCATACTATGGCGGCTTCTGGTACAGTGAACGCTCAATAAAGGAAAGCGTCTGTAATTTCATCATTATCTTATAAAAATATATTTTATTTTAACGTTTTAGTTTCATTCAATACGATTTTAGAGGCTGTGCCTTATAACCAGCATTATTTTATCACTGATTCTTTAATCTTTTGTGAACCATTGTTGCTTCACAGTTTTATACTCTTGCAGAGGAATATAATTTTAGTCAGAAACTCCGAGAACGAGTAATTTCCGACCCTATAAATAAAAAAACAAGCGAGTCGATCTAGCCACGTCTGGTAGAAACATATTTTACCAATTATTTATCAATTTTATAAGAGTTATATCATTAAAGTTAAATAATGTAAATTTAATTTGATAATTTATAACTTATTTTTTTCGGTGTACCTATTAAGAAATGTGTATATCGATAAGTTTTTAATCAGTATTTTTCTTGTATTTTGGAGAAAAATAGTATTTTTGCAAAACAAACCGCTGGGCAGACGCGCAGTGGCAACTTTGTTGTGATTTTTAGGTAAAAAATTAATTAAATTCGTTTAAAACAAAGGTTAAGGTCTTGAAAATGTTGTTTAAACAGAACCTTGGCATGTAAACTTTAGCTGATTCCACATACATCTGTTGGAAATGCGCTGGAAAATGTGAAAATAACAAAATCCGACAAAGCATCTATTTAATCCGGAGTTTAGTTTCCGATTTCTTGTTTTTTCATGCCTCTTTAACGGGAAATTTCCCAAGAAATGTCCGCCGCCCAGAGCCCTAACTCCTGCGTGGAAACGCCCAAGGCGCCCGAATGGCTATCGAAGCTGGAGAGCCGGCGCGAGCAGCTAAAGCGCTCCAAGCTGGGCCACGAGTCTGGAGCCGGCGCTCCTTGCTTGGAGTGCAAGGATAAGTGTCCCGGCCTCGACCTGCACTTCTGGCGCAAGGTGTGTCGCAACTGCAAGTGCAGAAAGAACCAGCACGCGTGTCCAGAGGACGATGACGCGGCCGGTTGGGCACAGTTCGAGATTCTGGGCCAGATAAGGGCCAAACCAGCTTGTGAGTTATTTATTTATCTGGAATACGTCGTAGGGTCTTCATAATCAATGATATATCTTTGCAGACATAAAAATCAAGGCGTTGGCCAGCCAGCCAGTTCAATTGGAGTGGGTGCCGCCGAATGCCGCTCCCGACGTGGTCACTGACTACATGGAGATGCTTGGCACTGCCCAGATACCAGTGGCTGGCAGCGATGCAGCCATTAAGCGGAAACAACAGCTGGAGTTGCAAGTGCCGCCGCATGATTTGGATGCTGCTCTGTGCGATGGACTGTCGGAAACGGAGGCCCGCCAGCTGCAGCAGTATGTGCAGCGGCTAAGGGAGCAGTGCGTCGGACAGGGTGTAGTTGTGCGCCTGGGCAATCGTCTCAATCACGCTCAGGTGGAGCATGTGACTCCAGTTGCTGCAATAGCGCCCCAAGAAGCAGCCAAGTCCTGGCATATTTTGGGTATACCTCCCGTTGCTGATGCCACTCTAAACGAATTGTTGGCCAATCCCAAGGTGGCGCAAGCCTTAGCCAGTCCGGCCAGTGCTCAACCCAGGCTGCTGGTGGCCTTCTCCGAGCCTCTGTCGGACTCAACCGCTCAGTTTGAGGAGAATGGCGGAGCTCTGCGGGCACAGACCAGAGAGAAGCTGCTGGGGATCAGCAAACCGGCACTGCACAGCCTCGTAAGCCATGGTGTGATCTATGATAAGGTGCTGGGTGTGCTGCAGGTAAGCTAGCTTGTATATAAAATACGAAAGTACATTTAAAAACCTTTTTTAATAGGAAAAGAACCTCAACATCTCGCGGGATCCCAAGCTGGGACCCATCGCCGAGTTCCGCAAGGAGTATGTCAACAATCCGCTGTTCCAGGCAGATATCAATACAATCTGCCCAACGCCACTGCAGCAAGTTACGCCCATGAAGTCCTCACCGGGCACGCCTTTTAACTCACCGCTGCCGCTGAAGAACCCCGTGCATGCCAGATTTGGGACCCAGATGCGCCAGGATACACCCATACGGCGGGTTAAGTTCGGTGGCGTCTCCACCGTTGTCTACGATTGCGGTCTGCCTGCCAACACTGACTACGAACGCGATCCGGTCTTTGCACAGATTGTCCAGGCAGAACCTCTCAAGCAGGCGCTGCAGGAGGCCCGATCCGGGCGCGCTCCATCTGCGGTGGTTATTTCCAATATTCCAGCTGCGGTAGGGAGTCTCGCAGAACTCAAAGGCCTAGCTCCATCCACCAAGGTTCAACTGCAGTCCGTGGGAGTGGACAGGAACATGCTGCAATCGGCCGTATCCAATGCTCCATACTACGACCGGCTATTCCGCTCGCTGCAGGACAAGGGCATTGGTCACGACCAATGCCAGTTGCTGCAGCCGCTGAAGCAAGTACACGACTGGCTTCTGGACGACAATCAATTGCTCGAAGATATCGACAAGGTCTTTGCTGATATGGCCAATGGCAGTCGGGATATTTCCTACCCGAAACCCATTCTCGGCGAGTTGTCTACGTCCCAGAGCAGTGACTCTGGCTTCCACTCGAAACCCTCGACGCCAGGCTATGCCAGTGAAGATTTCAGTGCCAATCAGGGTAGATTCGCCAGCATTCCAGGCATTGAAGATATGAACATGTATCCAGGTTGCTACGGCATGCCGGAGCAGTTCCAGCAGCTACGTCTGCAGGGAGAGGAGGTCGCTGCGGGCAAAGGTGAGCTCAGGATGATGGCATCTTTAGTTTATTTGCATTATTTGTTTGTATATCGCTTCGTTGGTCATGTATTGTGAATTTTGACACCTTCACCAGACTGAATTGCATCATCAACACATTGAATTTACCTAATACCTATATTTTCAGATCCCCAGCCCATCATCATGTGTCGCGACTGTAACGAACCCATTGCATATGGCGAGGTGGCCGTCAAAGCGGATCGTGCTGGCAAGGAGATTGCCTGGCATCCGGGCTGCTTCAAGTGCCAGACATGCCGTGAGCTGCTGGCCGACTTGGTTTACTTCTTCCACCAGGGTCAAGTTTACTGTGGACGCGATTTGGCCATCAAGCTAAAGATTCCACGCTGCCGCGCCTGCGACGAGCTTATCTTCACCAAGGAATACACCGCCGCTGAGGGTGCTACCTTCCACATCAAGCACTTCTGCTGCTATCAGTGCGATGAGCCGCTGGCCGGACAGCAGTACGTTCCCGACGAGAACTCCAATATGCCGCTGTGCCTGCAGTGCTACGATCGCTTCTTTGCCGTCGCCTGCCAGCGCTGTCGCCTGGCTATAGGGCCAGCAGATCAAGGCGTGGCCTGGGGCGAGATCCACTGGCATGGCCAGTGCTTCGTGTGCGCAGGCGTCGAGTGCTCCAAGTCCCTGATCGGTGGTAGATTCTGCGTAAAGCAGGACATGCCCTTCTGCAGTCCCACCTGCGTGCGCAGCGTGCTTTCATAAGGGAACGATTAATCCCTGACTACAGTATTTATCCAGTATATAACTGCACAAAGGATCAAAGACAGTAACGCACAATTAATGTATTTATGACGACAATACACAATATTAGTAACCAGAACTAGTGATCTACGAATGCCACAGACTAAAGTGCCTAGAATATAGACTTGCATTTAAAAGAAAGACCTTCTGCTAATTTTACGTTATCAATCAAATTTATATGGCAGTTTTTGCTTTATCTACGAATTCTTCTGATGCTCCATCTGGCTTTTTGAAAATTTAAACAGATCGCAATATTCAACCATTCAAATTTTGATTTGGTTATTAAAACGCAAAAGGTACAAATATTTACACAATTCCATACCGCTTTTGCCGTGCCAATAGACCAAATAGATTATATATATATATATACATATTTTATATACGAAGTATACAAATATATAATTAGACAGCAAGTATTATACATGTATACAGGAAAGCCCCATTTTAAACGTTTTTAATAAAGATTTTACTCGAACCCAAGAAAACAAGAGGGGTTTTTCGTATTCTTTACGTATCTGCTGGTAGTTTTTATTGGTAATTGCATTTCTCGATTTAATAATTAATCATAATAATTCCATTTCTTGTTGATTTTTCTTGTCCTTGTTTGTATATGTTGTATATGCATGGTATAAAGATGATGTTGCAGAAGCGAAAACAAGGGGAAATCACATTCAATCGCATATAACACGTGAGAGGAGACAGAGATAGAGTGAGAGATACTTTGAGTTGTATATTATTATAGTTTGCATTTTATTTCAAGGATACTTTCATAGTGGCTCCAGTATTCTACAGATTAGAGTTGCGCTCGCACTCGCCCAGTGCCTGGCATTTGTTCAGTTCAATTGTATTGCTAAGTATTGGGTGCGTACGTAAAACCATAATATGGCGTACTATCAAGTTGTCTGTGTCTCCCTCTTAGCTGCCTAGGAAACATGCGTTCGAGTTGGGGATCGGAGGTTTCGGATTTGGTTGGGGGTTCGAAGGAGTGTCGAGTGTTTATTCAGCATGATTTCATCGTTCTCTACGTCTCTACTATACGCTCTCCAGTTAGTTGCTTTTGCTTTCGTTTTTGTTTTGTTTTATTTTGATCTTACACATTAACTCTAAGTTGCCTTTGCTCTTCTTCCTTCAGCTTGTTATTGGTTTCTCTCGTTAAATATGTATTAATTACATTGATAATTAGTTTAATCATAATTTCTGTTTCTGTTCTTTCGTAAACAATTTTACATGATAGGATTCGCTCGTTCTTCCTTTGAGTGTGTCTGTGTAAGGATTCTCGTTCTCAGTAATTTGCTACAACAAAAACTATGCCTTAAAATAATACTTTAGTTTTAGTTACAGTGTTCATTCATTTTGTTTATGTCCTCTGCTCGCTGCTAACTTGGCATTTATCAATTTTGTTCTGTTTGTGTCTACCTCTAAAAAACAATCAACAAAGGAGAGTTGGGGGCTCAAATAAAATGGTTTGTAACTAATATATTTGTATATAAATGTACTTAATAGCGGGGGGATAAAGGAAAACGACAACTTAAACTAAGGCTTAATAATTAAGAGGGCTTTATGGGGGGATAGAGTTAGGTGTGGGTGGGGGGAAAACACTAATTACAAAGCGATATGGCCACACGATGTGTGTATCGTGTTGCTGTTTCTATTTTCTCTTTCGTAAATTTGTTAAATAACTAAAAAACTTTATATAACTTATAACCCAGGTCGGTCCATCCGTCCCTCCGTTCGTCTCTGTCTGTCTTTCTTGCCTTCAGTCCCGAGTCTAAGGTCCAAGTCCTGTTAGCCACGCTCCGCCGTTGCGCGCACATCTTAAAGCTATACACAAAAAGTTAAGTTAAATTGTATATAAAGATTTGCTTCCATCGTTTTCGGGTCTCCTCCAGCGGATGCTGGCTCCTGAGGTTCTCCTCGGACGCAATCTCGCCTCCTCTGCCTGGCGTGACCCGAACCACTTGCTGCTCCCTCCATATGCTGCTGCTGCTGCTGCCGCCGCTGTCAACAATTCGTGTAGACGCCCTGCGTGTAATAGAGCTCCGTGATCCGTTCCGGCAGCGTGCTGTACAGGTTGGTGATCAGGTCAAGAGGCAGGCGGGACCACGCCTCCTTGATGCGGAAAATCAAGTCGTCCTTGCGAGAAAACTTCCTACCGCCGTCGAACACCTCGCGGATGAGCCAGCCCCACACGTTCTCCATGATGTTCAGATCGTGCGCAATGGTCGGCCACTTTTGTGTCTTCAACCCCTCGGCATTCAGCAGATCCTGGGCGGTGGGCAGGGCGTGGGACATCCAGTTGTGATCCTGCAGGACAAACTCAGTGCTGCCGCCCAGTTTCGTGACAATATTCGGTCGCTCCCTCATGATTGCCTCGATGCACGACTCTGGTCGCTGCTTGGCCGACGACACCTCCAGATGCAGGGCTCCGCCGACGCAGACCATCAGGTAGATGTACACAGAGTTGCCGCGCGGTCGTTGCGACAGCGTGCGCTCGTAGTTGCGCAAATCGTGGAAATAATAGGAGAAGCCATCAGGTCCGTCCAAATTGAACCGGCGCTCGTCATGGAACACCACTCGCCGCCAATGCTCCTCGCTCCACACAATGTACGTGTTGGCGAAGTTGAGGCGCTCCGTTTGATTGTACTGCGACAGCACTGGCTCCGTTTTAAGCTTCTTGGCACAGTTCGCTGAGCTGCTAGCGCTGGAGGAAGAGCTGCTGGACGAGGAGCTCGACGACGCGGATGATGAAGACGATGAGGACGAGGAGGCGGATGAGCTTGGAGCGACAGAGGCGGCTGAAGCGCGTAAGAGCGCATTGGCGGCCGCTGCAATATTGCTGCTGCTAGGAGCACCAACCGCCGCTACCCGGGACACAATGGTGGGCGAGACGCTGGATCCGTTCGACTGTTGGGTGGGCGCATGGCTGGAGGCAGTGCCGCCCGTACTCGAGCTGGCTGCCGAGAAGTTTGAGTTCTGGTTGAGGGCATGCACGGGCAGGTGCGATTGTGGCTGCTGACTCTTGAGAGGCTGCGGCTGTGGCGGTGGCGCCTGCTGCTGCTGCTGCGGTTGCTGCTGGTAGTACGGATGGTGGTGATGGTAGCTAATGTGCTGCTGGTGCTGGTGGATTGTTGGCTGCTTGAGCTGCAGCTGCTTCAGCTGCGTCTGCGACTGGGCCAGCAACTGTTGCTGGTGCTGCTGGTGGTGCTGTTGCTGCTGTTGGTGCTGCTGCTGTTGCTGTGGAATGGGCATCTGCTGGATGCCCGGATGCTTCAGGTAGTAGTGCAGGGCCATAAGGTTATTGGCACTGCTGGCTGTGCTGGTGGGTACGGGCACGGAGACGGGCACTACACCGGGATTGACAGTAATACCGTTGCCTACTCCACCCTGGAGCAGCTGGACTGTGGTGCCCGCTCCTACGGGTGGGCCATGTACGGCTGCAGCCGCCGCCGCTGCTGCTCCAATGGCGCCCGCACTGGCAGCCAGTTGGGCCGCCGATTTGGGGTCATAGATGAACTTGTTGAAGTTCTGCAGGTCGTCTGGACTGAGCACTAGCGTTTTCATTTGGAGTGGCTGTGAGTAAGTGTGTCTTTGCGGCTCTAAAGTCTGAGGTCTTAGTGCGGTTTCCGTTTCAGCTGCGCGCCGCTGGCTCAGCTGCTGCTCATGGATTTTCGGGGTTTGGAACCCTTCAAGTTGCTGGTTGGCTGTTGGGCTGGGCTAAATGCAAGTCCGGGTTTCGGGTCTCTATGTTACGAAGCTACGAAGCGAACACGCTCACGCACTTTCGGCTGGCTGGCTGGCTGACTCGATTTCCAAATTCGTTGCGCGTTCGACTTGGCAACCTGTTCCTCTCCTTCTTCTCTTTCGTTCCTCTGCGCCGCCGCGTCACCGTGCCTGCCTGCTCTCTCTCTCTCTTATCAAAGGGCTGCCCGATCGCCTCGGCTCTCCGACTTCTTCTGATTGCAAAACTCTCGGCGCTCGTAAAAAGATGTCGGTTTACTTTCCCACCGTCGTCGGGCACGTACAACAAGCGAGCGTTGTGTGTATGGTATGGTGTGTATGCTGGCCTGGCCGGTGTGTGTGTGTGTGCTGGAGCACTTCCAGTATGTTATCCTCTTTTGTTGAAGTGGTTTTTCTTGTCGCTGGCTCTGGCTGGTGCAGTTGCTCCGCTGGCGTGCAAATGTTTCCTTGTTTCTTTATTCTGTCGCTCTCTGTGGCCGTGTGGCTCTTAGGTATTCCGCTGTCGTCGACGTCGATTTACCTGGAATAAAATAAAAAGCAGGTATGTGAGAAAAGAGTCTTGTTTCACACTTTGCATTGTGTGTGCATGTATCTCCAGCGAGTGTATATATATGTATATATATATTGACTGCATCAGCAGCATGTATTCAATATTTTTCGGCTGGTGAAATCAACACACAAAACACAACAAGACGTCGACGTCCGTTTCTGAACAGATGTTCCGAGATGTGCTCGGATTTCAGGTCCCTTTTCAGTGTAGAAGAAAGGGTCTCTTTCAAGTGTATATTCCCTAAACCGAAATGGGAGCACACGCATACTCCACACACACACGCATATCCTATTAAGAGTGTGTGTGAATATTTTTTTTTGAAATTTGCAGTATTTGCAATTTTCGGGTTTTCGCCAGCAGGTCTTTACTTCTCCGGCTGTTTACCTTTTGTTTTTCGTTTCGTTTGGTTTCGTTTCCTTTTCTTTCTCTTCTTCATTTCTTTTCTTTGGGAAACAAGTGGTTGGGTGTGGGAAATGTCAAAAGTGCACTGGCACAAAAGATGGCCAAGAGAATATATGAAGCTGGCAGGTGTTGCAAATCCTGCAGAGAATTGTTTTGCGATTGGCAGGCCAAAAATAGGTTCCCAGCGTATGGTTTTTTTTTCATTCTTTGCAAACCCAGCACAGCGATAAGGCTGCGGCCCCATCCCAGGGGGAGATTACCCAGCTAGTATATGGGAATGGAATGGTTATTGTTACGGGTGCGGGCAGTACGTGTATGTATTTGGCGTTATCATCTGACTCTGGCTATGACGACTCTTATTTTGATTCTGATTCCGATTCCGGCGACCACGCGCACGCACATCGCTCCCCCCATTCATAATCCCCACACTACCGTCTGTACAGAAATCCCGCACCTATAATATATCTATATCTATATCTAATCGCCCCGAATGAATTTCAGCCCTACGTTATGGCCTTTTCAGGCGACGGCGACTTTAATACGCATGTTTTTCCCACCGCTCTCGCCCTTTGCCGTCGCCCTTGCCAGGCCTGTAATGAAATTAAAACTAAATTCAGCTCGCCACGGGGATGAAAATCGAGTTTTTCGATTCGACTAAGGGAAGAAAGCTGCTGCTGCTGCTGCAAACGTATGTATGTATCTGGGTGTATGTGCGGGGTTGCTGTCGTCGCGGCAGGACGCAGGATGTAGCTGCTATGGATGTGAATGCTCCTGTGGCTGTGTCAACCGAAGGGCTGTGTGTGTGTGCGATTGCTGCAACAAACTCGGTCGCTCTCCGATCGAAACTGCTGCAGCTGTGTGTGCCTGGAAACTGCTCCCCGCCTGCCTGGCCTTCCTTGGTTGGGGCAAAAGTTTCTCCGGTCGCAAGCCTGGTCAGCGGGTCGAAAGTTCAACGGAAAAGACCTTCGAACTAATACAGCATTTTTGCCAAGAAGAAACCCATACGGCATGAATCAGCAAATTGAAGTGTTGTGAAATTCGATGAGAAATTATGATCTTAAGGAGCACCCGGAATTTCGACAATAGAAATTTGAATTTCTATAAAACTTATACTTGTGTACATACTTCTTAATTGCTTGTAAATAAATTTAATAATTATACTTTTAGTTGTTTATAATTGATTGATGAAATTCTATGAAAAATCTTGTAAAACCTAACATAAAACCATCATTAAATAAATTCACTTTCTCAATGTTCAGTTGAGCCTTAACGTAGAATTTTAGATAAAATAAAGAGTATTTTTTATCGATATCTAAGGATATAAACTGCATGACCAAGAAGCTGATGCGAAATTGTTTAGGATATAAAGTGAAATAGTATTAAAAGTAGAAAAGACTAAGACACAAGAAGGAAAAAAGAAGCCAAGTTCTGGAAGGTGACCCCTCTATATTGTTTTATGATTTCCATTTTTGGAAAAATCACAGTTTTTCAAATATCATAACTAAGCCAAAAATGCATTAATTTTAATTCGGAAAGCTTTCCTTTGTTAGTTTTTAATAGATTAACAAATCTGCATACTCAGTTTAAAACCTCAAATTTTTGAAATTTTTTGAAATTTTTAACGATAAACGATAACGATAAAAAATTAACAGAAATGTATTTTCTTTCAAACATGTCTAGAAAGATTCGCCTGTTGATCCTGATCAAGAATATATATAAATATAAATCGGAAATGACTCCTTAACTGCGTTTCAAGCTTCTGACTGAACCTAGAGTTCATATTTCAGCTATATGATATTGTCGTTTGATTCGGCCCATCCCGTTTTACAATTTGACAAATAAGACAATAAGAAAGTTTTTGTAAACATTAAACAAAAAAGGCGTGTATTACCTTTAAAATATTTTTCAGATTGGTTTACGGCCAATAAAGTCATTAAACCCAGACGGACGGCCTTTGTTTTAACATCCAGTAATTATTAGTATAATGGCAAAAAGGTGACTATTATTGAGACTGGCGTGTTACCCAATAAATTGACAAAACTTCTTGGAATTGGGTAGCTAGTTTAGAAAAACACTGACACCTATTAAACGATATTTTAGCTGGGAAATTGAAACCTGAATCCGTGGTTTGGTCAACTGTTTTGCCAAGTTTTCTAATTATCATTGTGGCGGCCTGACGGCGGACAGCTTTCTACAATTTGCGGAGAACACAAGTGCTACTCATACTTCTGGCTTCAATCGATGGCACAGCATTTTCCATACACATTTTCCGATCCGATTAGATTATTTCACATTCCTCTGCGCAATCACCGGAGAAGTTAGCAGTGGAAAGTGGAGTTCGGTCGGAGTTGCAGCCGCAGAGAGATAGCATTCGCAGTCGCCCGGCACTGATTGATAGTTGGGCTGCTGCTCTGCGAATTCTCAACTCACATGATAAGATAAGCTCGCAAATGCTCCGAGAACCATTGTTTGGCGCTGCGTGAACTTTGGCCTTGTGTTCGGCCAAAAAAAAGAGACAAAGACAGAAACAAAACAAGAAACTGGTTGTACTTGAGGGGGAAACTACAGCCAGAGAAGCAGCAAGCTCTTTTCGATTTTTCGATGCTGGTTGCCAGCAGTTCGAAGCCCTTGGAATGCTGCTGGCAGGCCTAAAAAAGCAGAGTTTTTTCCAACGCTTTTCGCTCGGTTTTTGTAAGAGGGCTTTGTCTGTATATGTGCTACACACAATCTAATCAAATGCCCTTGATAAGTCTCTGAACTCCGGGATCTTTTGAGACTGCTGCTGCTGACTAATCACATTTTAAGCAATTGAGTCATGTCAGGGAAATGTTCATATACACGTTCGTTCAAATTCACTGTTTCTTCGTTTTTTATTTTGTGATTCAGTTTAATGAGGAATTTTCCGTGATTTTTACTAGTGTTCACTGGCTTTCATTGGCACATTTTGTCCCGTTTTGTAACGCGTCGACACTGTTTTTATGGCCGCGACTGTGACGCCCTGCGTGATTTGTTTTTGTTCGTTTTACGCTTTGCGGGGGGATGCTCCCTCTTCCACTGCCTCACCCGCGCCCCATTACGGTTTCACGTTATGGTTTTAACGTTGCAGTCGTCAGTTTCCCGTTACGTTGCACTCACACACACGCACGCACATGCACACAGAGAGCGAAAGAGACGCCGCGGCGAGCAAGATGCATGTGGGGGAGACGATGCAGACGATGGGGAGGGAGTTGAGGGCGACATGCATATGGACATGTGTAAATATCCAAAAATATAAAACGAACCCAGCGACTGAACCGACGTAATAAAATCCCTTCCGCGCTGCAGGCAGCGGCGCTGGCAGCGCAGCCACATGCTTTTGCTTCTATATTGAGCCAGCCAGCCCTTATGTGTTCAACTCTCCGTTATGTACAACAACACAACCAGTCCGTCCCGCATACATACAAGCGGGCACTCACACTCACAATCGCTGTCCGAGTCTATGTATGTATGTATGTTTCGTGCGTGTTTGTGCGCGTCGTGTTTTTGTGATGCCATCGTCGATATTGAAAGTACATGTGTACATACATATATAAGTACGTCTGTACGTGCGTGTGTTCATGTATATGCAGCTATGTACCAAAGAACGTTGAACGAGAATCGAGAATCGCGTTGGAAATGAACTGAACTGAACAAAACGGAATACAGCACAGCAGAAATGAAATGAAATTGCCTCTGTTTGCGAACAACGGGACGAAGATACGATCCGAAACGAAGAGGTGATTCTTTTTTTCAGTTAATTCTTTGCTTTGCACACACACTGTTTGCTGCCTTTATGTATGTATTGCCTATATACCCGTCCCGTACCGTACGTACTGCCTGTGTGTGTGTGTATCGTTTTCATTTTCACGGAACAAATATGGCTGCAGCACACAAAAAGCACTGCTTGGCCCACACTTTTTTCACTTTTTCACGCTCTTGTGGCTCGTTTTTTCGTTTTAAAGTACTGCTGACTGGCCGATTTGGGTTTCGTGGATTGGGATTCCGTTTGCGTTGCGTTTGTGGCTTGCCTTTCGGCTGCTTTTGGGGTCTGCGAGTGCGTGATTACGCCATTTTCTTTGCTCGTTGGCTTTGCACGCCCATCTTTCGAATTACCTTTGCGACTTTATTTCGATTCGATTGATCTCTGCACTCTCGCTGCACTCGCGGTCACTGTGAACGGAAGGGGCGCTGGTTCGATTGCCAATCAATTTATTGACTATTCACGGTTCCACGGGCTCGGAGCTCAGAGGGGATTTATTAAATGCAAAAAAACTCACGGGTTTTCACATTAGTGGTGGCAAACTATTAGCTATCGATCCTATCGATGTTTAGATAGTTTTCAATAATCGATGTTTATGCACTATCGATATTCTTTTAGTACACGACATGAAATCAAAAATACTAGAAAGTTGGATGGCGTTAGGAGATTCTGACGACACACGTTTAGTATTTCTCGAGCGGGAAGTTTAAATTTAAATAAAATGCTCTATTCTCGTACAATTTGCCACTCGCTCTCACTTGCATATCTTTTTTTATATTTTCAAACGAAGAAAAGATGCAACTCTAAGCACAGTGTGGCAACGGCAATTTGAACTCGAGATACTATAATAAATAATAAATAATCGATTTCTTAAAACTGTGTTTTAAAGTGTCTATATATTTAGGTTCCTAAAAATACATACAAATGTATGGAACATATGTTTATGTTACATATATTTTTACTCTAAATGATTTATAGTCTACATTTGTTTGTGGAAAGTACATAAGATAAGCATGTCATTTTTATTCGGAAACGCCCTATGCTGTTTTAAGAACCGCATTTTCCGGGAAAATATGAATCCGAGAAGTTGACAAGGTCTTAATTTGAATTTGTTATGGTTTAAAATTTAATAAAATTAACATTTTGTGTTTCTGTTTATATTTTAATTTATTAAATTTTCAATTATTTTTAATTTTTCTAGTATACAAAATATTTTAATAAATAGTCTTAAACCAGTCAAATTTAGATTGCAGCTACTAGCATCTCCTCTTCACTTGTACGATTGATGTTAGTTAGATTATCCTCTAAACAAAAATCCGGAAGCTTAACACTGATGTCCGCCATATGCCGTAGCTTCCGAGAGATGGTGTAGTAAAGAATAATTAATGTAATTATGATTAGCATGGAGCCCACGATGGGCCACGTATTACTGGCTACATTGTGTTCCTGCTCCACACTTGAATCCTTCACAGCCATCAAAGTCCTTACGACGAATCCATTCGCCTTAGTTAGCAGAGTTAGCATTGTCATAAGATCTAGCAGAAGCGATTTCCTCTCCATTATATTAAACAGCCAGACTCCGACTAATTATTAGAATGGAATGGCTTGAATTAAATAGCAACCAATATTTTGCTGATAATTCCTACGTATTCGCAAGAATTAGGAAGAGAGATCTTGAACTTTTTTACTGCAGAACACTCTATCTATTTCTATGGAAAGCTCTTGCTACCCAGTCAAGAGTAATTTCCGACCATATAAATTATATATGTACATATGTATGTATGTATATTCTTGATCAGCATCAATAACTATCTCTATCTCTATCTCTCTGTCTCCCTCTCTCTCTTTCTCTCTTCCTCTGTTAATCTCTAGAGATATCGCTTTCTCTCTATCTCTGCTTATCTCTCGAGATATCTCTTTCTCTCTCGCTCACACTTTCTCTGTTCTCCTCACTTGGGGGGACTATAAATACAGGCACTGCCTTCTCACCGACCTCAGTCTGTCCGCGGCCTCCCCGCTGTTTACATCTATAGTGATAGTGATTGTTCTTCGACTCCAAAAATATTACTGATCAGTGCAATACATCTGGATAACCAGGAAGACCTTCTGCCATGAATGCAAAGCCCAATTGCAATCACCAAGGAATGAAATAAGCAATGACGAATAAAATTAACCTCTACTGCGGTAAGTCTTAACAATGGAAATAATATCATATATAATGAAGAAATCCCTCACAAAAATTTGAAAAAACTGGTAAAAAGAAAATTAATCGATGTTTTTATCGATGTTGAAATTAAATTTGGAAAGTCAGCTGATTTGGCACAATCCGCAACCAGTATTTTTTATGGATTGTGCTGCAGCGAAAGCTGGCCACACCGACGGTCTTTTGATGACGACAAATTTGTTTTAAAAGTTTCTTTAAAAATGCGCAAGCTCTCCGACGCTACGCCCGCACACGTATTTGGAACAAATGTTTGCTGAACAACGGTTGCCCACTCAATGTAAGCGCCAATACCTCTTCCACCGCCGCCGCCGTCGCCGCCGGAATATTTTGTTTACAGTTTTGCTTGCACAAGTGCACAAGTCCAAGTCATCGGTTCAGCTTCGGTTACGGTGTCGGCCTTAATATTAGTGGCAAAAACGCAGTCGAACATTAGTTCACACCGTATCGCTAGCAGTCGCAGGTAAGTGCTTATCAGAACAGCCCTCGTCCAGCCCCCTTTGTCTGTAGCTATCTCTTCACCTTTTGCCTACGCGGCCAGACACTCTCAATCGAAGAGAAAGTAAGGCGGACATCCCTTTTGCCGACGACAAGATGATGCTGGCCCACTCCGGACATGTGATGACGCTGGCCAATAGCATAATAGGCGTTGGGATCCTGGCCATGCCCTTCTGCTTCCAGAAATGTGGCATTCTGCTGTCCATCCTGCTGCTCGTGCTGAGCAATGGCATCACGAGGGTGTGCTGCCACTACCTGATCAAGACCTCACTGCTGACACGTAGGAAGAGCTTCGAGCTGCTCGGCCTGCACGCGTTCGGCGCTTCCGGCAAGCTGCTGGTGGAGTTGTGCATCATTGGCTATCTGATTGGAACGTGCATCACCTACTTTGTGGTCGTGGGGGATCTGGGGCCGCAGATAATAGCTAAGCTGTTTGCGCTAAACGTGGCCGAGCATATGCACCTGCGCAGCCTTGTAAGAGAGATGATATTTGTTCCCTTCATGAATCTGTACTAATCTTTAATCTCTAGGTAATGGTGGTGGTTACTGTGGTCTGCATTGTGCCGCTGGGCATGCTGCGGAATGTGGACAGTCTGTCAGCTGTGTGCACCGCCTCCATTGGCTTCTACGTCTGCCTGATGCTCAAGATCGTGCTGGAGGCAGAAAGCCACATAGCGGCCAATGATTGGACAGAGAAGGTTCTCTACTGGGAGCCTGCGGGCGTGCTCCAGTGCTTGCCCATTTTCAGCATGGCGCTCTCCTGTCAAATGTGCGTACTCCGAACCTGTAAATCCCTTTTTAGTGAATATTTATCAATCTGTATCTGCGTGCAGGCAGCTGTTTGAGGTCTTCGAGAGCATTAACAACCAGAGTCTCGACAAGTTGAACGGCATTGTGCGCAACGCCACTTGGATCTGTACGTTTGTTTACATATCTGTTGGCTTTTTCGGCTATGTGGCCTTTTGCACCCATACGTTTTCAGGTGAGTACAAAAGACCAGCTTTGTTTACGCATTTTCTAAATGTTATATTCTCTTACGTACTCTCAGGCAACATTCTGGTGAATTTGTCGACCTCTTTCGGCAGTGATATCATCAAAATAGGCTTTGTGCTGTCGATTGCATTCAGCTTTCCTCTGGTTATCTTTCCCTGCAGGGCCAGTATCTACTCTCTGCTGTACAGAAAGGTAAGCAAACGATCCCCTTAAGTGCTCTGTGACTGATAAATGGCCATTGCATTGACAGGGACACACGGAAAGCAGCAGTTACATACCTGAGCAGCGCTTCCGGCTTATCACTATCTTCATTGTGGGCTTTTCGCTATGCGTGGCGCTAGTCATTCCCTCCGTGGAGCTTATCATTGGTCTGGTTGGCTCAACCATTGGCGTGGCCATTTGCATCATGTTCCCCGCCTCCAGCTTCCGCAAGATCATCAAGAAGGAGTCCATGGAACGCACTCTCGCCCAGTTTGTATTTGTCAGCGGATTTCTGCTTATGATCCTGGGTACCTACGCCAACCTGAGTGCGATTGATGAGCAGAGTTCTGGGCCGGAGTTCGATGTTGTACAGTTGGTCACCCCTCTGTATCCGGAAGGCCAAGTGCCAGCGATGCTACCCAAACATTTGGCCAAGAATCTGGCTGAAAGTGATAAGAACGTTTTGTTGCAGAAGCTGGAAGTCCAGAATCCCAATATTATTGTGGATTCCTTGGGCGAGAAGATTATGGAGAAGCCAAAGGAGAAACCATCGGAGTCACCCTTACCCCCACTGCCCATCGATGAGATTCATGTGGTTCCCTTGGAGAATGCTAAGGCGGGAAGCGAGGTGAAGAAACCTGTTAAAGTTGAGGACGAAGTAAAGCCACCGGAAGTGAAACTAGTAGACGTAAACCTCACAGCTCCTAAGCCCAAGGAGAACCCACCGCCCATTGCTGCCGCTCCGACAGAGACTCCTAAAATGGGAACAGCAAGCAATACAATTGACGGAGCGGCTATCAAGAAAGAGGAGGAAGTGGCCGCCGAGGAGCAAAAGGAGAGCAAAGCCAATGCAGATGAGCTTCTGAAAACGCAAAAGGAGTTGAAGGAGACAAAGAAACTGCTGGCCAAGACCGTGGGAGAGCTGAACGAAGAACTAGCCAAAAACAGCCCACTCAACCAGCCAGCTGTGCCGGCTAAGGAGGAACTGAAAAAAGAGGCCGAGGCTGAGGAGTCAAAGGAGCCCAAAAAACAGCCGACACCCGTTGCCGAGGCAAAGGCAGAGCTCAGGCCCAAGGCTTCCCTGATGGATATCCTCACCGAAAATGCTCATTTGCGCGAAGAAAAGGAAGCCCATGCCGGCGTTTTCGAGCCGCTGTCATATAAAACCGGTGAGCTCCTGAAAAACACAAGTGTGGACACATCGTCCCTCATCAAACGATTGCCCATACCACTGGCCCTCATGGTGAATGCAACGCTGGGGGCCAAGGAGGCAGTCAATGGCACAGTCCCCGAGGCTAAAAAGCCAAATATCGAGGATAACGTGGAGGCCATTCGGAGAGAGCTGCTTAACCTGAGGACTGAGCAGCCGCTGACGAGGATCAAGCGGGAGGCTGGCGAGAACTGCCTTCGCGAACCGAAGTTAGATGAAGTCAATAATAACCATTTGGCGGCAGCAGCTGGCTTGAGCTTAAACCTGGAGAGTATTGGACGCGATCTCAAGTCTATCAAGGATGAAGATGTTGAGATAACCACTGAAAACGAAGTCTACCAACCGAGTCCCAACGGAACCCAACCTCCGCATCTTACGTAAGCTTTATGTACATAAACTATACACGTATTTATTTAGTGTGTAAGAGCGACGCAGCAGGCTAGGCGAGAGCATATAGAAATATATATATTTATATTGATATTTGAATACCTGTAATTGAGTTTGCCAGTCGCAAAATCAAATTTCGTGTGTAAACCCATAGCCCAGAATTCACCATTCAAAATGTCCATCATACTCAATGTTGTCCAGCAATATGTGTTGGAGAAGGCCTGCGATTTGACCTGCGAGGCAGCCTTGACCGTCCTAAGAATATGGAGCGGTGTGAGTAGCTGGCAGCCTGATTTTTCCTTTTCAAGTTGAAAGTTCTTGCTTTCCAGCCAAAGCTAAAGGAGAAGGCAGAGCAGGAACAGCCTAAACTAGAAAGGGTCCTGACCCCAGAGCCAGAGTCATTGTCAATGCCAGTACCTTTGCCTCCGGCCAAGCCCATTTGCCAGGCTACCATATCCCCGGAGATCCCAACAGCCTTTAAGAATGTGGGACGCGATGCTCCACGCTTCAACAGCGGATCCATTGATCCTCCTCAGTGCTCCTGCATGCGTGTGTGCCGCGACAGCTACTTCTCTTAAACAAGGTTGGCTCTCGTTTTAGTAAAAGTTTTTCGCAATATTAAGGTTACCCACGGAACGGAATCGAAGAATCAACAGAATGAAACAATACGCGCTCATTAAATAAAGCTTGGAATAGTTTAAAATCAATTGCAACTGTAATAGATTAGGAATTAGCAAAAATGACAAGGACAAAGCTGGCTAGGAAGATTATTCCCAATCCGTATCCAAGGTGTAACAACTAACAGGTCTAAATTTTGAGTATGCAACGGTGGATCCCTTTTCGTCCCTCTGGGATATCCTTAGGCCACGTCCGCTCCCAGGGAGTGCAGGTCGTACAGCACCTCCAGGATCGCAGCCACACTCCAGGCCTGCGTGCGACACGAGTCGCCGCAGTAGGAACCATTGTCGTTGGTCAACTCGGGCAGGCCTCGCCAGTGGGACGTCTGCATCTCCCGCAGATGGTTACGCAGAATGGCCCACGTTTCGGCAATGGTTTCATCCAGATGGCCACACTTCTTGGCGAAGATTAGGCGCGCTCTCAGATAGAATCCAATGGGCCAGACCCACTCCGGTCCCTGGTGATAGTTGGCGCCATGCGCCACCGTGCAATCAGTGGAGTCGTTGGAGTTGTCATAGTTGGCCCTGTAGTTCCAGTCCTCGGGATCCAGCGTCTTCATGCCCAGCGGCCCCAGTATGTACTTCTTGGCCTGCTCCAGGGCACGCCAGGCGTTCTGGGGATTGCACAGCTCCGGGGCGACAGTCAAGGTAATGGGGAAATTGCAGCGCAGCTGGTAGTCAGTCCAGCTCTGGGTGGCTCCGTAACTGTCCTTGTAAATCTGCTTCTTGTTGGCCAGCGACCCAGTCTCCGACTCCGACACGTAGAAGTGCCGGTCAAAGTTGTCCCTGATGCGATCTGCCCACTCCTTGTAGGTCCACTTGGTCTTCTCGCCCGACGGCCCCTTACGCTCGACGCCTGTATACGGGATCTGTTCCTTCTCGGCCAGGCCCTGCATGAACCGAAGCACGGCATACTGCAGGCCAATGAGCTCCACCGCGGATCCATCACGTGGCGTACTCGGTCTTCCCTTGTTCCCTGCCTTCTGGGAGGAGCCCATCTTGTCCATCCAGGTGCCGCAGTTGAAGTTGTTGCCGCCAAACACGAACCCAGTCTCCGGATGCACGCCAATGTGATTGTTAAAGCCCTGATCCACCATGTGGGCATCGATTTCGTAGCCGGCGTTGCGCTCTCGATACTGTAGTCCCTGGAAATGCACCTGCAGAGCCTCCTGCATTACGTCGAAGAGCAGCTGATCGAAGGCGCCTGGAGCATGGGCCTCGGCATCGTCGTATGGAAACAGGCGTGACACCTTGTCCCGCAGGATCTCAGCGCCTTTGGGTGCAGCCTCAACGTACTGTTTGATGCAGTACATCCACCACCAGACGGCATCGCGGCAATTGAAACGCGGTTTGCTGCCACTGTCCAGAAGATTGGGAATCAACCCATGCCGCAGGGTCTGGGCAAAGCCAATGATGATGTAGCGGGCCTCGTTGTAGCGGCCGGTCAGGAACATGGAGCCGCGCAGGGCGATGAAGGTGTCGCGACCCCAGCAGCGCATGTAGCCGGTGGAGAAATGCGGAAGGCCGGCGGACAGGGTCACACACTGCTTCGGTGGCTTGGGTGGACTGATGGCAGGACTGAATCCGGGAAGATTCGCCGACTTGCAGACGGAGAGGAACTGCAGCGTAGACAGGGCCAGCGACTGGGTGAAACTGTGTCCGTTCTTGATGAAACTGAAAGGGATACGATAGGGAAATGCATTAAATGGGCAGATCAAGGGCCTTTAAAATCACTTACTCGGGCATCAATTCGTTGACTTGGTTGATGAGCACATTGTAGACGCCACTGATGATGGCATCAAAGTAGCAGGGCACCAGATAGCGTGGAATATTCTTGAGAGGCTCAAAGGCCGTCTTTAGCCAGGCGGACAGTGGTTTCAGATCCTCGTAGCTGTTCAATCGATCAGCAATGTAATCTATAGAGATAGAGATAATCTGTTAGAGACACGACTTTAAAGCTCATTTTGAATGGTCACCAAACCTATCATCCAGTTGCCATCGCGCAGATTGTTGCACAGCGGATGGCCCAGGTCATTCTTGGGCGAGATCTCCGTCAGCAGAGAGACGAAGCCCTGAAGGCCGCAGTACACAATCTGGCCAAAGTTGGGTATGTCATAGGCAGATCCTCCATGGCCCAGATCACGCTCCTCCTGGTCGCAGCTGAACAGAGCTCCGCTCAGGGCCACCAGATCCAGCTTCGAGACGATGGCCTGCAACTGAGACCACTCCTCGCCCGCTCCCAGCCGTAGGTCGTTCGTGAGCTTCTGCAACTTCCCAAAGCTGGCACGCGGACCCGGATGCACGGAGACCCTAATGGCCACCACAGTGCCTGGGCGTAAATTGACAAACTTGAGCTCCGTGTTGTTGCCGTCCACAAAGGCTTGGGTCTGGAAGACCGTAGACTTCCCCAATGGGATGTGCTCCTGGAGGTGCAATTCAAACTGGGTGAAGCCATTGATCACGTTGGGGTCCTTCTCGAAGGGAGCCGGCCGGTCGAAGGGCTTGTCGCTCTTCGTGGTCAGACTGGCCTCCAAAATGATCTCGTCCAGCACGCCCTCAAATCTCAGCGATCGGATCCCGGTGGGTCCGGCATTCGGATACGGATAGCCGAAGGCCGTGTGGGCCACCAGGATAACCGACTGGTGAGTGGTGGGCGAGTGACGTGTGACGGCCACCACATTGGGGTCCATCTGGTCCACATACACCTGGCTGAAGCCCTCCTCTGCTAGCTGGCCGTGAAGTAGATTCAACGCCCGCTTGGCACCCATAATCCCGGATTTGGAATCGACGCCCTTGCCCCATTCTTGGTAAGTGCGCTCCTCATCTACCACATGGATCTGTTAAAAAAGATGTGATAATAAGAATAATTTTTAAATTATAGAAAGATGAATTGAGTTAGCATCACTTACATGATGAGGCACCAGCTCGTCGTAGCCACGATTACTTCCTGTGGCACAGCAGGCCATGGAGACCAGGGCAGCCGATGGGAGCAGGTCGTAAACGGAACGCTTCTCCACCGGCGATGGATTGTCGTGGGTGAGGTCTAGGAATAGAGCATGCGCCACACTGGGGGCTTCGTGACGCGACGAGTTGGCATAAAAGCCGCCCACGGGCACACCGCCATAACGGTAGACCAGGCGACCCTGCTCGTGCGAGTCCCAGGCGGAGAGCGCTTCCCGGATCAGAGAGGTGATACCCAATCGATTGACAAACACATTGTCCGTGGCATCCGAATTGGTGAACAGCTCCGCTACCACATACAGTTCCGGGTTGATCTTACGCGCGGCATCCAGAAGATACTCGGCCACATGCAGCGGCGTGGAGTGGCAGTTGTCCAGGCGCACGCCATCGAATATGCGCGCCGTGGTCTCCACATACTCGGTCATGTGCTTCCACAGGTAGGGACTATCCTCTGGCTTCCTGCCAAAGCGCAGCTTCACACTATCGCCCCACGAAATGAGCTCTCGCTTGAGGTAGACATTGGCGCGGCCCGGCTGCTCCTCGGCAAAGTCTCGGAGCGGATCACTAGAACCCATCACCCAGCCGTTGTGGGCCATAAAGAACTCACCCGCCTTGGCGTACATATCGGCCTCGATCTCGGTTAGGGACTTGCCCAGAGTGCCCGTGTGCGTGAAGTAGACCATGAAAACCGAGTGCTTCTCGGAGATCTCCTTTACTCGGGGTCCATCTCCCTGGACTCTTTCGTAGCGCACGCCGGCCAGGACGTTGTCGATGGCATAGTTGAGGTAGCCCTGGATCTCGGCGCGTACACGTTCGTTAAGGGAGTCCAGGTGACGGCGAAGAGTTTCGGCGCACTTGCGGAACCGGGACTCCTCATCGAAGCAGTCGCCATGGAAAGCATTAAAGATCTCCAGTGCCCGCTCGAAATTAATGGTGCTGGCCAAGCGTCGATATTCCGGGTCCTGTATCAGTTGGATCTCATCGAAGCGTGACTCGTTGGCCACGTTCTTGGGCGGCTCGCGAGTCCGCACCTGAGTCATGAACTCGTTCACGTACTTCATGACGTCGCACTGATACAGCTCGTGGATATTGACCTTGGACAGATAGGAGGTGTGCAACTGGTACTTTAAAGCTTCCAAATGGCACTCCTGATCGATGACCTGGGGCACACCCACGTGCTCCAGGCTGCCCTCGGATATGTCCAGCCCGCACTGGGCAAAGGCGGCGTCAAGCAGAAAGGCAGGGCGCAGATAGGGACAGGTGGCGCACGAGTAGGTGGCATCCGGATGCTGCAGCAGCCACTCGGACTCATTGGCCGTATGATTGAGCACAATGTCGCAGATGGAGGCCACCTGGAAAGGTATCATTAGACTCTGTATCTAAATACATATCGCATATCCTTACCCCCATTCCTGACGACACTTCTTGATCACCTTCTCGACCTCCTCGAAGCTGACCTTTCCACCCTTCTGGTTGGCATAGATGGAGCTCACCCTGAGCTGGTCACGCAGCGAGTAGCAGGAACGGGAGCCGCCCAGCTCTTGGATGGGCGTGAAGTGGATCACATTGTAACCGGCCTCCTTGGCCACGCGTAGCTTGGCCTCCCAGGAATTCAGCGGTCCCAGGAGCTTTGTCAGCACCGTTTGACAGCGCACCGAGTCCAGGGGAATGGTCTTCTGGGCGCCCGGTGGACCCACATGCAGGGTAGGCTCCACTTGGACATACAAAGCCCCATCGGCGCCCGAGCTGCCAGTGTCTGGTCTGAAATTAAACGTTGATTAATACAATTCTGGCAATGAATTGAAATCAATTAATGTTTTTGGAAGCTTTATGATCTTTATGGATTTCTCCATTCCTTTCTCAATTTCATATATTTTCAGTATATTATATTAATTTTAAATTATTCAAGGGTAAAAGATTATAAACCCCTCCTGAAATGACTCACCTCTCCAAATACCTGAAGTAGAAGTGATACGTTCCCGACATATTCAATTCCACCTGACTGTAGATGTCCGTATCGACGACATGGGCCTCTGGATGCATCACCGATGTGATCTGTTTGCCACTGCTCAGTTGCCATCCCAAAACCCGGTACTCGGTGCGTACGAACTTCTGTCCCTCGGCGGGGTAGTTGGTGTACAGGACAATCTTCCGGCCCAGCAGCGAGGCATCCGGATGGACACTTAGCTTGGAGCCCCTCTTAAGGCGGTACAGCACATGCTCGGCGTTCTGACCCTCGCTGATGGGTATACTGTGCGACTCCGTCTCCTTGCCCATGGTGCTCATCTAAAGAAATCCGGAAATCGGTTACACAATCGCTAAGCGTCACATCGATGATTACACATGAACATGGGCGTTGTTATGCATGGAATGTACAGTAAGTCGAACTATTAATAATCCCGAAGCCAGCACTATCTCTGAGATCTCTTTAAACTAATTAGCAACCTTTTAAAAAGGCTATTTTAAAATGAGATTAACGTTGGTTCCAAGATTCAACCGGTGTGAGGTACAGAAGTTGGAAATCTCCTGTAATTTGTGAGACACTTTTTAAAGGATAAATTTTTTAGATATTGATCACTGATATATTGAAGGAATATATAGAATTTGAACCAACAAAACCGTTAAAGATTAATCTCTATATTTGAATTTAAAGTTGTTTAGAAAAGAGATCTTTATAGATCCATTTTGAGGAGTTATGAAACATTTTATGTTGTAATATTTCCAATCGGAAAAACGCACACACAAAGGCATCTTCTTGTTAAAACACCACCACAGTGCGAGCAGAATCTTAGAGGTTTTTTTCTGATTAATCTGAGCGTCTAATAGGACTAAACACTGTGACTAAGTATAGTCTTTTGCTTTGCTGTTTGCGAGGAGCACCCGGCACTATGACTGCAGCATCGCCGGCACGGATTGCATCTTTTATATTCATGGTAGCCTCCACTCACACACTCTGGACACACACACACACCCACATACATCTGTATGCAGCTATGGATTATGGACACTAGGGACACGGAACACGAACACTGGGAACACACCGATGATGATCAGTTGGGGCGATAATACCTCACGGCGGCGGATGATTTGATTTGATACGATCTCGGCACTGCCTGCATTGCCCATTGCCTTAGCATTTGCACTTGGAACGGTTCTAATCGCGACTGATTCTGGCTCTGATCTTCCGCCGGATTTTGCCTGCTCCAGAGGGGCCTGCTTCCTCTTTCTCTCGGGCAATCCGTTGTCTGCTTCTTCCCCTTTTTCGATTTGCAAAGGAACTGCTACTGCTGCGTTATCGATCGCCGCGAAAAAGCCCCAGAGCCAGCGAAAGAGCTGAAAGCGCATCAAGATCCGGAGCATGCTCCTCCAGAGCCAATGGAATCCCTCGTTCAGCATGACGGCCACTGACTACTAAATACGGTTCTTCGTGGTCTTTTGGTTGCCAGGAATTTCTGGTCGCCGCAATCTCAAATGGAGCATTAAAACAGAAATATGTACGTTTTAATCGCGCTCAATTGTCAATCACACACACACGGACACACATACACAACGCGACGACGAAAGCCACCAGGGGCGTCTGATCACGGGGGATTCAGGTACTGTGTGTGGGGAATGTGCAATGTTTCTGTTGAAATTCCCTGATGCATTATCGACATGTGGCGCCTACGTGAATATTAGACAAAAAGGTGTTCACGATTAGCCGCTAGAGCCTTATCAACATTGAATTTTCACTAACAGGTCAGGGAATAAAAATAATTTTTGCACAAAACAAGCACAAAAGCACACACTCACACACGTTCAGCGCATTTGTATGTAGGTCAAGGAATTGCACTTGTTTGCCGGTAGGTGGCCTCAAAACATTTGCATATATATAGAATTTTGGCTAATTTATAAAAGTTCCCACTCCTTTATCTATAGATTTTTGCACTTATCTCGCCGCATTCATTCACATTATCACTCATCTCAGTCAAATATTGGTTTGTGTAAATATGGGGATGCAAATGTCGCGATTTTTAGCAATTTATCACTATTATTTGGAATGATATTGTTTACTTTTTGAACCTAAAAATCTAGCTGAAAAATTGAACTTTTACGTTACCAGCCGAAATACGTTCTGCTTCTTCTGTTCTCAAGGTGACCTTTCTAGTTTTTGTGGTCATCAGCTGTTGGGGCGTTGCGCAGCCCCCTCACCCCGTCTCACCCAAGACCCGTAAAAGACGCTTGTAAACAAAACACAGCTGTTGGCCAATGTTTACAATGTCAACCTGTATGTATGTGTGCAATGTTTGTATACTATTTTTAATTGAGCAATTTGCTTCCTATTAATATAAAAACTTTAGTTTATGTTAAAGCTGCCGTTTAATTTAATTAATTGGTAAAATAACGAATAAATAAATTTGATGTTGTTATTTAGAAGTGCGTTATCGATATGTCAAAAGGTTGTTAAGAGCTTTTTAGAGCTTTTAAGTGTAACAAGTTGCAGTGGAATCTGATATACTGAAAAATAGGTATGGTGATTTTGGAGGATTTAAGAAATTATGGCTTGGCCACACTAGACACCGCGAGTGAGAGTAAGAGAGCAAATTTGTTACTAATCAAACAATTGACCATAAAACATTCCAAATGCGCTGAAGCCGAGACTTATCGCACAGTCGCGTTCCACTTCGCATTCCGTACGAATCGCTACCGTCTCCAGCAAATCGGGAAAATGTCGGTGGCGCAGCACCTGATTGTTTTTACAGTTGGCGGACTGCTTCTGGGATTCCTGGGGCCAAGTTCCGCGGGAGTTCCTCTGTCGCGGTATGAAGCCACGCTCAAGCAGCAATCGGAGGTCGAGGATCCGTCTCTGGGGCTCTACGACGACAACGACAAGGTGGTCCGGTTGAATGTTGACAACTTCAATGCCACGGTGTTGGACCAGAACCGAGGGGCGCTCGTCGAGTTCTACAACACGTATTGCGGACACTGTCGGAGATTCGCGCCCACCTACAAGGTGATAGCGGAGCACCTGTTGCCCTGGTCCGAGGTTCTCATTGTCGCCGCCATCGATTGTGCGGCGGAGGAGAACAACGGCGTCTGCCGCAACTACGAGGTGATGGGCTATCCCACGCTGCGCTATCTCGGACCCGGTTTCCAGCCCAGTGCTGGGCACTACGGCCAGAGCCTGCTGACCCAAGATGAGACCGAAATACGGGGACTGCTGGCGGGCATGCTTGCGGCGGAGAACATGACCAGCAGTCACAACAACACTCTCTGGCCCAGCTTTCACACCGTCACGGAGAATGACTCGGCGTCTAGCCTGTTCGAGGGACTCAGCAGCGTCAAGCAGTACGTGGCAGTGGTTCACGAGCCGGAAAACTCTACAGTGGGCATAGAAACGGCCATGTTCCTGCTCGCTTGGCCAGCGGTGGAAGTGCGTCGCGTCCTCGATGCCAAGGTGGCGGCCAAGTTCAAGATTGAGCCCACCAACCTGCCCCTCAGCCTGGTCGATCGCAAGGGAGAGATTAAAGCCTATGCGCCGGAAAATGCAAACAGTGAATCCTACGCCAAGCAGATCGAAAAGGTGCTACGGGAGAAGAACATCACACCCAGGCCGGTGAAGCTGGTGCAACCACGGACCACAGTCGCCACAAAGAGTGGGGAACAGAGCGACCTCATCAAGGAGGTGCAGCGTAACAAGCACTTCGTCTACCAGGCGGATCTCGAGCAGGCTATTCGCACGGTGCTGCACAACGAGGTCTCCAAGGTGAACGATATTGGCGGTGAGCGGCTGCTTGCCCTCCAGCGCTTCCTGACCGTGCTGCAGCGCTACAATCCGCTGGGCGCCAACGGCCACAAGCTAGTCAACCACCTCAAGGACTATGTGGTGCAGTTCAACGAGCAGCTCTCGGGAGAGCAGTTCGAGCAGGAGCTGAAGCGACTGGAGGCCCAACTCTCGCCCGTCTACTCCTCTACACACTTTGTGGGATGCGCTGGCTCTAAGCCCCGCCTGCGTGGCTACAGCTGCTCTTTGTGGACTCTATTCCACTTCATGACAGTGCAGGCAGAGTCCAACGAGGAGTCGTCGGATCCGCTGGAAGTCCTGCAGGCCATGCATGGCTACATCAAGAACTTCTTCGGCTGCACCGAATGCGCCGAGCACTTTCAGGTGAGTCAGGCTTCTGTATGAGCTACGTGTTAATGACCACCATAGTGCTGACTAGGCGGGGGATGAGAGTTGATTACCAAACGAAAGATTTAAACGCTGACTGGGCTCTGCCGGGATTTTTCCATCAGCTTAATTCGATACAAAAACTAATTGACTTCAGGTATAATTTTGGCCTACAAAAGCCGCTACACTTGTATATATTTAAGTGCTGCGTTAATTAAATAACTCACTCTTTGGATCAGCACACTGTCATAGCTGTTAGTTGCTTAGTTGGCTAGCCACCTGTGTTATTGATTTAGCCACACGTACTAGGATTGTATAAGAGCACTAAGTAATCTAGGTGACTGGTGTTTACTAGTTTTGATTATATAGAGGGAAGAGGGTGTGACTCATGCTGCAACTTTCTCCAACACCTTACTATACCTGCTATTGTATTTGCTGAAGTGTTTGTAATATAGAAAAAGGGAAGCGTGTTCAATGCCATTCGATTCGATGTATGTAAACATCCACGTATATAAAATCATACAAGTTATAGCCAGAAACCTTTCAGCAACGAATCCCACACAGATTAGATACAATGCAAATCATTGAGTGCCAGTAAGATACTACAGTAAGCAAGAGCAGTCAATGCTGATAATATATAAATGTTTTTTTGGGGGAATCCATTAAGAACACCTTTTCTTATCTATATAGTCTCTACTATCAGCAACTTTAGAAACAGCCTGAAGCATTTTAAGGCTTAGAAAGCACCTCAAAGATGTATTCATACAAGCCTCTCGGAATACTGTGCGAGTTATCACTGTAAATAAAAATTACACCTGTGTTTTTCAGGTCGCCAGCTGTACCGACACTTCTTATTGTCTTTCCGATGACGTTCACTTATTGAGTAATTTTTGATATTTGTTGTTTACCCTCCGCAGGCAATGGCATCGAGACGCAAAATCTGGAGCGTGCCGAACAAGGAGGAGGCGGTTCTCTGGCTGTGGGCTGCACACAATGAGGTGAACCAGCGGCTGGCTGGTGACGATACCGAGGATCCTGAGTTCCCCAAACTGCAGTTCCCCAGTCCAAACAGCTGTCCAGAGTGCCGTAGATCGCCAGATACCAAGTCGGAGAACCTGGAGATCGATTGGAACAAGGACGCCGTGCTGGGCTTCCTCAGGAATATACACAATCCGCAGTTTATCAACCGCTACGGCGTCCAGCGGGAGGAGCTGCTGCATCCGTCGGCGGATAAGATGCGGCAGAAGCGTCAAATATCCAGCGTCTTCACCGACATGGATATGCGAATGGGCATGCTGCTGTACGCCTTCTGCATCGTGATGATGGTGCTAGCCTTCAAGCTGTTTGTCTTCAAGGGATACCGCAAGAAGCCTTATGGACACGACCTGCTCGGTAAGGTATAGTGTGGTCGAATGGATAATCCCCGACAAAACTTCCGCTAATTGTAGAAAAAGACACGAACACCGATACCATGACCACCTCTCTGCAGAATGTCTTTGTGTTTTGTAATCGTGGCACTCAGCGTTAGGATTAAGATAAAAGTGTGTGTTGTGTATATATATTATGACAATTATCTTCCAGTTGTAGTCCCTAAAAACATAATCGCTTTTTTACAACGACAAGGATGCACCAAACGTGATTTTCCACTCCACAAGTAAACGCTCTTCTGTGTGCATCTGAATAAAAAAATGAACAAAACATGGGAAGAAGCTGTCGATACACTTGTTTCTTGGTACAGAAAGTAGCTCTCGAGATAACGACAGAACAAGTACATAAATAGTGTTCGCGAGCAGATAACAAACTCAGTGGTGATGACCTGCAGCAGTAAGGGCAGATAAGGCGAGGCTTCAGGTACGGGATGGATGAGTCTATTTCACGAATCTCTGGAAATCTGGATGCCACCAGGGCAATACTTTGTACTTTGAGATGCGAGGATACTTCACGGTCACGGACACACTTTGACTTCTGTCCTCGGCAAAGTCCAGCTCTAGATTCTTGGCCCACATGTCCGTGCAGAGGAGTTCCCGGGTGGCACGCAGACGATAACGGGCTCCCTGCTGGCCATACGAAAGCTGCGAGGGCGTGGGCACAAACTGGCGGCACAGGACAATCAACAGAACGACTCCCTCATTGGTATTTCCCTGAGCAGGAGCCAATTGGTCCCCCGCATCGTCTTCGACCAGAGCCTCCCAATCGTTGACTACTTGGCAGTGTTCCTTATCCTCCTCCGATTCTTCACGCATTTGCACATACGGCTGGCGGTTCCAGAACTTGTAGCACATTATCCACAGACACTGGTACTGCTTCTGCCAGCAGGACACGAAGACGCGCTCCAGCAGCCAGTCCAGGTGGTAGCCCAGCTCCACGCGGACCTTTAGAGGTCGGTGGCAGTGAAAGAGTGCCTCGATGACCAGCGATCTCAAGGCTCGTGTATCACAGTTGCGTATCTGCTCGAGCTGCAGCTGGGCGGGCAGCTCCAGGTTCCAACCCGAGGTGACGCCGGTGCAGTGGCGCCGGTACATATTCCGCCAGAAGGCTCGAGAGGCCACCAACCGTGCAGTCTCCCTGCATATCAGAGCGAACGCCTGCACATCCTCCGGATCGATGTGCATGGCTATGTGGAACCAAATGTCGTGCCGCACATTAATCACCCCGCTCTCCGCCATGGACAGAGTGGGTGCAGTGGCTCGGAGCGTTGGCTTCTGCTTCACCGCGACGAAAACATCAGATTGGCGGGCATAAATAGCTGTGGACGGTGTAGAGTGAGTTTTACTGAAATTTTTGGGCATATTTTCGGCTGGCCTAGCTTACCACATTTCCCCCGGGTGCGGAAAAGTTTGTTTTGTATAAAATCATCAACATTTTCGGCATCCAAACTCATGTTTTGCCCATCATTAGGGATGGGAAAAATACATTAATGTATCGATATATGATAAATTAAAAATATTTTGGTCTAAAACTAGGAATGGGCATCGGATATCGGTCTAAAAACTAGGGATGGATAAAATATTTGCTAATATATCGATACAAATCGAACAGCTGTTTCGGCCGTAGCCAATATTTACTATTTTAATTTTAATTTAAAAACGTTAAAAACGGATTAACGGCAGAGAAAATGCGCAAGTACCAACAACTTGTGTTGCTCCTGATTTCCTGCCTAAGCGTCTGCATCCTGCTGATGTACAAGACGGAGAACAACCGCTTGAAATATGTGCTCAAGTATGTGAACTTCTTTGGACGGAACGATGCCGCAGTGCTGCGCCGCCTGGAGAATGGGACCAAGGAGGAGGTTCCGCAGGCATCTCTGTGGCGTCCCCTGCCCGTGTGGCAGATGATTGGCGACAACTTCCATGCCTACTCCGCCTACTGGATGCGGAATGAGCTGGTGGCCGGCGGCGAAGCCCACGTTCTGGTGGTCGGGAAAAGAGGAGCTGTCGTGGACTTCCGATGCAGTTTGGAGCTGCTCAGCGGCCGGAGTGTGCAGGGGAAGTTTCGCTTTCAGCGCGACTCAATCGAGAGCATGGTGGTGGACGACAAGTCCTCTAACTTTACCAACTACCATTTCTTCTGCCAAGTGAGCCGGGATTTCGGACAGCCGGGCGGCGTCTCATTTACGGACATCACGACAACCAAGAGCCCGGTGAAGCTGCGCCTGCGCAACCTAAAACCCGAAATGAAGACCGATTCCATGGCAGCGCCGAGCGCTCCCGTTCGCCTGCCTGCCACAATTTGCGTGGATTTGGTGGGCTTCAATATGAGCTCCCGGTTCGCCCGGAACGAGAACGCCCTGCTGCAGTTCTTCCTGTTTCACCAGGCCATAGGCATAGAGCAGTTTTTAGTCTACAACTATGATGCCCTGCCCGACGAGGTGATTCGTCTGTTAGACCGCACCAATATCCATCTGTACGCGATGCCATTCAACTTTCCCTTCCGCCAAGGAAACGCGACGGCTGCCAGGGTGCGTCAGCTGCTCCATACCGACTGCCTGTTGAGGAACGTGAACCACGCCACCTTCACAATTCTGCTCCGACCGAATGAGGTGTTCTTCCCCAACGCCCGCCTGACTTCCGCTCAGGCGAAGGGATCACTGCAGCAGCAGTTGCGTCACTTCTCAACCGAAACAACCAGCTTCGAGCTGGCCACCATGGCCGTGTGCTATGACGAGCGCAAGAAGCTTCTGCCCGACAATGTCCAGTACGATCCGGAGCGAAGGGCCCCATACAAAACACTGCTCAAACGGCTGGAGCTACCGCCTGCCCAGCTATTGGCCAGCACCGCCGAGGTGGAGCTCTCACTCTCCACCGGATTCGTGCACCGGTACGTGGACTGTGAGCATGTGGGCAGCGACGGGCTGCACGACTGGCGCAACGGTGTGCGGCAGGACTTTATGGAACACATCAACGTACTGCGCAATGAGGTGGACCTACTCATCTGAGTAATTAAAGCCTAACCATTTTGTAGCCTTTAGTTTGAGATTGTATATGTAGCTCATAATTTGAGAGATAACTTGACTGCCATAGTAAAGCGAAGAGGAGAATGTACACATATTTTGTGCTTTGTAATATATAATAGACACTTATAGTCCTAGATTCGGCCCGAATGTACCAAATCCTGCTTTATTAATTCATAATAGTCGACCCGCTCATCCAGTCATTGGGAGAGCTCTTCGCGTACTTAGCCTAGGGGTTACTTGAGGCGCTGCATGAGTGCGGCGTTCTTGAGGCCAGCCTTCTCGATGGTGGAGTTGTCGTCGCTCAGTTCGCGAGTGGGGAACGAGGACACCAAGATAAAGTTACTGGTTGAGTACTGAGGGCGTGCTCTGAAAATCGTAATAGAAGATTAATCAGTTGCCAGAATCAGCCAGAAAATCTCATAAATTACGTTCGGATGAAGCGACGGATGTCGGAGACCGTGTGGGACATATTAAATTGCGCAGCTAGACGCGATCCATCCGCCAGCCGAATCTGCAGTGTGGTGGACGGCGCTTCGGAATTCAAGTTGATGGCATCACGGGCACTGGCCTCCTGATTGGCGGCATCATCAGGCGACAATGTAGCTGCTGGAACTGATGGCGATTCGGTGACCACATTGGCCACTGGACTGCCCAGCTTCTGGCCCGATCCCTTGAAGGTTAGAGGCGCGGCTTGGCGCTTAAAGTCCTCATGGCGATGGTCCTCCACATCCACATTGACCATGCGGCCCATCTCCAGCAGCTCCTGTGGAATTTCCCTACAAAAGTAAGAGAAAATTAAGCTGAATCCTTAAAATGTTTTAAAGAGAAATCACTCTTACCCGCGCATGACAGTCTCAAGGAATTCCTTGTTCTGGGGATCATCATAGTGACGCAGCTCGCCGCCATCAATAGAGAAGCCCTGGCTCCAGAGCTTCAGCACCACCACAGGCTTGTTCTCGCCCCCTTGTGGAGGCCTGCTGGTTCCCACAGCGGTGTGATCATTGTCGGTCATGCCCAGTCGCATGCCTTGGCCCCAGACGTTGCCACCACCGGCGCTACTGCTGCCGGCACTGCTGGTGGACGGACCCACCTCGGCGATATTCTGCTCCTGTGCCGAGCGCATCATGTCGGTCAGCTGCTCGCGGAAATTCTTGCGCTTCGGCGGTCCCAGAACCTGTTGTCCAGAACGATCCGAGCCACCGGCATAGAAGGCTTGCTGTTCATCGTCGCTCGACGGCTCCTTGGACATGTCGCTTAGTGTGGCGAATCTAAAGGGAAATTTGGGATATTATAAAGCAGACAAAGTGCTATTTTCGCTTACTTTGGCTTGGCCTTTGGTCCCGGCGGTGCTACATCAGCAGAACCTGAAGCGGCGGTACTGGTGCTCTTGGGAGCGGACTTCGCCGATGACGTCCCAGCTGCTGCCGGCGCTGCTGTGCTCGAAGTGGGTTTCGGAGCTGGATTGTCGGCATGCCCAACTGTTTGTGCCGGCGGCGGCAAGTCCGCCTGGGTGCTCCAGTAATTGCCCAAAGCTTGCTGAAATCAAAAAGGGCATCCATCACTTGTCGTTGCAATTGCGCTGCATCATTGTTGTTGTCTTCGTCGGTGCCGGCGAAAGAAAGCTTACCTCTATGTCCCAGTCGCAGCTGGTCAGGTAGAAACGTGCCACGTTCTCGTCCGTTCCGGTTATTTCTATAAATTGTGCAATCAACTCGTCGTGTGATGCCATTTTGTGTTGTTTTTAAATGAAAATTTTTTGTCTGAGAAAGTGATTGACAAAAAATTGCAACCTTCAGTGTGACCTTACAAAAATAGGAGTTAAATATCGGCCGGTATGTGATATGGCCAAAACAGTGTTGGCAAGCGCTCGAACTTGGCTAGACCTGGTCCCACTAACTTGCTTATTTAAAAATTCAAAATCATTATGCAGAGTTTTTGTTTTGTTTTTATTTGTCGTACAGTGTAAGCATTCACAATATTTATTAAATAGCAACTAAATAACAATAACTATTTTAATGTGTATAACGAAATATCCAAAGCTTTACATCACCCACCGAATTGCAGTATAAAAAGTAAAAATGTTTTTTGGGTTTTGGTTTCTTGTTTTCTCTAATCAGTTGTTGAGCTCTGCTGAAAGTATATTAAAAAGTAAACAAATTTTATTTAATTAATTTTAAATAAAAAGAAAAAGTTATGTCCCATTTTAATCGTGTTGTGAATGTGTAATGTTAGTTAGGTGAGAATGCCCAAGAAAGAAACTCGCTCTGAGCTTATACATTAATTTATTGCAAACAATTCCAAATGTAATGTTGATTAAACTTCACTGGCGCAGGCACTGCGTTCATCTCCGGGCATCCTTCTTCTTAGCGCGACAGCTTGCCCTGGAAATATGCGGATTAGGAGGAGTGTGGCGTGTCGTTTAAGCGAGTTTTGTTTGTTCCCAAGTGACGTGTGCGTGTTTTATTTCGTTGCATGAAAGATAATTGTACGTTTTAATGGGCTCCCAAGTTGGCGACTGGTGTCGGGCTTACACAATACCTTTCTTACCTGCATGTAGAAGTTGGCCAGAACCGTAAGACCAACGCCTAAGCCCAGGGCCAAAACGTGACTCAAGTGCAGGTTGGGCAGCGGACGGCGCTTGCGCAGCAGGAACGAGAGCAGTGATCCTTTGCGGTCCGAGTAGGGAGGATAACGTGCCCTTGAAAGAAGGTAATTTTGTAAGATATTATAAATTAACGATTCTTTAACTAAAGTCAGTTCAACTTACGATGCCAACTTCTCGCCAAAGGCCGATAGATCCTTGCCCAGGCAAGATTTCTTGTGTGTGAAGGTATCAAAGCCATATTTACCATGATAGCTGCCCATTCCACTCATACCCACGCCTCCAAAGGGCAGAACATCAACTAAAGAAGGGAGGGGAATTTTTATTAGTTTTGCTACTTATAGAAGTATATATTTAGTAAATAATTAAGTCATCACAATTTTCCTTGAGGATTTGTGTATTTCGACTTCATTATTTGCAAAATAAAATATATAATACCCTTCAAATAGCAATAATTGAGCTAAAACTTATTAGACTAAACATTAATACATAAGTTAACCCTCACCCAAGTTTTTAAATTTTATTAGCTGTCACCACCAACAACTTTTAGCACTCTTAATAATGATTTATTACTTGCAATTACTTATCCAAGCGTTTAAGTGTTAAATAAGCAAAAAAATACATATAAATAAATACAAGCTGAATCCGAGAAACCAATAAAACCCAGTGAGCTTTCAATAAATATTCAAAACAAAGTGCATAGTATATGTATACTTGGTCGTTTTTCGTTTTTGGGCTGTCATTATCCGTGTTTTCCCTGTATTTGCATTTCAAATATTGATCGGAGAGTGTGGCTATTACAGAAATATTCAAGTGTTTAAAACCCCATAACAAAAATGGTGCATTACAGAAAAAAAAATAGATATCTCTTAATTAGAGTATATACATTATAGCGAAAATACCTCCACAGTGCATTATAGTTTCGTTGCTGCAGAATCCGCCGCTGGTTGTATTCGTCCTGAACTCTTTAACTAGCTTATTCGAGTTGGAGAACACGTAAATAACAAGTGGTTTCTCTCTGATTACGGCGGAGGAATAGGTGGAGAAGGGTATAAATATGGATTAAGTACGATCAGCATCGTTAAAGGACTAACAAGGGAATTAAACAGGCATCAAAAAGACAAACATAGCAGATCTGTCTTAAATAATTTAGAACTATAACCAATAAAAACATGAAACAGATCTGCTGATCAATGATATATATGTACATATAAATGCATGAACAATATGTAATGACTAGTGTACAGGGGCTATTACTCGAAATTGAGTTTCTAAATCAGCATCTGCAACAAGGTAGAGGCTAAACAGGAACAATTAGAGTCACCATCACCAGGTAAAAAGATATACAAAGTTAACAGACAGAAGAAGAGCAATAATAACAGGTTCCGTTTCCGTTGGGAGGGACTTGGGAGACACCAAAACCGTAGAGTAGCAAGCAACGGGCTGTAGCCGCATATATACACATCCACTTCCACTAGCATCTCACTCGTTGGGGTTTGATTTATATCGCTTTCTTACCGGCATAATGCATTATCGTATCGTTCACGCACAGTCCGCCCGACTGGGTGCCGTTTATGAACAGATTCTGAACCTCTGTTTCCGATGTGAAAATATACAGGACAAGTGGACTCTCTCTAAAGAGGAAAACATTGCGAATCGGACATATTTTGGTTTTTGTAATTGTTTGGTTGTTATGAGCAGGAGGAGGACGAGATTGATGATGAGACTAAGGACAAAGGGTCTCTACAAATCGACTCCGAACTGGCATACCTGGCATTGATGAACTTAATGGCATCGTAGGCACTCTCCACGGTGAAAATAGGCAAGATGGGGCCGAAGATCTCTTCCTCCATGATGGGATCATTGTCTTTAACGTCCACCAGGATGGTGGGCTCAATAAAACGCTCACTGGCATCGTATTTGCCGCCAACGGCAACGCGTCCCGACTTCATCAGACCGAGAAGGCGTCTGCAATGAAACCAGGAAATCATTACTTGAGATCCCTCGATCTATCGATCCCTCTTACTGAAAGTTATTGACATTGATAATGCGACTGAGATCCGGACTGCTCTGGATATTGTCGCCATACCACTCCTTCAGAACCTCCTTGGCCTCGGCAATGAACTTGTCCTGCACCTCCTTGGAGCACAGAATGTAATCGGGAGCAATGCAGGTCTGGCCGCAGTTGATAAGCTTGCCCCACAGGATACGCTTGACGGCTGTGCGCAGCTCCACCGACTTGTCAATGTAACAGGGGCTGAAAATAAGAGAGAGTATTGTTGTCTAAGTGGAGATCGAGGCAGGGCATGAGCTCGGGCTCGTGCTCACCTTTTGCCACCCAGCTCCAAGGTAGTGGGGGTCAAGTGCTTGTTGGCTGCCGCATGGATGATCTTGCCGACGCGCGTGGAGCCGGTGTAGAAGATGTAGTCGAAGCGTTGGTTAAGCAGCTCGGCGGTCTCAGTGGGTCCGCCGCAGACAACTGGATAGCAGTCCTAAAAAGAGAAGGATAAGGAGTTCGGTTACCCAAAGGTTGACGGTTTCCTGAAACTTGTTCATTTTTATGGTAATATTTTAATGTCATCTCACTTTTAACTTCACGTCTTTATAACTTGTTTTAAAATACAATTTCAATCATAAAAAAAAACTTAATCAGTTTGCAAATGTGACAGCGCTCTAAGTTATGGAGTTTCTGCGCTGCATCTTAATTTTATTTATAAATATTTATGCATGTTACTGCGCTGCCGTTTAAGTGAACCTGTTTAAGCTTAACTTCATGTGATAGTCTTTAGAGAATCTTACAATTTCTATTTCTAGTTTTACAGATATCTCAAAAGATCTAAAGAAACTTCTCGTGCTTGCCATAAGCTAAAAGGTTTAGGAACAAACATTAACTTTAACGTTAGTTGAAGAATTTCGCGCTTAGTCAAGTTCAACAAATGACTCAGACTCACATTATCCAAATACTTTGGAATGACATCGGCAATGAACTTGGCGCAGTTGGCGGCAATCTCGCTGGGCTTGATCACCACGCAGTTTCCGGCGGCAATAGCTGAGGCCACCGGCACCAGGAGCAGCTGCAGCGGATAGTTCCAGGCGCCGATAACTAGGACAACGCCAAAGGGATCATTGTAGATTTGGACATCGTCCATCAGGTTGACAAACGGCTTGGATGGCTGGAAATAATCATAAAGATGTGAGTTTCGAGTTGAGAGTTTAAAAAGTGTCCAAGCTCACCTTATCGGACTGAACCCAATCATTCAGATGGAACAGAATGTGCTTGATGTCGTTCTTCATGAACTCGGTCTCGACAATGAGACTCTCCTGCTTGGGACGCCGCAAATCCGCCTCCAAGGCGCTGATAATCTCGTTCTCGTGCTCCTCATAGCAACGCAACAGGCTCTCCAGCTGCTTGCGTCTGATCCGGAGACGGAGACGTGGACGTAGACGTAGATGTAGACAAAAACGAAATCCAAGAAACGAAAATAATTAATGGACAAATGATGATGATGATGGGACAAGTTCCGCGGTAGGAGTGCGAAGCAAAGACCAAAACAAAATCAATACTAATCACAATGCACGAGAGCTCGCTTGGCGCTTAGCGCTGGACGCTTGACGCTTGGGGAAGGTCAATGTTAGCTTTACGGCCGGTTATGTGATTCTACGATTCTGCGATTCTCTGGTGACTCAACTCCGGGTCTCGGGGCTCGGGTCTCGGGGCTCGGAGCCCGGGCCAATTACTCTGTATAGAACCGTGTAAACCGGCTTGACAACCCGCTGCTGTCTGTGCTGATCTACATTGATCAGGCCAATATGAGGAGGTGATAATGCCCCCTGGAGGAGAAGGCCGTCAAGGTGATCCGCAGCAGCAGCAGCAGCAGGTGAACAGCCCCCCGAGGTGCACTTGCAATTGAATTGAATTATTTGCTCATGACAAACGTAAAACCATATAAGCGGACAAACCACCGATCGCCGATCGCTGTGAATATAAATAAAGCAATTAGCCGCACCATGTCCGATTCAGTAAGTCGTATTCCAACTACAGACGGGCTCCCCTATACCACCCTTTTATATAATTGCATAACTTGAACTAAATTGGATGTTGAATCGGGTTAATATGCTTATTTTACGTTGATTGTATAGATTTTAAACGAGGGAATTTAAATTTATGGAAATATTTGTGTTTTTAAGAGATCGAAGCTAAAAAATCCTCAGAATAGACCTTACGAAACTGAGAGGGACATTGCTACCAAACATTTACCCTAAGAACTTCGTGTTCTACCCAAAGTCACCTTTATTAAAACTTAAACCGAGCCAAGTTCCATTTTATGAAAGCCCGACTGTATCTGTATTTTTATTTGTATATCTGGCAAAATGTATTTAAATATAATCAAAGGCCTGCGCAGTGGAATAGATAGAAGTGGCCAGCTAGGCTAGAGCTAGAGCTAGAGCTAGAGGCGAAAAACAGTCATAGAACGTGTTCATTTGTTCGAAACTATTTGGAAAGATCATGGAATTAAACGGCCGTCAGCCTTGGGCTGAGATTCTTCCGCACTTCCGTTTCACACTTTGCACACTCAAAGAAACTATCGGAATATCTATCGCCTGTTCTTCTATTTCTTCTATTATTTCTCGACATTTTTCGCCTATTAACATTTCCAAAGGCGAGTGTCAGTGTTGCGTGCTTGTGTGTTTTTTTATTTTTATTGTTTACTGTTATATGGGAAGGGGGAAATAGCAATTATTCCGACAGAGACAGAAACGAATCCAGTCCGACGTAGTCTAATTGCATTCAAAGTACAACGACTGGACGAAGTCAGAGTTCCCGCATTAATGCATATCGGATTGTAGAACAGAGTCTATATATAACTGGAGACTTTGGAATTTCCCCGTATGAATTGGCTGCTATCGCCACTCCTTATCATCTCGCGGTCTGGAAAGCTCGGCGGGAGCGGCAACGCGGGTTCAAGGGTCAAAGCTTTTGTGGGAAAACTCTGGCTGGAATTGAGATCACTTGATCACGCTCGCCTCTCAAATGCCGAAATGGAACACTAAAAACGAAAAGCAGAGCTATTACCTTGCCACAAAGACGAGATCGTCATATTTCGGTTAGGCCATGGTAATAACCGAATGTAACGCGATGGCAATATAAACATGATTATGATTATGGTACAGTGAATATCGGTGGGAGGAAACTGTAGTTACGATTTTTAGAAAACCCAAAAATAGTTCACTTTTGAAAATGGTCCTTTGTTTTTCTAAACAACTAAAAAAATATAGGAAACTAACTACAGGAAGTCAAAGTTTGCAGTTTGCTATAAATTATAGGATCGAATAGGAAATTACAGCTTAACATATTTGAATTCCTTGAATAAAAATTTTTCAATATTTTTGTATGACAATTTTTTGTATAAATCAATGCTTAAAACTCATAACTCCGCCAAAATAGCAATAATTTAAATTCGGAAAGCTGTCATATGCTAGTTTTTATTGGATTAATAAATCTGCATACTCAGTTTAAGGAGTAAAATTTTTAAATTTTTTCCCAATTTTTGACAATTTTGACAACGATTATAAAATTTGAAAAAAATTGGCAAAACTTTTTTCATTTCTACATGCCAAGAAAGATTCGCCTGGTGATCCTGATCAAGAATATATATGATTTATAGGGTCGGAAATGACTCCTTCACTGTGATACAAGCTTCTGACTAAAAAGATAATACCCTGCATAGGTAAAATAAATAAACAAAATATTAAAAAAAAACCTGATGCAACTCTACAAGAATCCATAAAAGCATTCAACTTTAATTTGCAATAAAATATGGCAAACTTATAATGGAAATATAAAATGGAAAAGGCACTAAAATCTTGTATATTTAAGACTACCATAATCAAATAAATTTAGACAAAACCATTTAAGGAGTTCCACGGATATCATTCACCCTGAATTTTAACCCACTTTTCAGAGCTTCGCTCAACCCCGATTAGTTACTGTAATTAACAAAAGCAACTCGGCAAAAACTACTCATTAATGCCATGGGAAGAAGCGCTGTCCAAAAACTTTGGAAATTTATCGTTCAAAACTTACCGAAAGTTGACGTTCCTGGTCTTTCCACTGGAAAAGGCAAGGCGGGCGCGTTGCAACGTCTGGTCGTTGTTGTTGTTGTTGTTGGTCATCGTAATTGGTGTTTCAGGTGTAGTTTGTTGTTGTTTTTGGTTGGAAGGAGGCGGCGGTGGAGGCGCAACAGGTTGGTTTTTCACATTCGCAATAGCAACATGCAACACGCATACATAGGGAGGATAACGACGGAACGGCGAAAACAAAAAATTCAAATAAAAATCAAATCAAACAAAATAAGGCGCTTAATGTTCGTTACGTGCACGGAGTTCGTATGTGTGTGTGTCAGTCTGTGTAGGTGTGTTAGTCGGTCTCTGTGAGTGTGTGCCAGTTAATAATCTGTATTTTTTCTCGCTTGCCCTGCACTTGCAATGTATGTATTGCCTAATTGGTCTGCTGGACACTCACATCGTCGAAATTGGCCATTCTGTCGGATTCGGAAAGATCCTGCTGTTGTCGTTGCTGCTGCTGAGATGCTGCGAAGATTCCAATGTCTTGAATTTCAGTTTCAGGTTCTGCGTTTTTTTCGTATTGGAGAAACCGGGAGAAGGAGAAACAAAGATGGGGTAAGAGGGGGAGGTTACACTGAGAAACGTAAACAACACTGACACTCTTTCACTTTCGTTCGCATCTACCGCTTTTTATTGTTTAGCTTTCTTGCGTTTATTTGTTGTTTAAATTATATGTGTACTTTATGCGCCGGACGACGGACGACGCGCTTCACAACCGCTCTCCAACGAATATAAAAATAAACTTAAACTTCATCCTAAAGCTCGCTTTATAAAAACTTATAAAATATCAATGTATCGTAATATTTTGTTTGCCTTAATATCGATGGTTCGATATTTTTAGTATTATCAAAGCTGTTAAGAACATGCTGCTATTTAACATTTTACATCTTACACGTCTAGATAAAAATTTTTTCACGTTTAGAGCTACATTGGATAGAATTTGTGCCTTTGGGATAATAATTCTCGCCCTTAGAGTGGAATATATTAACAGATATGCTCTCATCCAGACAGAAAAAGCGTCAATTAACAAATTTTGTTGTTAGCTGCCGGGTGTCGGTCGGTTGTTGAATCGATCTATGTTATTTTGTTTGCCCAAATACCGATGTTGCGGTATTTTTGTATATGCTGTTATTTAAAATTTTACATCAAACAAATGTAGATAACAATTTTACGTTCGTAATATGGGATTTTTCTAGCACTGTGAGCCAGCGGAATTGTTTAAAAAAATAAAGTAAGAAAAAACTTGTTAATTTAATCTGTATCTTTTTTTTTTAGTTAAATTATTTCATTAAATTGTTGTGCCGGACAGCTAAAATCAGTAGCCAAGCAGCGGTTTGAGTCGCGGCTGACGTTGGCTAGTGTTGGTAATGCTACCACAACTCTCTTGTAAGAGCGGTAAATTTAAATATTCCGAAAATAATAAGCACTTAGTTTAGAAATTCTAAAACGAAAAACCAGCACTCATTGTTTTAGAGTTTAAGTCACCCTCTAATAATATATTGGCTTAAATTGCAAGCTATTAAGCTGCTTCTACAAAATTAGCATTTCAAGTTATTTTCACAGCTGGTTTTTTGCTCTTTAAAACACTTGTTTAATTGGATTTTTTAATCGCTTAGTGAATCACACACCTTTTCGAACGCAAAAGCCGGCTGCTACTGAATGGATTGTTACTCCACAAGCCCAAAATATACGAAAACACATTCGACAAGGGGCGCTGGCATTCATTATCAGTAATGTGTTTTAGTGTGTACTTTGTGTATGATCTATATACAATGCTCGATTTCGGGAGGGGACAGTCAAGCGTGTCGGGCTGATAACGTTGTACGTACTGGACTTTTATACAAGTTTAACTTTTTTAAGCTTAATCTACCTTTATCTATTTGAGGTTTTAGCAATATTGGTAGCCAAGCAATGTATTTCTCTTTATTTAATACTTCACAATGTCAACTTTAAGCGAAATGTGTGTTTATATACTGCACTTTTCCCGATTCTAAAAATTTGTGCTTGGTAACGATGATTTTGATTAAACAATTGGGCTAATTATAAAATTGAGGGAAAGTCAGCATTAGCTGGCGGAAAGCAATTATGTATTGAAATGTAATGTTAATGTTTAAAAGATTAATTGTAAATACGTTAGATTTAATTTCTATTATGAGGGAAACCTGATGCTTATTAAAGAAGCTAGTAAGTATTTTAAATATATATGAAAATGATAGAATTAATGCTTGATTTCCTTATTATATCTAAACGTTCTAAATATCTTTAAATGCTCTACAATATAGTAGATATGGGAAGCCTCCTCCTTAACAATTAAATGCCATCTTGGCCTTCTCACACTTACCAATATTTATGACAGTTGTCGCAGATCGATCTCCACCATTAGCTGCAATGGGAAAAGCAATAAAAAATAGGCAAAGCCAACAGTTTAAGTTATTACTTACCATTAACCTGGCCTCCGCTGGCCTCCGGAGCTGGATTTATGGCAGTCTTGTCCTTCATTATTGAGCTCGAACTTTATAAATACTTTGTAATAACCCGAAACAAAATATGTTTCACTTCCCATGCAAAAGTGGTTGAGAAATGTCAACTGTAAGAGCGGCAAAATATTCGAAATTATGCCATCAAATATGCAAAATCGGCACAAAAGACAATTATATTTCCGTTGACTCGTGTTGTCCTTGTGGGGGGTAAAAGGAAAATCAATAGAATCGACGTCAGGCAGAGGCCCGAATTTCGAAGCTCTAAATAATGTGTATTCAACGAAACCAAAACTCAATTTAATTGTTAAAGCTATTTGAGTGTGCAAAAGTCCAGTTTTGCAGTTCGAATCCAAAATGCACTCAGCGCCATAATCAGTTTCAAGTTCAACCCGTTGCCTGTGTCGCACACTATGCGCCATACGCATAAGCCGTATTGCTCAATAGTTAATGAATTAATATGAATATGAATTAATTAACGTCCCGGCACGGGCACTTAGCACTGCAAATTTAGATGGCACACGTTTTTTTGTATGACAACTTTTTTAGCATTCATATACATATGTACATATGAAGTAATATTTATCGAAAGTGGTGGATTGCTCGATTGCACATTTATTTTTAGAAGCAAATACAAAATGCAAAATATTCGTTGTTATCAGCAAATTGAGTCAACATTTAGCAAGGGATTTGTTTACATTTTTAAAAGCTGTGTTAAATGTGAAATAAAATAAATTTCAAAGATGGTTTACTCAAAATTCCTGTATAAAAAAATATATATATAGTTCAAAGGGGAATTATTTAAATAATAAAGAAAGAACGTATATAGTTTCTGAAGCCTGAAGAAATTATATTTAAAGACTCCTTTGTAATCAAAATTTGTTTAAGAACATTTTTCTGTATTGCATTTGTAAAAAACACATTTCATTTATTTCATTTCACATCACTCTGTAAAACCCGGCTTAGTTTTGAATTTATTTTAGCTCTGCCTTTAATTTCACTTTCACGGCAGCATCAGAGGTCGCGAATAGTCAACGCGTAAGTTGGCTAATCACAGCGATTAAATAACCGCCATGGCTCTACATACGCCCGTCCGTTGGTACTTGAAAACTGGCCTAATCTCACAGCAAAATCCACGCACGATTAAAGCCGCTAAGCAAACTGATTCCAGAGGCAGACCGAGGCGAAATGGTGGCCAATTGGTAACTGACCAACCGGTGACCACTCTGGGTATCGGGCAACTGAAATCTGTGGCCGATGCAGTCCGCGGGGGCTTTAATTACACTTTCCGGCGGCGCGGCGAGGCGCGCTCCGCTCCAATTTGTATGCGCAACCCGTCACTGCACGCCGACGACGCCCGCAATTCAAAAAGCAAAGCAAAGCTAAAACAAAGTATTGAAATCGACACGCACTCGGGGGGATTGGGATGAGGACTTCGATTCCGATTCGGATTCACCTGACGCCACCGCCAAGCGCGCTTCAAACACGTATAAACTAAACAAAAAAACTGGCTAATAATTCAATGGACTCTTCGGCTCGACGCTTTTCCAGTTTTAGTTGAAGTTTTCTTTTATTTATTTATATTTTTTTGTTGCTCCGCTCTTCAGATTTAAATATTATTTTTTACTTTTGGGGTCTTTGGTCAGAGATGCACACCACAAATTCTAGACTCAGAGATAATGGTGATGAATGATTGGGTCTACAGTCCGACTTCTGTAACCTGAACCTAGACTGGCAATCAATCCACTTTGAGAAATACTGGTTACCTTGCAACATAGTTGTAGGATCGATTAAGAAACTGGCACCACCAACTGCCAATTAAGAAACTGGACTTACACACAATTTTTTTTCTTGGTTTAGCAATTTTATTTGATTTTGTGACTACGACTTTTGGACTATTTTCTTTCATTTTTGCACTAAATTAATAAATATTATTATCCTTGCAGGACAAGGAAGCTGTGAAGCTGTGTTTTTGATTCCAATCAAACGATATTTGCAAACAAAAATAATTATATCTTTAAAGCAATATAATATAATTTTTGTAGAACTTCTACTTATGGATACTAATTGAAATATGACCTAATCCAAGTTAGCAATAAATCATACTCCCTGATCATGTTCTGGATCTATAAACTTGAGCAACTGGAGGTTGTTCTATTAAATACTTGAGTGGTTTATCATCCTGCGTAACTCACACTTTATTTAATTAGACTTTGGATTGTAATTACATCACTTTTGCTTAATAATTTATAGAGTTACACGGCAATGGGTAAAAATATTCGAGATCTCAACTTTTTGTTATATGTTACACGATGCGCTGCCGAATTGGGTATAGTGTGGCTTAGACTAAAGATCGTCCCGTAAATGATCATTTGTTTGCCTTTTCGAACAGCTGTTTGGAGGCTGATATAATGTGGAGGTAGAAAAACAAACAAGTAAATAAATAGACAAACACATAACCAGTTTTTAGTTTTATTTAGCATCGCATCGAACCCGAACCCTGACCATGAAAGCCGCCGGACAAGCGGACAGTCAGTGTCAGACGAAGATTGAATCGAGCAGGCACTTGGCGTGTGGAGGAGACTAATCTCTTTATACTCCAGTACAGCTGAAAATTGGTATAATCGAGCCCCCGTTTAAGCCATATTCTATTGCCGTAATTAACGCGTTCTCGCGTTATTGGCTAGTCTGGACTTTGGTTAAGTTTTACTCAACTTTACGACCAGCAAAAAACCATAAAAAAAAACAATTGTAAAAGTGAATTGAAATAGAGAGGTATTAGTATTTGTTCACAGAGTCAGCGCAATTTTTAAAGTCACGCAACATTCTCCATGCCACCTTATTTTCGAGTTTTCTATTTTGTTTGTATTTTGGCTTCATAAAAGACTCATTATGTCCGAGTACTTAGCAATTCCTTTTGTCATTCTAAATGGCTTGCTATTTTTTTAAACAAATACCCGAATCGCATTTGCGTTGTCTGGGTCGCTGAGATATAAATATATTTGTATAATATAGCTTAACCATGACCCAGGTTCCGGGTGTACGTGAAGGCATCTCTGACTCCCATTAAGGGAGACCATTCCGCTCATGGAAACCCAAAAAATTAATAAATATTCATATTGGAAAGAACATTGAATCTTGAATCTTAACTTATAAATATATATAATACAAAGATATTAATAAAGAACATTAATGAGCTATATAGAACTACTTAACTTAAAAAACCAAACTACTTTACTAGAATTTTTTTTAAATGCATAGAAAAATTCGCCTGTTGATGCTGATCAAGAATATATATGGTTTATGGGGTCGGAAACGACTCCTTCACAGTTTTTTAAGCTTCTGACTAAAGCTAAAATACCATTTTTTAGTCGATATTATTTATATTTTTATATGACAATTTGTTCAACAAATCAAAGTTTAAAAAATTCATAGCTTAAACAAAAATGCATTAATTTTAATTCGGAAAGCAGCCCTATGCTAGTTTTTGTTAGGGTAATAAATCTGCATACTCAATTAAAAATTTAAAAAAATCAAAATTTTTCCCATTTTTAACGATGTATAAAATTTGGAAAAAAATTGGCAAAAATGTATAATCTTTCCTTCATGTCCAGAAAGATTCGCCTGTTGATGCTGATCAAGAATATATATGGTTTATAGGGTCGGAAACGACTCCTTCACAGTTTTTTAAGCTTCTGACTAAAGCTATAATACCATTTTTTGGTCGATATTATTTATATTTTTATATGACAATTTGTTCAACAAATCGAAGTTTAAAAAACTCATAGCTTAAACAAAAATGCATTAATTTTAATTCGGAAAGCAGCCCTATGCTAGTTTTTGTTAGGGCAATAAATCTGCATACTCAAATAAAAATGTAAAAAAATCAACATTTTTGCCAAATTTAATGATGTAACCCCTTATAAAATTTGGAAAAAATTGGCAAAAATTTATTTTCTTTCCGTCATGCCCAGAAAGATTCGCCTGTTGATGCTGATCAAGAATATATATGGTTTATGGGGTCGGAAACGACTCCTTCACTATGTAGAAAGCTTCTGAACAAATGTCTAACACTCTTCCCAGGAATACATACTACAAAAGAGTTGTATAAATAATAAATTATCGTAACAAGTTTTATATTAATCTCTTTAACATTACCAGGAGTATATGTGAATAGTTGTTCCTTTTTATACTTAGTACGCTTAATACTTTATTAAAAATGCAGCTAATCTTGGGTATCTAGTTTTTAATTATCGTCTAACTGATATTTACTAAAAGTGCATTTTTATTTAATTATAAACCAGATGCGATCAAGCAAGAACTTACTATCATTACTACAAACTACTTTGTAGTTTGGACTGTTACGTGAGTGGTTAAGATTATAAGCCATCATTATCGAAACATTAAGCTCTTACAATTTTAATTATTCAAAACTAGTTTCTTATCTTGGAACGTTTAAGTATACTTTTGGGCTTTAAATCTATCTTCATCAAGCTTTAACAGCAGGCAATCTCATTCGAATACAAAACCTGGTTTATAAAAATATTGAAAATCGTTGTAAATATTGTATTTATATAGTACATTTATTTGCAGTAATGATAATTATCTTCAAATTCAAAATATCAAAGTGTACGATTTCATTTTGATATGATCCTTGCTGGCCAGCTAATAATTGGTAAATACCACTAATTTCCCAAATGTTAATGTTAACCCAAGTAAAAGAAATAAAAGCCAACTAATTTCCACAATTATTAGTGTATAATTTATTATTAAATATGTTATAAAATTTGTTTATCGTATAAAATATACTCTTATTCTTGTCTCGTCAAGTCCACATCTATATGTATATATATACAATATATATATATATATATTGGGTATATAAATATGTATGTGTATGCATGTATATAGAAAAATGACCAAGCCACGCTTCGTAGTTGCCCGTTCGCTTTTCGTTCACTATTTTCTTTTTAATGTTTAATTTTTGTTTATTTGACAATTACAATTTTAAACTGCAACTCGTTATTGAATCTGTCGCTCGATTTTGGTAGATTTCCTTTAGCTTTCGGCAAATATACATATATGTGACTTACGTAGCTGCTTACTGGTGGGTGTACCTAGTACCCTCACTTCCCTACATATGTATATGCTGAGTGGGGGTGAGTGAGAATGTATGAGATAATTTTGCGTATGCCGAGAACTTGGCCTCTATATATGAATATATGTATGTTTGGATATCCCGAAGCAAATCATAGTTGAAGGAGAAGAGTGGGATGTTTTCCATTTTCTAGATATATGCATGTATGTAGTAGTGTTTGTGGGGATTAGTCTATGTATTAAGTAACTATGTAAGTATGTGACTATGCGAATAAATGTGGTTAGTATGCTGTCGGTCCTTCGATCCTCTATGAATATCCTTGCAGTATGCAGTACTTTTTGCTATGCGAAACCAGTAGCTGGCACTATCAATATTTTCCTTATGCTGCTCTGCGCACTCTCCGATCGAAATCTATATATGCTTTAACTTTAAACTTAAAACTGTGTGTGTCGTCGTCTGATCCTGGCTTAAAATTTAAATTTGTACTCGTTTTGTACTCAATTGCTCCATAATTATTACATTTGTGTTTAGTAATGTGTGTATGTGTATGCGTAGGTTTGATTACTTCCAAATACCATAAAAAATAGAATTTAGATACAATCTGTTGTTGTCGTCTTCATTTTGTGTTGGATTTGGGTTGAACTTAATTGCTAAAGGATTTTGACAAAATATAATTATGATCGTAGGTAAGTAAGTATGTATAATTTTAGAGATTTTGCTTTGTATAATATAGTATTAATGAAATCATTTCTCTGTGCTTGCCGAGAATTGCTTGTTGTTGTTATTGTGTCATTAAAAGTTTTACTCAAAATTGTATTTTGATATAAGAGTTCAATCCTTTTTCTTCTCTTTTTGCGTTCTTTTTATTTCAATTTTGTTATGTTTTAGCATCGTCAATCGATTTGTTTATATATAAAAAGAGTTGCTTAATCAATATGTATCTTGGGGTTTACTTTTGAAAATCATTCGCACATCTTCAGGGATCATTCTTAGTCGTTTCTCCTTATTTTCTCACTATTTCCTTAACCGCTAAGTACGTAATACGAAAAAAATTGAATACCTGATTTAAGTTTTGGATTCGTTTTAGTGTTTTTTAACTTTAGTTAAGTTTAGAGTTTAGAGGCTATGTTTTAATGAGCATTCTGCTTGCTTTTAGAATTAATTGTTGGTTCGGGCAAACTTTTGTTTAGTTTTGTTTGGTGTTTTTTGGAATATATTCGGTTTATTTTTAAACAAAAATACCTGCTTGCAATTGAATTAAGAGTGTTTGTGTATATTTTTTGGTATGTACTTTGTTGTAAAGAGTTTCTTTAATTAACTATTTAATGCGTAGGCTTTCTTTGAATGTTGTGTGTAACGTAGAGCTGGAGGAAAATATAAGTTATCATCAGTGCATCAAAAACAATCAAAGCTGATCGATAAACATCCATATTCGTCCTTCTTTAATGTGTAATGAGTGTAATGTTTTTTTTTTGTAAGTTATTGGTTTATGCTTTTTTATTCCATTTGATTCTTAAGCCTTTGGCAAATTTTTCTCTATATTCTCATGACTTTTAGTTTTAGTAATTGTTTGTTGTTTTGTGTTTAACATACTTTAGTATAGTCTATAGATATATAATATATATATATATGTTTAAATGCTTCTTATTTTGAATTATGGCATTCTGTATTCTTGCTTAGATCGCAATAATTTCCTCCCTTCTTTATAAATTTACTTTTTTAAGCTTGTAGTTTATACTACTTTTAATATTTTTTTTTCTTTTTTGTTTTTTTTTACACAATTTCTAAACTGTGGCTTTTAGAAAACGGCGCTCATTTGTAATGATATATAAGTATTTAGTTCTTTAGTATTGTTTTTATTTTAGTAGTAAATCTCACACAAATATAAAATATGGCATTCTCTCAGATGTCGTCGCTAGGCCCGATACGGTTACGATACGATATATATATGATATATATACACATATGTGTTGTGGGATGATGCTTTCGGCGTGCTCTGAATGTGTGCGAGTTATTTTTTTAATATTTGGATTTGAATAATGATTCGATCTGGATCACAAGAAATGAACGGCGCTTCAAGGTTTACGGTTTACGATTTTCGATTTTACGATTCACGATTTACTATTACCGATTTCCGATTCATAAATCGGCGAATTATCGATTAAAAATGAGGTTACGACGAGTATGTTATGGCGATTCGTGTGGGGTTGACTAAACTAAACTAAGGTGTAAAATAATTACGATATCTACTCTCTATATAGCTCTAAGTATGTAGGTAGGTCGACCCCCTCCTTCGTCTGTTTGCATTCTGCGATCTGGTGTATATATTACGTGTATATATATAAATATTGTATATGTTTTTTGTTGCCATCGCTCTCGTAGAGCCTTCTAGCATTTTTGCATCATTATTTTTAGGTATGGTTAGTTTTTTTTATATTATTTTAGGGTTGTTTTGCTTTTGTTTTTAGTTTTTTCTTTGCGCATTTTATGCAATGTTGCTTTATTCGTGGAAGGAGTGTAGCTATGTATTCTCTCTCTCTCACACACATCTTTCTCAATCTCTAAGGTAGGGTTTTTGTTTAAAAACACAAGTACAAAGAATATAGAATGAACGTTTTAAAAAACAGGTAAGGTAAGAACATAACGTAAACTAAGTAACTAAGTTGGCTTAATGCATTTGCAATTTTTTCACCAGGATCTATATAGCCTAGAACAGTACCTAGTCTCTGTTTTGTGTGTATATATTTGCTAGTAAAAATCGATCCACCTCCAAAGACAGATTATTCAGCTAATTCAGCTAATTCATTCATTGTTTTTCCTTTACTTTACATGCTTTGTTTCTTATTTCTGGTTGTTTCTTGTGTTTCTTTTGCGAGGAACATGTCACCTAAAATGTGTATTCAATACGCCCATACATTGTATATTGCTCTGGATTTTTCCCATACGTTTTTCACTATGCCACGCCCCCGCTAAGTCTACTAAATGCTAATGAACACATTGAGTCAAAAATTATGATAATTTTCTTCGTTACTTCTGTTTGCTTTAGCTAACACCTCTCCTCTACTACCGCCTGTCCTTCTTAATTACAAAACGGAAAGCCCTGCCTGTGATGCTTGCACAAAAAGCGCTGGATGAAGATGCGGAACTCGATATTGGATGTGGATGTGGATGGGGATGTGGATGTGGATGCGAATGAAGTATAATGTCAGTTAAACTCGGTTTTGTCAGCTATGCCCATGATTAATGACTTTATGATCGGAATTCTATAGGTATAGTTGTGTGTTAAGTTAAGCTATGTTAAGTTACTTTACGTTATATCAATGTCATTGCAATTTTTGAGTGTTGTTCACGTTGTTTTTTGTTTTATTTTTTGGCCTCACCATAATATATGGTTCTTTTAGTTGGCTCCGAAATTGCGGTTTAGTTTTAATCAGTCTTTGTTAAAAAGTTCAACCAAAAAGTCAGCGGGTTCCTTCCATTGTTTACTTGTTTTTTTCTTTGTTTTGCTTCGCTTTGCTCTTACAAAGTTCGTGTACTCACTTGCTCAGTCTCAATAATATAAGAAATCAGTATAAAATACATACAAATATCGCGGAAAAAATAATTAATTTAAAAACAGAACAGTTTAAGGACAAACAAATTACGAATATAATACAGTCATCAATACCATACTCCGCACAAAGTCTGCTAACTCTTGTCGAACCAAAATATACAAAAAAAGAACATATATCATATATACCCCTATATAGTAGTTATCTCTCGCTCATCTTTCCGCTAAGCAAACGATGCCATAAAAAACGCACTCTCCATCAGCTAGCAAACTGCCTTTTCAGTCTAACTAACAGGTATTTGAATATTTTCATCTAGTAAATGGTTCGAGAGTTTACCCCCTTTTTGCTTTATCCTTTTCACTAGGTCCTGAATGCTCCTCGGACTATCTATCGCCTACTGCTAATTGTCTCCTATATCCTATATGCTTCCTCTGAAGTTTTTTCAATCTAGTTGGTTGTTTGGGGCTTGCTCTTATATATTCGCTAGATATATATATTGTATGTATAGGCATACGCGTCTGGTAGATATCTAGATATCTGTAGATACATATGTGTAATTCGTATTGTTGTATTGTGTAAGTTACCAGAATCGTAACCATTATTTATCTTAAGCATTATCGAGGTAATCGTTGTAGCACTTAAGCTAAAAAATTTTCGCTAATTTTCCCATGCTCTCCGGAATTTTCTTCTACTGATTCTTATCCTTTCGATCGAACGGCTCCTGTTTCCATTTTTGTTCTTTGTTTCTTTTCAATCTGATCTTAGCTCCTGTGGTGTGTGTGTGTGTGTAAATGGTCTAAAAAAGATCAACACTCACTAACCTAACTTAGAATACGTGCACAAACCGCTTGTAAGGGTTAGACCCTTCCTTGGAGTCTGGCGACAGTTCAATGAGGAATACAATTCGACCGTCTGGCATTAGTGCCACATCGCAGGTTCGATCCTTCTCGTCCAGCGTCGGCGGCATTAGCGGATTTATCGAGGGACGCACCTCAATCTGCAAACGAAGTGATTAGCGGATGTTTCTTATATGTGCAAAATCTTAAACTTACATCCCACATAAAGTCCAGGTTCTGATTAAAGACCAGAATGCGTTGATTCTTTGAATCGGCCACTATAATGCGGCCCTCGTCGTCACAGCACAGGCCCGATGGCCGATTGAACTCGTGGAAGCCCGAGCCCTCGTGTCCCTTGACGGACAGGATCTGCAAAACAGAGATATCACGAATTAGTATCCACGAAATGAACTAATATATATAAAGCAAACTCACATCGTTAATGTCAGGATCAATCAGGTAGAGGCAGTGGTTGTCAAAGTCAGACACAATTATGTTGCCCGTGGGCGTATAGCAGACGCCTCGTGGCGAGGCAATCCCCTTGGTCTGCCCATGGTTGTCGAACACTATCTGGCGGATAAAGCGACCCTCCGAGTCAAACTGCTGGATGCGATGATTGCGGGAGTCGGTGACTACGATCTGGCGACGCGAATTCACGGCCACATCCCACGGATACTGGAACTGGCCGTACTCCTTGCCATAGCTGCCAAACTTAAGCAGGAAGACGCCGCTGGCAGTGAAGATTTGCACGCGATGGTTGTCCTTGTCCACCACTATGATACGATTATCCACGTCCACACATATTCCGGCGGGCAAATCGAACTCGCCATTACCCACGCCCTTGCGACCAAACTTGAACTTTAAGGAGCCGTCAGGGTTGAAGACCTGAACGCGATTATTGCGACGATCCGAAACCAGTACATGGCCCATCTTGTCAACGCACAGGCCCCAAGGCCGGCTAACCTGTCCATCCTCATGGCCCTCGGTGGCAAACGACAGCGACAGGGCATTTGAGTTACGCACTTTGACCAGATCCATGCAACCGGGAATCGCTTGCGTCGTTCGTGGTGCACTGAAGTGGAGTCCCGGTGAGCTGCGCAATCCATTGAGCTCCCAGTCCAGAGCGGCACTGGACATGCCGCAGGCACTGCCTCCTCGCGGCTGCATGATGGGCGACGGGATACGGAAACTGTTGTCGCGCAGTAGGGGACGTCGGACATTCGTTGAGGCCACACTCAGCGGATTGTTAGGCAGATTCATGCCAAAGGCCATGTCCATACCGTTGCCAACGCCCACGTTACCAACTCCACCGCCAACTGGGCCAACACCAACGCCCACAGATGCGGCAGCGGCAGCAACGGCACTCACGCTAGAGACGGTCGGCACAATACCATTGCTGCTGGAGACGATGGGCAAGTTCTTGTCGTCGACTAGAATGACACCACCTTGGTTGCGAATGTCCTGCAGCAGACTGTAGTCGGGGGGAGCGAAGGCAAAGACCTCCTGCTTTGGCTGCAAATCCTTGTAGATGCCGGCAAACTGCTCCATCTGTCGCTGGCCATTGGTCAACTTCATGGCAATCTCAATTTGATCCATATTGCAGGCATTGTCCGCCACCTTGCTGAGCATGTCGGAGGTCTCGGATAGACCGGCGAGGGCCGACTTTAAGCCTGCCATCTGATCGTGCAGAATGGCCAAGCGGCGCTGGCGCAGCTTCTCGACAAAGTCAAGGAGAAAACGCTCGCGATCCTCGATGGCAATGATGAACTGACGGAAGGCCTTGCGTATATTATCACTCAGCTCGCTGCAGTTGCGCTCGATCAGCCGGATAAAGGCCAGCGCCTTGTCGATGCTGCTCTTAATGCAGCGTGTCCCCACCTGGCTGCTCTCGATGGCGCCCTCCAGCTTCTCCTTAGACCCGACCATAAAGCTCTGAATGGACGCATAGCTGTGTTCCTTGTGCTCATGCAGGGTGCAGCATTGACACACCAGCTTGCGGCAGTAATCGCACACGTAGCGCAGCATCTCATTGTGTATGTCGCAAATAAAGTTGCCGCTGGGCGGTGTATGCACATTCGCGGAGATCCCGCCCGTGGGCGAGGCTCCAATGGGCGTCGGAAGGGAGACGATAGAATGGTTGGAGGACAGAGGACTGTTCCGGTGCTCCCTTAGGCAGTCGTTGCACATGAACTCGTTGCACTCCAAGCACCGTATTGAGGCGCTCACCTCACACCAGCCGCAACTAATGCTCGAATTATTTGATGATTCGGGTGACATTTTTGGATTGCTGCGTGCACCGCTGCCGATGGGACCTATGCTGAAGTCGCCGTGCGTTTCTAGGCCGCCCAAGAAATTGTTGATGAAGAAGTCCGTACGTGGTGGCGAGCTGTGAAGGATTAAAAAGTATTTATCTTAGTTATTTGTCATTTAGTTAGCTTGAGTAAGCACACTCACCTCTGACCCACATTCGAGAGCATCCCCACATTGAGATCCCAGGCGGGAAAGCTATCGAGAATGCCCGCCAGTAGCCGCTCGGAGGAGTTGCTGGCATTGCTGCTAACGCTGCCGCCGCCACTACCATTGGCCGTTGAGGAGGAGTTGGCCACGCCATTGGCGCTCGGCGCATTGCTGCTGGCCATTTGTTGCGGAACCGAATTGTTTGACAAAAGTTCCATCATAAGAGTAATGTTGGTGGTGAGATCACGTTTCTATAGCACAAGGCGGCAGTCGTGGATGCAAAGGCGCTTTTCCGCTATAAATGTGAGCAAAGTTTTTCCGTGAAAGAACTGTTGAAGGATATAGGTTTTTTTTTTCTTAGAGCCAAAGCCAAGATCGATCGATCGATTGTGTTTTCTAAACAGCGTTTGAAACGCGCGCGATGATACGTCGTCGGTTGCCGAGGGGAAGCAGCTAACTAAATTGGCTAGGGAAAAGGTGCTGCATTAAGTAGTCCCAAAGCAGGCATGCAGCTGCATCTTCCAGCGTCTTAGGTAGCGAGGAAAATCCCCCTACCGACCCTTGATCCTTTAAGCAGGCCCGTCCCCGAATCCGAGGAAAATGCAATGCAACCCGAGGAGTGGCAGCTGTGTGGCGCGAGCAGCCGCAGCAGGTCAGATTTGTATGTCTGTGTATGTATCTCTTTGTATCGAGAAGACGCACAATCCTGAAATCCTGGAATTTCAAAATCAGCCACGCATTTTGTCTAAATTTATGAGCCGAAAATGGCCAACTTTTCGCGCGCAATTCTTGTGAATTTGGCTGTACTTCAGAAGGATATAAATATATGTATCTATATACCTCACTTTTTGGTAACCCAGATACCAGAGCTTGGTAATTCCCTGCTACTCCTGCTGCCCTCGAAAGCGAAGAAAAACAAACGATACACGACGGCGCTGGGTTGGGATTAGAAAATGAGAACCCACCCCTGGTGGAGCACACTCCACCTTATCGCGTAGCGTAACCCCAGCATTTCCACCCACCCACCACCACCTCACTCCGTCGTATGCAGTGCGCAAGCGACTTTTCCGGCTAAGGGGTGGAGGAGAAAGTCGTAATAGAAACAACAGACGGACAGAACTGGTTGCCATCTTCAAGACGTCGAGCAACGTACGCCCAATCAACCAAGCCGACCGACCGACTTTCATCCCCTCAAACAGGAGGATTCCGAGGCGACGACGGCTTCTTCTACACTCCGCCAAAAACCTGATGACCCAACGAACGACCGAACGTGTTCCTCACTCATCCTGATTTCGGGTAATTCGAGTTAATTTATAGCCTAACTTCAAGGGTGGGCCTAAAGACGAATCCCAGTTCTACTGGCGGACTTGCGATAATGTTAACCTGGGAAGGTGGTAAAGGGTTGCCGATTGTTTGGGAGGGGGGTTTTAAGACAAGAGTTCCCTTCAAGCAAAAAAGGATCAAATGAATTTATTAACTCTGCATCTCTTTATGTGAATTTTAAGACAATTTTATGCAATTTTAGGGTATGTCAAATTTGGGATAGTGTACGGGGAAAGTATTTTAAAGTATAGTTTATTTCTCATTACCTCTGAATTTATTTATGGATGATGAAATTAAAAATCCAAACCTAATTTTTAGCCATTTGCTTTATAAAATATTCCAGGATCTCATTAAAAATGGATTTCTTAAAAACCATATCTAGCCTATCTAGGCAACTAAAAGGAAGAGATTGCATTGATTTTGATTGCTAATTATTTCATGGAAAGGAAACGAACGAATCCTGGTGAATCCTCCAATCAATACTTTAGAACTCTACTTTGATCCTCTATTTCCATAACGTAACAATGCGACGCCCTTAGGTAAAGAATGCAATTCAAGGATATTTTCGAACCGTGTAGACAGCAGCAGTAAGAACAACAAAAACAACAACAATGACAACAGCAGGAACAGGACGAAGAAGAGGACGAGAAATATAAATAGGAGGAGGAGGAGGCAGCGGCTAAACTACCCTTGTCACCCTTGAACATTTTCCATTGAAACTGGTCTGCTGTCTCCGAGTCGCAGGACGTGGAAAAAAACACGACCAAGAAGTTAAAGTCCTTTCAAACACACACACACAGACACATCGGTACCCGTACTTGTGCGCCTGTGTGGGTTCTGTGTACGTGCAGGCGAGGATACAACGACTACGACGCAAATTATAACGGGGGATGAGGACGAGGGTTGTATTTACACACAAGTTTCTCTACATGTCCGTTTGTAGGTGGTTTCTGCGCCGCAAAAATCGTGTATATTTGTATATTTGTGTATGTATATTTTGAAACAAGCAAATACAAAAAAAAGGCTGGGGGCAAAGTTGAGAGGAATTTTTTTGCGAAATCTTCTTTGCTTGACTTGCAAAAAATCAATATTTTTGCTTTCGGAAATTAAAAGTTTATTTATTTTATTTTCCAGTGGTAGTTCCTCTCCTGCAACGCCCCTAGAAGCTGCCTTTCTTTCCCGTACACACCTTTTTTAGCAGCCACATGCAAGTTGCCGTTATTGTTGTTGTTTTGAAGTTTCTAGCGTTTGTTTTTCTCGATTTCCTTTCTCCCGTTGTTATTTCGCTAATTGATTCGATTTCGTATTTGATTCGGTTTGAATTTGATGCGGTTTTCGTTTTTATTTTCGTTTTTATTTTCAGCAAATTTTTGTCCGTTTGCTCCCGACATTCGTGTATTCCTTATTCCGACTGAGGAAGAAGATACATCCGAAAGCAACACCAAACCCGAAAACACAACATAACACACTCAATCTCAATGCTCTCTCGCTGTCTCTGTTGCTTTATTCATCATCATCATCATCATCATGAAGCCTAAACAAAAAAATAATAAACTCAAATGTATCTCACAGTTTTTTGATTTTGATGTGCGCGCGCGCTTCTAAAATGTCGCTCTGACCAGTGTTGCCATTTTATGACCGCCCTAAAAGCCAGATTCTGAGCAAAAATATAGCTAAATATAAAAATATAAATTGCCATAATTACCCAGATTCACTCCAAAGACAGCACAATTTGGTAATTGAAAATCTCGAGATCTAGTTAGAAAATAACTTAATTAACGCCAAAGCCATTTCCAATTTTAAATATGCTAGATCTAGCCAACAATAGGCTAAACTGGCAACACTGGCTCTAACTCTCTTCTTCCGCTCTCCTTTCGTGCGCTCTCTCTCTCGCTCTCACCTTGGCACGTACATATATATGTACATATGTACATATTGTATGCACATTTTTATCTTCTATTTATTTTCACTTATGCCGCAAAGAACTGCAGTAAAATGCAACCAACTGAGAGGGTCGTGGCATTAGTTAAGCAGAATGCACTGTTTTTAGCCCTAAACAATCGAGTCTACTGATTAAATGTCCCAACAGGCTCATCACAGTAGCTAATAGGATAATGGCGTCCGATTTTGGCTAGGGTGTTTGAAAGAGTATATTGGTTCCCTCACTCACCGCAATGCTATCTCAATACTTATTAAGCTTCCTTAGCCCCAATGTATCTCAAAATCCATTTTAGCTCTTTCTATCAATTTAAATTTCTACAACTGCATTTGTTTTCCACTCACTTGTCAAATTCATGCACTCTTCGCGATCACAGGGTATCCCATAGTTGTCACTTTGCTTGCTGTTGCTTTCTCCGTTCGTTCTTATTCGTTTATCTCATGCGTGTGTTTGATCGATGTAGAAAGCTATCGAAATCTTTGGAAAACTTCTATAGTTGTTGTTTTTGTTTACAGATTGTTTACATTTTCCCCGGCTCTGCGGCGTAGGTTGTAGTACCACCTCGTGCACTTTTCCTCCTTCAATTAAAAGCCATGAACAATTGCCGCCCTTGTTGTATGTGTGCGGATTTGGCGCGTCTGCTTCTCCGGTTTTATTTATGTACTTCGGCGGGCGTGTTCCGACTGCAGGTTTGTTTGGCTTAATCGAACACTTCCAATTCTGACCCACTTATTGTGGCGAGGACTAGGACTCGAAATCGGCTCGAATTTCTCTCCAACCTTCACGCACGCATTTAACCATCAAACTGTAAAACTCATGCCCTCATGAGGCATGCAATGCTGCCGTTGTTTTTTTGTTCTCTTATTTTTGCCCCTTCTTCGGTGAGAGTATTGGGCATATGCGACTATTCAGAGAACGCTAGGTCTGGCCACACTGTCTCCGATCTGTCGACTTTAATAAAAGATCTTTATCCAGAATGTAATTTCCTTCTCAATAGAATCATTTTAAAATAAATATGGCTCTATATAATCATTCTTAATAATTATGGAAGTATGTGTTTTCAATCTATTATGTATACGAAAGCAGGTAAAGGGATACTAATTAGCTAAGGAAATTACGTTCAGTTCACATTTTAGTCTTTTATATTTCCCCTAGAACTCTCCGTCTAGTTACTATTTCTAATTAGAGCATTTAAAAGCCGTCTTTTTATTGCTCATTTCCACCCAAAATGAGTACTCTGAGAGAGCTGAGAGAGAGAGAGAGAGAGAGACTTGAAATTGTTGTGGAAGGGGGCAGGGAGAGAGAAAGAGAGACACCACCGGATGACGATGAGACCGGTGGTTTGTTGTTGTTGTTGCAGGAAGAATACACCCTTAAGGAACTCGTTTTGCACTGAAAAAAAATTCATAGGGAGTCACCTAAAACCAGCCGTGGCCGTAGATAATTTGAAAATAGACAACTGGGAACTAGAAACTGCGGGCGGCGGGCATGGGCGCGGCGAGCAGGTAAAATGCGCAGGTGCGCCGGAACGGGACAACCACAGGTAGGTCCAATTCGGCTATCCTGTGTAGAAGACAACAAGTAATTACGCTGGTATTTCTCAATATTCTATTTGAAAACGTATGTATGTATATATTTAAGGATGTACGTACTACAGGCTATATGGGATGTATTCAAGTGTTTGTGTGTGGAGGAAGGAAGGCGGCCGGAATACTGATTACATGCTACGTATGTATGCAGATCCACGGGTTAGTCAGTCGCGTTCTTATAATACTGTAAGCTAAGCTTATAACGTACACATTATCCCCTATTCCCGGCAGCGTGAATAACGGGATCAGCCGAACTCCAGTTCCTCGATAAGGACATTCTGCAGCTTCTGGCGCACGCGCAGCCGCCGGCGCTCGTCGAGGCGTTGGAGGAAGGGCATTAGACTGAGCAGGAACATGCGATCCGCCTCATCCTGCAGATCGCCGCCGGTGGGCTCGGTATTGGTGGTGGCATCCATGCTGATGTACTTAAAGGGCAGATCCGCCACGTTCGGAGACTGCGACATGGATGAGGCGGATGCCTTGGCATCCGGCTCGCTTTTCAGGCTATGACTTAGACTACGGCTGGAGGTGTTGCTAGTACTATGGTTGTTGTTGTGGTTGGTCTTCACCTTAGCCTGCTCAATTTCCTCATCGTCGTCGTCCAGCACTTCGATGGTGAAATCGCCAGGATTGTCCGGCTCCACCCGCTTGCCACGCTCCTCCTCCTGGTTCTCCGAAGCGGCATCCTCGTCAAAGTCATCGTCATCCTCCTCTTCCTCGCCCACGCCAGACATTTCTTCCTGATCCGTGTGCTGCTGCGGCTCAAGCTTAACCCGCTTACTGTCCGGCGGCTGGCAATCACGATCCTCGAAGAAGGAGCTAATGTCCGAGAAGCTCGGCTGGTGCAACTCCGAATCGTAGCTGTCGCTCAGTTCACAGATGGGCTCCGTGGCCACCAGGGGCATGGAGTCATACTTGTCCACTCCCAGGACATTATTGTTTTCTGTCCAGTGTCCAGGCGGATGCTTCTTGCTGCTGCTCCGCGTCTGACGCATAATATTCTCATGAACGGCGGGCTCCATGAAGCGCATGTCGTTGTAGAAGCGCCATGACGAGGGCGTCTCATTGGACAGGTTATTGCGGATGTACACCTTGCGAAAGTTGTCCCTAAGGTGGCCCCACTTGATGCGGCAGATGTCAGCTGCGGGGAAGGAGGAGAAACTGTTAGGCAACTGGCACCAAGAGCTATCTCTGCAGTTACTCACCCGGAAGATTCACATCCTGGCCCACCTCGAACCAGATGGGCGTGATGTCGCTGCGCTTCTGGCCATTGGCATTGTTCCGCAGCCACAGCATGGGGCGACGCGAGACGGCGGCAATCAGCCGCTTCACCGTCTCAATGGGCAGCTTCGCGGTGTTCGTGAAGGCAAAGGTGGCCGCGGAGACGGCCGAGGCCGCCACCGACGATGACGCATTGTAGGCCAGCTCCATGAACGATCCCAGGCCAGCTCCAAGTCCGATCACTATCCGATTTCAATTCCGTATTTCCCAGCAAGCGACTCGCGCAGCTCAAGCGCTCAGTCAGCACTGAAAATACAAAAAAATACGGGCGAGCGAGCGCGACCACGACCACGCGAATGTTGTACGGAACCAGTTTACGTGCCTTTTAGGCGACGGCGAAGGCGGTGCCAAAAGAGAACCGGCGAGGAAAGAGCGACTCAAGCAACACCAGCGGCAGCAGCAACAGGCTTTGCCACGAACCGAGGAGCAAGAAGAAGCAGCGCAGAACCCCAAAGGCAGGCAGGCAGGCAGGCAGTAGCAACAACAACAACAACAACAACAAAGGCAACTAAAGCAGCAGCCGTCTCTGGTCTCTGGCAATATTATCCGGATGTAAAGCTTCCGCTGGCCGCAACGCAACTCACTGCTGGCTGCTTGTGTCGTATTTGCGCGCTTTACGGTTGTTAACTTCGCCGTCGCTTCAGTGCCCGCCGTAACGAATCCAATATGCTCTGCCAAAAGGCAGTAAGGGCATCTGACACGCGGAGCGCATCGACCTGAGCGAACATGTCTCCTTGCCGCACATGTTGTCTCCCTCTAATCAAGCCCTTCTTCCCACTGAGTATGTGTGTGTGTGTGGAGGAAAGATCATCCTTAGCCAGGCGACAAGCCTGCCTTAAATGCCTGGACTTGGACAGTGTAGCGCATGGTATATGCGCGGTGTAGCGTACTTTTGTTTATTTTTATCAAAACTGGATTTTACTACGGTCGGCTGGCGGCTGGTGGCTGGCCTGGCATGGAAATGGAAATGGAGCTGGAGTGAACGTAAAAAATTCACGCCACGCCACGCCAGTGGGAGCACTGGCGGAAAAGAGAGAACGAGTGAGTGTGTGTTTGTGTGAGTATGCCGCTTGCCTGTGCGAGTGTGTGTTGGATGGGAACAAAAGCTCCAGCTGGAAACTTCGTCACGATCGTGAGCCTGGAACCTGGGGCCTTCTTCTTTATGCATAAGTATTCATGGATGTACATACATAAGTACATACGCGATGTCTCCCCTGTATCCGTTGTCCGTATGTACCACCCAGCTTGCACGTTTCGAGGCATGTCTCATCCCTCTTCCTTCTCTTGCCGCTCCAGCGAAAATGCAAGTGAAGCAGATACGAGAATTGGCGACCGGGGCTTCTTTTATCAGATCGGCAGCTTTGCCTTGCGGTCGAGCTTCTCTTCTTTCCAGCTTGACATTTGATCCTCGCCGCAATGTATACATATATGTACATATACAAACATAACCAAACAAACATTCACATAGCCGGCCAATAAGTGGAACCCAACACCGTAATTGGCCATTTTCAAGAACCTCTTGGCGAAGAAAACTGCAGAAAAAGATCTCGCATGCGAGGCATACATACATACTGAAAAGTACGGGGACCGGTTTTGGCTACCAATCCGGTAATTTTAACGGAATTCCTCAGGCCAGGCCATCTGGCGTTGCCATTGAAATCCAGGATCGATTAAAAAATTACTTTTTAAGGGGACATGAAACATACAAAATAAAGTGGTTGAATTAAGGTAAAGGAAAATTTTAACAAACATGTACATATATTAAAAAAAAAGGAAAATACTAATTTTAAATATTAAAAAAAAATATTAATACTTTAAAAGGATATTCAATTAAGAATAGGCAAAACTATGATAAAAATTGCAGAAAACTAAACTAAAAGACTGTGAAGATGGATATTTAATTCGAATAAAAGGTTTCTTAAATTATTAAATAATAATAAATATGTTAACCCAATTTGGTCAAGAATTGATATAATTGACTTTACAGATTTACATACACACACGAATTACATTTATTGACAGTTAACGAAAATATATGTATACTTTATACAGTATCTTATGCAAGCGATAAGTACTTGGTTCCGGAATCCACACATGAACATGTAACAAATAGACGAATCACAAACACACTCTTAACAATTAAGAAATTCATGTACGGGGCTTTTGAGAGATTTAAAAATCTGGAATATATATGTTTTAGACATATGGGTTATACTCTACACGTACTGTATGCATATTTATAATGAATGGTAATGGTAATGGTCATGTTGTCCGGTCCAGCGCCTGCGCCCGGTAATGAACGTGATGATGGTGATGATGATTATGGCGACGATGTCGTCTTTCACATAGCGGCCAGGTTCGGTTCCTTCTCCACGTTGGTATCCTCATCTTCCACTGGCAGCGAACCGGATGTGCCACGCTTGCGATTGCCACTTGATTGTGGTGTCGCAGCCGCTTGTCCTCCCGTCATGATGGAATAGTTCTTAGAGGACTTTCGTAAACTAACGCCGGGGTCTTTATCCAAAACCACAAGCTCGCCATTGCTGTGACCATTGCTGCTCTGCGGGGAGCAGCTGCTATTGCTGTTACCGGCGCCGTTGCCAATCCCATTGCCATTCCCATTTCCAGCGCCCGCCTCATTGATAAAGACGTCCATGTGATCGATGGTGTCGTTTAGGGCAAAGCTTTGGTCCCGCCGCTCGCTCTTTTTCCACAGATAGTAGAAGTGGACCAGTTCGCGCATGGTTCGCGTGCGCACCTGAAAGAGCCCAACGATCATCGCAGACACACAGATTACTTACTGGGGCGGTCGGCGGGCGATGGACGGTGCTTTACCTGGTTCTGTCGTATCTGAAGGAAGTCCTTGCCGAACTTATGGATGCCCTCCTCGAACTTTAGGCACTCGTCCTCTGACCAGCTGCTCATGGTATCGCTGCTAAGAGGCAGAACGTTTATGCGCTTGCGACGTAGCGCCTCCTTGAAATCGTAGCCGCATTGGACGAGCAGATGTAGCGCCTGTTCGTTGTCCTTCACCACGGACTCCTGATCGCCCACTGCTAGCGGCCTAGACGACGTGGCGGGAGGAGGAGCCGGAGGCGCAGCCGCTGGAGGAGCTGCCTCGTCTGCAATTATCGAGGCAACAGAAGCTTCATCCCCTGCCAATGAGTCGGCGCCCTCCTCGGGCGGAACTGTGACTCGTGTGTCCTGAATTTTGGCCAGATAATCCTCCACCTCGCGTTCACTGACCTGGCTGGGTTCCCAGATCAACTGATCCTCGTTCTCGTACGGCAATATGTCGCCGTATTGCGAGAGGCCTTCAGGTATCTCCGCCTGATAGTCATTGCCCACCATTATGATCTTTCTGGCATCGTCCATCGACTCAGACTCGCTGTCCTCCTCCTCCTCGTCGGCTTCTACTTCGTCGAACAGCACCTGCAGAGGTGTGACTGCAAAAGTGTTACATAATCGTAGTTAGTGATCCCCTCCTAATCTTATATTGATAAATAGTTTCAAACCTACATCGTTCGACGTTCTCGACGCTAGAGGTGGCCAGATCTGCAAAGGACTCCTCCGGGTACAGGTCGAGCAAATGAGAGCGATGCGGCAGCCTGGTAGCTGCTTCAGACGACGGTGGCGGGAGTGGTGGCGGCGCTTCATCAGTGTCCATGGAAGCATCTCCTGTTTCCAACACTGGCTCTTCCTCCTTTTCTTGTAGCTGCTCTGGTTGATCCTCATTGTTTGTTTGTTCTGAGTGCGAGACAACGCCCGACCCTGAAGTATTTGCAGTCTCTGTGTCCAGCTCCTGGTACTGCCGCTTGGTGGCACGTCGCGCCCTTCGCGAGGAGCTGCCGGAACGATTTAAATTGCCCACTGCCGGCGAGGACGCCATGCCACCACCGTACTTGGCCAACAGCTCCTCAATGGGCATCTCGCTCTCTTCGCGCAGCGTGGCTATCTCATCCTCGGCGCTGTGTGCCTCCTGATCCGCCAGAGCCTCCTCCTCATTCAAAGTAGCCTCGTCATCAAAGTCGTTGACCATCATATCGATGGTGGGCTCGAAGGTGGTGTCCGCCACCGAGGATGTCGGCGACATGGGCGGCTGAACGCTGGTGCTTGTGTTGTCCGAACTGGTAGCCGGCGATTTGCGACGCTCTCGCTCCCGCTTAGTGGGCGTTAACGATGACATTGTGGATGCGTCGCTGTGGGTCTGGCTGCCGGAGTCAGCTGACGCCTCGGAGGCGCTGTGCAAAGAGTGCTCCGAAGATTTCCCGGACTCCATCATTTTCCCTACACGCAGTGTGGCAGTGGCCAGAGCGCCAAAATATCTCCATTTCAGCGAGGCTCGATGCTCTGAATATGCCAGAGGTTTCAAAATGGTCACACTAGTTTTTTTTAATGATTTTGAATTAATTTTAAATTATTTAAATCATGTTACCTTGGCCAAAAAATGCATTAATTTCAATTTCTGTGCTAGTTAAAGGGTAACAAATCTGCATACCTAATTTAAAATATAAAAAAATTAAAATTTCTGTCGAATTTTTTACAATATTAACGATGTAACCCCTTATAAAATTACGAAAAAATTGGCAAAAAAATTTAATTTTTTCCTTCATGCCTAGAAAAATTCGTCTGATGATGCTGATCAAGAATATATATGATTTATGGGGTTGGAAACGACTCCTTCATAGGGTTATAAGCTTCTGACTAAAGCTAAAATACCATATTTTAGTCGATATATTATTATATTTTTATATGATAATTTTTCAACAAATAAAAATTTAATAAACTCATAACTTGGCCAAAATCTCATAAATTTTAATTCGGAAAGCTTTCCCATGTAAGTTTTTATTAGGATAATAAATCTGCATACCTAATTTAAAATATAAAAAAATTACAATTTTTGTCGAATTTTGACAATTTTAATGAAATTTTGAAAAAATTAGCAAACATTTATTTTCTTTCCTACATGGCTAGAAAAATTCGTCTTATAATGCTGATCAAGAATATATATGATTTATGGGGTCGGAAACGATTCCTTCATAGCGTTATAAGCTTCTGACTAAAGCTAAAATACCATTTTTTAGTCGATATTATTTATATTTTTATCATTTTTTTCAACAAATAAAAATTTAATAAACTCAAACCTTGGCCAAAAAATCATACATTTTAATTCCGAAAGCTTTCCCATGTAAGTGTTTGTTAGGATAATAAATCTGAACACCTAATTTAACATATAAAAAATTAAATTTTTGTCGAATTTTTTAAAATTTTAATGATGTGAAAAATTGAACAATAATGTATTTTCTTTCCTACATGCCATGAAAGATTTGGATGTTGATGCTGATCAAGAATACACATGGATTATAGGATCGGACACAACGTTACAAGCTTCCGACTAAAATTAAAATACCCTGCAAGGTTATAATAATGAGGCAAACTTTTTTTTTATTAAAAAACATATCTTGTAATTTGTGCTTAATAATAGGAATGAATGAGTAAATAGTGAAAAATGAGATAAACATGATTAGGTTAACAAATACGAATGGTGTTTTTGCCCATGACCACAATGGCGCCTTCATCTTGCACTTCCTTCAACGCATCCTCGAATTGTTCCCGCGTGATCAACTACAATTAAATAAATTATTGATAGAAATAAGGAAAAGTTATATTTTTAAAAGACTCACAATTTGGGATCCCTCCTTTATCTCCTTGAACAACTTTTGATAGGGAACCGTGGGCACTTTGCCCTTCTTCTTCAAGTTCTCCTTGATGGCCACGACTAGATCAGCGCGCTTCTTTCTCGCGGCCGTTGATAAGCCTGTGGTGAGGATGCCCACATCGATCTTGCCGGACAGCGGATCTGTGGCGGACTGCTTCAAGGCCTCGCGATGCAGACGCCAAGCCTCCTCAACGTCCAGCAACTCCACCTCGTTGCTGAGACGAACCTTGGCATGAGCCTCCGACAAGCGTATTAAACTCTCTAGCTGTCGGGGATAGGCAGAGATCTGGCCACGTCCAGCGCCCACCTTACGCATGTCCACATAGGCCTGAATCAACCGCTGCTGGGCCTCATCTGAGAGCGTGGGCGATAGATGCTCGCGGGCATAGGCGATGTAGTCACGCAAGACACTCATGTCCTGGCAAATAAGTCTTACTTATTAATTGCTTATTAGTTATTAGCCTTATTATAACTTACAAACATTGTATCCTCCTCCTCATGACGGGTGACATAGTAAAGCGAGACCAAGTGACTGGCTAATCGCTTGTCGAATACCTCATCCTGCGGATCGAGAACTAAAAAGATCAGATCGAAGCGAGACAGCAGAGTGTGCGGCAGCTGGACGTTATCAATAATGTTTTTACGCTTGTTCCACTGCGATTCGGCGGGATTAGCGGCTGCCAGGATAGAGGTGCGAGCGTTCAGCTGGCAAATGATACCGGCTTTGGCAATGCTCAACGTTTGCTGTTCCATCACTTCGTGAAGCACGCTGCGCGTCGAGTCGTTCATCTTGTCGAACTCGTCGATGCAACAGACACCATTGTCGGCCAAAACTAGAGCGCCACTGCATATAATTGAGCCATCAGCTAATAATTTCAATTAATCCACAACAGGAAACTCACGTTTGCAGGACCAATTGTCGAGTCTCCGGATCCTTGGTCACATAGGCAGTCAGACCCACAGCCGAGGAGCCACGACCTGAGGTGTACTGTGATCTCGGTACCAGATTGTACACATACTGCAGCATCTGGGACTTGGAAGTGCCGGGATCTCCACACAACAGTAGGTGAATCTCGGACCTAAAGTTCTGCCGACCCAGAGTAGCGTGTTTCTTCTTGGTACCGCCAAATAGCTGCAGGAGGATGCCCTTCTTGATGTCATCGTTCTCGTAAATCGATGGAGCTATGGCCCGGGCCAGGCGATCGTAAATGTCGGGCTTCTTGGCCAGCAACTGGAGGAGTTCGATGCGTTCCGGCGGGAAAATGTGATCCTTGCTGGGAAGAGAAGAGGACTTAAGCTTACAGTGACAAAAAATGGTAATTTCCCCAGGCTTACCCCTCCTCCTCTTCGTAGAGGCGCTTGTTGTCCACCTTGCGGAAGTGCACGACATCAACATGGGTCTTGTAGACGCTCTTCACGCTCGAAGAGATGCCTCCGGTCTTAAGTGGCGTCGCGCGATAGATTCCCGTGACGGTAACACGATCACCCGGCTGTACCTTGTCCACCAGATCGTTGTGGGCATACAAGAGCACGTTGTGGGGCGTTTGGCCGGCAGCCATATCATCTGGCGACTCCTGCAGTTTGATTAACTGCTTGTCCGTGAATTCCGATCGGTTGTGGATCAAACGGAAGCAATGATTGGTGTTACAATTGGTGCACAGCGTCGGCTGATTAATACGACCGCGATCCACCTCTACAGTGGTGCTGAAGGAGCATATGTTGCAGCTGAAGAAGGCTTCACGCATCTCTGGAATGACGTTCGAGGAACGGATGACCATGCCGCAGATGCTGATCAGTTGATCCATGTCCTCTGGATTCAGGGAGCGCATATTACGTGTCTTGTCCGCATTGAAGGGACGCACCTGGATCTGGTGTTCCAGCAAAGCGGCCGGATAGCGCTCGAAGAACATCTCATTGATGGCCATATCGAATCCGGGAATCACCTCTTGCGGATAGCAGATCAACTGGCGGTACAGGTCCAAATCGAAGGTCTTCAGATGGGCACAATTGAGATTCAGATAGGGCTCCTCTAGGGTATGAATCTCCTCCAGTTTCTGCAGATACAGCGGCTGATTGACATCGATATTCTCGGAGATTTCATCCTGCTCGGCGCTGGGATCGATGAAGCGCAGTATAAAAGACTTGAACTTGGACTTGCACTGACTGACAACCACATTTGTGCCCCATACAACGAGCTGAGGCGCTTGAGAGGATTCAGAGACGGGATCTGTTGTCTCGGAGCCCTTCTCAGGTATGGGCTCCAGCTGTAAGGGAACCAGGAATTTAGATGGCTTCTTATTTCCCCGCGTAGCTACTTACCCCGAGCCACCGCCAATGGCCACCTGCCGGATGCGCTTGTCTGTCCGAATATCTGGACGAGCGCGCAGCGGAGTACCGCGGATGCCCGAGCGCGGTGTACGGATGGAGCCCATCGAGCTGGGCGTGCCGTAGTTGAGCGGCGAACTCAGATCGATCTCGCTCATGTTGGTACCCAATCCTCGTGCCGGACTTGTGGCCGGCAAGCTGATGTTACCTGGCGACGTGGGCGGCAAACTGATGTTGTCCGACGGCCGGGCTCCGGCCCGACCAGGACCCATGCGCATGGGGGTCTCCACATCCTGCGACGCAATGCCTGCAAAAAAAAACCGAGACAGCAACGTTTGAACAACAACACACCAAGCAAGCCCATGCTCAGCCTTCAAAACATACCTCTAGTAGGCGTGCGAGCTCCCTGCTTGGCTGGTACACTGGGCGAACGGGCGGGACTCGACATTATCGAAGTTGTACTGTATATTTTCTATATTCTGATCCACACGAAATTAAGAGCTGTTGTGGCTGGGAAACTATGCCTCGCTGGGTCAAAGCGCGGGAAATTCTGACAGATGCCGAGTTCAGTGTTGGAGACGGCCGGTGGGTACGTATCCAGTGCTGTGCAATACGCCGCAGGGTCTTGCGCGCCAAACGTTCAGGGGCTTATTTCTCACATTTTCCACACACATTTGGTATTGTTTAGTAGACATAGGTTTTCGGCCCCTTCTTCTTAGCCAAAACACTCCTATCTGGACAAATCAGGTTCTTCTGTGGAACTGGGCCTAAACAACGCAGCATTTTGCAACCCTAACCTTTGGCCAACAACAAAAGCGGCGGGGGAGCCGTCAGGTCTCAGTCAGAATAGAAACGTCAGAGACGAAAGTTTTGTTTGTTTTCTTTTTTTTTCGGTAAATTTCACGGCCCTGAAATTCCAATGAAGTAGCTTACGTTCAAAACCTTTTAGCATTTTTAACCACTTTCGGCTTGCAAATTTTAGTTAACAAAAATAGAAAAAGGGCAACCATAATGGCCATGTAGAGTACGCTGCAATCGTGGTAAAGTCAACAAAAACAAGAGAGGCGGACAACACTGAAAGGGAAAACAAACAAAGTAACGGGATTTATGAGCCCCCCACCACACTGACAGTTGACGCCGAGGAGTAAGAAAAAGGAGCAGCAAGCTGGAGCGGTCAGGAGACCGAGGCGAAGCGGGAAAAATGTCGAGCGAGGAGATGCTATACGCGCAGGTATTACACGTCCATCGTCGGATATATTGATGCCCCACAAGTGCATCGTGGCAGATTGCGGCGGCGGGTGTCGGTGTCGGTGCCAATATAAAATGCAACAATAACCGTGATTCCGCGTGTGTGAGTTTGTGTTTATGCATGTGTGTGTGTGTGTGTGCCATTTGCCGTTCTTCGCCGTTCTCCCCTTCCACTTTCCACGGCCCTGATTTCTGCCCATTGATGACTGCATCGCTGCTGGTTCCCCTCCGAAATATGTTTGGTGGTGATTCAGCGGCCTTATCGCAGTGGGGCGGGCTTATCACACTTTCGGTTTGATAACAAGTGAAAGAAAGCAAAGCAAAGCAGAACAGAGGAGGTGTCACAAGTCGTCGGGGATTGGGGTTAAATGCTAATTGACCAATTAACGCCTCTGCTATCTACCTTTAGGGCGCCAAAATATGGATAACGCATCCGGAACATGTGTGGGAGAGCGCCACGCTGGAGGAGAGCTACCGCAAGGGCGCCGGCTTCTTGAAGATCTGCACGGAGTCGGGCAGCCTGCAGGAGGTGAAGCTGAAGCCCGATGGCAGTGACCTGCCCCCGCTGCGCAATCCGGCCATTCTGGTGGGACAGAACGACCTGACTACCCTGTCCTACCTGCATGAGCCGGGGGTGTTGCACAATCTGCGTGTCCGCTTCTGCGAGCGCCAGATTATCTACACCTACTGCGGCATCATTCTGGTGGCCATCAATCCCTACGCCGAGATGCCGCTGTACGGCCCGAGCATTATACGGGCGTATCGAGGCCATGCCATGGGGGATCTGGAGCCGCACATCTTTGCCCTGGCCGAGGAGGCTTACACCAAGCTGGAGCGCGAGAACTGTAACCTGAGCATCATCGTTAGCGGCGAGTCCGGAGCAGGGAAGACTGTGTCTGCCAAGTATGCGATGCGTTACTTTGCCGCCGTCGGCGGTTCCGAATCGGAGACGCAGGTCGAGCGCAAGGTGCTGGCATCTTCGCCGATCATGGAGGCCTTCGGCAATGCCAAGACGACGCGAAACGACAATAGCTCCCGCTTTGGCAAATTCACCAAGCTGTTGTTCCGTAACCAGATGGGAGTGATGTACCTGCAGGGCGCCACCATGCACACCTATCTGTTGGAGAAGTCGCGAGTGGTGTATCAGGCACAGGGCGAGCGCAACTATCACATATTCTATCAGTTGTGTTCAGCGCGAGCTAAGTATCCAGAATTGGTGCTCGGTAAGGACTTGGGCTAACCTATTTTTACCAAATAATGAATCTATTTTAAATGCTGTTATAGATCACCAGGACAAGTTCCAGTTCCTGAACATGGGCGGTGCTCCGGACATTGAGAGGGTCTCCGATGCAGACCAGTTCAACGAGACTGTGCAGGCGATGACAGTGCTAGGATTCTCCATTCAGCAGATAGCGGACATTGTTAAAATTCTGGCTGGCATTCTCCACTTGGGCAACATCGAGGTGTCCAAAAAGTTCAACGAGGGCAGCGAGGAGGAGGACACCGACTCCTGCGAGATATTCGTAAGGAATACATACGAATCTTGAAATTTCATTACAGTTCATTTTGTATTCTGTCCTTAGCCCAACGATATCCACCTGCAGATCACCGGCGATCTGCTGCGGGTGAGCGCCGAGGATCTGCGCCGGTGGCTTTTGATGCGTAAGATAGAGTCGGCCAATGAATATGTACTGATTCCGAACAGCATTGAGGCGGCCCAAGCGGCGCGAGACGCCCTGGCCAAGCACATATACGCCAAACTGTTCCAGTATATTGTCGGTGTGCTGAACAAAAGCCTCAATAACGGCAGCAAGCAGTGCAGCTTCATTGGCGTCCTCGATATCTACGGCTTCGAAACGTTCGAGGTGAACTCGTTCGAGCAGTTCTGCATCAACTATGCCAACGAGAAACTGCAGCAGCAGTTCAACCAGCATGTCTTCAAATTGGAGCAGGAGGAGTACCTCAAGGAGGGAATCACCTGGACCATGATTGATTTTTATGACAATCAGCCGTGCATAGATCTCATTGAGTCGCGGCTGGGCGTATTGGATCTACTCGACGAGGAGTGTAGAGTGAGATTTATCTTAGTTGTTTTTGATGTTATCCTTTATTAATGTGTGAAACCTGATCTGATGTAGATGCCTAGAGGCTCGGATGAGAGTTGGGCTGGCAAGCTCATCGAAAAGTGCAGTAAATTTCCACATTTCGAGAAGCCGCGCTTTGGTAGTACCAGTAAGTGAATCCTTATAGCAGTGCGCTGTTCTCTAACTTTTATTCATCTTTTCAGGCTTCTTTATCAAACATTTTTCGGACACCGTTGAGTATGACGTGAACGGGTTCTTGGAGAAGAACCGTGACACTGTCTCCAAGGAACTAACCCTAGTACTAGGCGAGTCCAACATGTCGTTAGTCAAGCAGGTCATGTCCCTGGAGGAGATTGACACGCTGAGCGTGGATACGGCGAAAAGCTCAACCTTGGGCGGTCGTGTTGTCATCAGTGCTGGCCGGAAACAGGTTTGTTATCGATTATCGAGGATTGGAACACGACTGGACATGCTTTTGTACACCCCTGATTGTCCATTTGTAAACATTGTCTTATTGCTATTTGTATTTTCCATACGCTATTTTCCATTCGCTCATCGCCAACGTCTCGCCTCGGAACATGGACAACAATACAGCAAATGAATGAAACACGTCGACGAGTTAGTTACCAAAAAACATATTTATGCAAAACTACAATGACTAACCCAAGACCTTTATGTTTAATTTTAAGTTTGTTATACCCTTGCAGGGTACTATAATTTCAATCAAAAGCTTGAAACGCAATGAAGGAGTCGTTTCCGACCCTATAAATCATATATATTCTTGATCAGCATGAACAGCCGAATCAAACTAGTCCAGTCCAAAAGAAAAAACAAATTTATCATTTTTTTTCGAAATTTTAAAAGCGGTTACATCGTTAAAACAATGAAAATTTGACAAAAAATTTCAATTTTTTAAATTTTAAGACTAAGTATGCAGATTTGTTACTCCCTTAAACACTAGCATAGAACAACTATCCGAATTGAAATTAATGCATTTTTGGCTAAATTATGAGATTGCACATTAGAACCCATAACCATATAACTAACTCCAAGGGTATAGTATATACACTTCGGCATCTCGAAGTTATCTATCCCTCTGTTTTGGATATTATTTACTTAATTTATTGACAAAAATATTGCGCTCGACGTCTTATTTTTAAGGCGTAATGTAAAGCACTCTGATGAAGATTATTTATTCTTTGTGATATAAATTTAACACTTAACGCTTAAATTTTGTTAAATATACAGTGTGTTTTTCATATTCATACCAAGTTTAAATTTCAAAGGTTGTGCCATCGAAGCAACATCGGAAATCTGTTGGCTCGCAGTTCCAGGAGAGTCTTGCCTCGCTGATATCTACATTACACGCAACAACGCCACACTATGTTCGCTGTATCAAGGTAAGATTCAAGCACACGGAAAATCAACTCTTCCTTGGGTAATCCGCTAAAACTTTAATTTCCGCAGCCAAATGACGAAAAAGTCGCTTTCAAGTGGGAGACATCTAAAATCATTCAGCAGCTGAGGGCATGCGGTGTTCTGGAGACGGTTCGCATCTCGGCAGCCGGTTTCCCTTCGCGCTGGCTCTATCTGGACTTTTATATGCGCTACCAGCTGCTGGCGCATCGCGCCAAGATCGACAAGAACGATATGAAGCAGTCGTGCCGCAACATTGTGATGAAGTGGATTCAGGACGAGGACAAGTACCGCTTTGGCAACACTCAGATCTTCTTCCGCGCCGGCCAGGTGGCTTTCCTCGAACAGGTCCGAGCCAATCTGCGCAAGAAGTACATCACGGTTGTCCAGTCGGTGGTACGTCGCTTCATTTACCGGCGGCGCTTCCTGCGTCTGCGCCAGGTGATCAGTGGAATTCAGAGGTGTGCGCGTGGCTTCCTGGCCCGCCAGCGGGTCCAAGAGATGCGGGAAGCTCGAGCCGGGCTTATATTGTCGAAGTATGCTCGTGGTTGGCTGTGTCGCCGTAGATATTTGCGCTTGCGACACTCAATCCTTGGCATACAGACCCTTGCTCGGGGTATGCTGGCCCGTAAGAAGTTCTATGCGATGCGCGATAACTATCGAGCGCTTCAGATTCAGCGGTTCGTGCGCGGAGCTTTGGCGCGACGCGCCTACCAGAAGCGGCGACGCGACATCATCATCTGCCAGGCGGCGGTTCGTCGGTTCTTGGCCCGCCGCAAATTCAAACGGATGAAGGCTGAGGCTAAGACCATCTCGCACATTAGTGCCAAGTACATGGGACTAGAGAACAAGATCATATCCATGCAGCAGCGCATCGATGAGCTCAACCGCGACAATAGCAACCTGAAGCACAAGACCAGCGAGATTAGCGTATTGAAGTGAGTAAAACCATGCCCAAAAGGAATATCTGGATCTGATACTGACTCTTCTTTGCAGAATGAAGCTGGAGCTAAAGAAGACGCTTGAGCTTGAGATGAAGAATCTGAAGGCGGCCTGCCAAGACAAAGACAAGCTAATTGAGGCTCTCAACAAGCAGCTGGAGGCGGAGCGCGACGAAAAGATGCAGCTACTCGAGGAGAACGGGCATGCGCAGGAAGACTGGCTCAGCCAGAAGCAGTCGTGGTGCTCCGAGAACGAGGATCTGCGGAGGCAAATCGACGAGATGATCGAGCTGGCCAAGAACGCTGAGGTGAGTCAACGTACGCAGGAGGACCGAATGTTGGCCGAGGACAACAAAGAGCTCAACGAGGCCTATCAGCGTGCCATCAAGGACAAGGAGGTAATTGAGAACGAGAACTATACACTAAAGGAGGAGCTGAGTCGCCTCACTGCCGGCAATTTCCGGTTGCATGCTCGCACGGCCAGCAATGCTTCTAGCCAAAACGAGGAAGATGTGGGCTATGCGTCGGCGAAGAATACGCTGGACATTAATAGGCCGCCGGATCTGTTGGGCAAGAATTGTAAGTTAACTATCAGGAGAAGATTCCTTGGACTAGACTCTAAAATTTTTCTTTTAGATCCCACCAGCGATGTGACCACTTTGGTTATGAAACTGCGCGCTGTTCTCGAGGAAGAGAAGCAGAAGAGCAAGTACCTCCAGGAGCAATACCTGAAGTTGGCTAACCGCCACAAGCCCAGCGAGGATTCGTATCGGTGAGTACATTTAAAGAGACCTTGCCACAGTTCCTCCTTTTCCGAGATCATGTCCGATGATATCCCAACTAAACCACAAACATATGTACATTTGTCCACATCTATGTTATGGCTCCACACTGACCACCAACCTATTCAGCGTCTACGAGCTTGAGGTAGAGAACGAGAAACTGCGCAACGAGTACGATCAGCTACGAACTAGCATCAAACACGGTGTTGAGATCAACGAGCTCAATGGTAACCGCTACCTCGTGCTTTTAGCGAACCAACCTGGAACTTCTACTGATCCTCATTGGGACCCCACCCTTCTTCTCTCTTTCTACCCTTTACAGCCCAACATGCGGCTCTACAAGCCGAGGTACTTAGACGGCGCGATGAGTGCATCCAGCTGAAGGCGGTCCTGCTGGAGCAGAGCCAGGTTATGAAGTCTATCAACCAGGAGAGCAACGATATCCATGTGCTTGGCGAGGGCCTGCAGGCGCAGAAGCTCATTAATCGGTGGGTGCAGTCCCTACAAGGAAGAGGTTTTCTAGGTTTAACGTGTATCGTTTTTCTTAGCCAACTGGAGTCCGAGCTAGAGGCCATCACAGAGGAGCACAATAGCAAGCTCGTGGAGATGACACAAGTCATTGAGAGGCTAAGAAACGAAAAGGACGACCTGCAGAAGGTGATCTTTGAGAGCATCGATCAGTTCGAGGACGCCAATATAGAAACCCTGAAGCATAATGATCGCTATCTGCGACGAGAGCTGCAACAGTGCGTTGCCCAGTGCCTGCTCGTCCAGGAGGAACTGAAGCTGGCCCATGCCAAGCTGAAGGCATATCGCCAGGATGGTGGCGAGCTGGAGCACAAGCTCGAGGTGGAAATGAAGCATCAGCAGGAGCAAAGCGGCGGCAGCGGCGACAGCGTGGGCGCAGTCGTTGTGACCAAGCAAAAGTCACAAAATCCCCTGGGTCTGATGAAGTTCCACAGCAGTGATTTGGACAAGATACTGCAGCGACTTCTGCACGCTCTGACGCCGCGCACAGCAGTGGGCCTGCTGCCTGGCTTCCCAGCTTACCTGATCTTTATGTGCATTCGGTAAGAGTTTTAACTTCGTTTTAAAAGAAAATCCTTTAATGCTTCCCTTCCTTTTGAAAGATACACCGATCTGACCAATGCGGATGACGATGTGCGCGAGTTGCTGAGCAAGTTTGTGATACAGATCAAGAAAATGCATCGAACTCCGCATCCCATAGAGAACCGTGTCATTTGGCTTGTCAACTCCATAACGTAAGTCCTCTCCTAATCCTTTAAAAGTCCTTCTAATGTCAAATTCACCTTTAGACTGCTGAATCTCCTTAAGCAATATGGAGATGTGGAGGAGTATGTGAAGCTGAATACCGAAAAACAGAACCAGCAGCAACTAAAGAACTTCAATCTGTTCGAGTACCGTCGCGTGATCCTGGACTTGATTGTGAATCTGTACCAGGCTCTGATCATGCAGATCCAAGGTCTGCTGGACCCTAAGATAGTGCCGGCAATACTCAGCAACGATGAGATACAGCGGGGTCGCCAGGCGCATGGCATACGCAGTCGTACGGCTTCGATTGGAGCTGCTGCCGCTGCTGCTTCATCGCCGGAACATGCTGGTGCCGGTCCGGCCTGGAAACAACTGATTGGTCAACTGGAACATTTCTATACGCAGTTTCAGCACTTCGGCTTAGACAACTGCTATGCGGAACAGATATTCAATCAACTGCTTTATTTTGTGTGCGCCGTGGCCCTCAACTATCTGATGCTGCGCGGCGATATCTGCATGTGGGAAACAGGCATGATCATACGCTATAATATAGGCTGCATCGAGGATTGGGTGCGCAGTAAGAAGATGGTAAGTTAACCGTGGTAAAGGACACAGTTCTTGTTTAGTTCTCACGTAAACTCTTTCAGTCCAACGAAGTCCTGGCACCTCTGGCGCCGCTCAATCAAGTCTCGCAGCTTCTGCAGTCCCGTAAGAGCGAGCAGGATGTGCAGACTATTTGTGATCTGTGCACATCGCTGAGCACCGCCCAGGTGCTCAAAGTGATGAAGTCCTACAAGCTGGATGACTACGAGAGTGAAATAACCAATGTTTTCCTCATGAAACTTACCACGGAACTAAATGCCCGGCAAATGGTTAATATTTTTCATATAATATTGCATACAATATATATATTTGTAACTATCTTCCACATTTTTAGCAGCGAAAGAGCCATGGCGACGAATTTACCATTGACCAGAAGTTCATACAGCCGTTCAAGGTGGTCTTCCGGTACAGTGACATCAAGCTGGAGGACATTGAACTTCCGTCGCATCTGAATCTGGACGAGTATCTCACCAAGATCTAGGATATTCGTTCCTTTTTATGATAAGAGCATAACGATTGTAGAAAATTAATAATGTATAATGTAATACTTGTACTTGATGTCTGTTTAAGATCGATTACTAAATCGATGTGAGGCTTAGTGTAGATAGAGTTCCTGCTTAGTTTACGTGTCTATTCCGCCTAGAGTCCCTCCATGTTCCTTGTTGCCAACCATGTTCAGTTTATTTGTTGTACGATTTAATTGTAGCAAAAAATTAGTAGTGAAAGTAGGGAGAGGTTATGAACCACAGCCTTTTGAAATGTGAAATGCAATAAGCAGCAGTGCCGCGCGGGAGTGAAACTCCCCCGAACCCGATGAAAACGAAGCATTCCTTGCCTTGTGACCTTGTACCTTAGAACATATATAAATGTACTTAACCAGGCCGTTTTGTTGCCTCAATTAATGCCTTTAACTACAGATAATAAGACTCATATTTAAAGAGAACACCGAAAAAGCCAATCACTATTATTTATGTTTTTTCATTCGCTGTTTAGTTTAGGCAACCTTTTTGTTATTTGTAGAAAAAAAATTGATTAGAAAATTCCATAATTATTGTTAGCTAAAGCTAAACACACATATACACGATATATTAACGGAAAAACACTCCGAATTTGTACAAATATATTTATGTATTTGCGAGTTAACAATCCACAAGGGCTTTGGACAACTTATTTTTGGGCAAATCCAAGGAGGAGAATCGTTTGCTTATTAACCCCGTGGCCACAGTGGATCCATTTTCTCGGATGGTGAAGGCCTGTCCCGGCGTCATAACCATTTTCCTTAACAGCGTGACGCGAACCTTGGAGTGCTCGCCCGGCATCAGCATAGCTTCACTGGGAACTATATCTATGCGCGCAGGAACATTCCACGTCTGACTAAAGAGCTGCTGAATATACTTGGAGAGCATTGGCTTGGTCCGACCACCTTCGGCCCGGGACAACAGATACATGGAGCCCTCGAAGTGATTTGATATATCCTCGCTGCCCGTCGCACATAGCAGCATCCCACGCTCCACCGCCGAGATCTTGATGCCACGCAGTAAGGCACCCACGTTTTCGCCGGCTAGAGCTTGTGGGACACTTTTCCGGAATATCTGAATGTCGCTGATGCTAGTTTTTAGATTCTGATTAAAGCCTAAAAGGTCCGCATCGGCATTTCGGAGGATCGTGCCACGTTTAATGGTGCCCACCACCACAGTGCCGCGGCCAGGCACCGTGAACGCATTGTCGATGGGCAGGATAAAAGGAGAGGCGGTGTCACGCTGTGGCGTCGGTATATACTGGTCGCAGTGTTCTAGCAGCTTCTCAATGGACGGCACACCAAACTCGGATTGATCCTCGCGAAGGGCCAGCAAGGCAGAGCCACAAATCACAGGGCTGTTGACCCCATCGAAGCCAAAGTCGCTTAGCATTTCACGCATCTCGATCTCCACCAGCTCCAGCACCTCCTGATCCACCAAATCGGCCTTGTTTATGAAGACCACGATGCGCTTGACGCCCACCTGCTTAGCCAGCACCAAGTGTTCGCGGGTCTGCGGCATCTGGCCATCGGTGGCGGCCACCACCAGAATGGCGCCATCCATTTGCGATGCTCCCGAGATCATGTTCTATGAGAAAAGAGCTTTAAGGGTGAACCAAGAGTTGCGATGCGGTCTAGCTACCTTTATATAATCCGCGTGACCCGGACAGTCGGTGTGGGCGTAGGTGCGCTCCCTGGTGGCGTAGCCAATGTGACACGCATTAATGGTGATGCCGCGCGCCTTCTCCTCGGGCGCCCGATCGATCTGGTCGTAGGACAGGTACTCTGCCAGGCCCTTCTGTGCCTGGACTTTGGTAATGGCCGCGGTCAGCGTTGTCTTTCCATGGTCCACATGCCCGATGGTGCCCACATTGCAGTGCGGCCGCTCACGTAAGTCGGCGGATGTGCTCTTTTCGGCACTCGTCGTAGCCAGCTGCCGCCTGATGCCTGCACAGGCCAGTGCCTGCCTGATCCGGGGCAGGATGGCGGCATCGCACTGACGCCACAACCTTGGGAGCATCATCCCGCCGCTCATCGTAGTCCAGAGAGGATGTAACCAACTCAGGTGCACGCCTTGGAAAACCGCAAACTAGCAACAGCTGTTCCAGCCAGTGTTGCACAGTAAATTTTCCAGTTCAAATTTTGATAAGGAGGAAGGTGTTTTGTTTTTAACTAATTGAATGAAAATTACTACAAAGTGTCGAATTTGACATGTTATTTAATTTTATATTTTAAAGAAAATGAGACAAGAAATCCCGCTCTATTAGTTTCAAATGCGGTAATGTTCAAAATGGAAAAATAACGCGGAGTGTTTATTTCCCGCCTGACTGGAACATGTTGGAAATGTGTGCATTTCCAGCCGTTGAGTTCCACGCTTTATGGAATTATGAATTCATTTGGCTGGTCACATTGTTGTTATATCATTGTTATTCTTCTAATTTTTGTATTTCAACATGTTGAGACAATTTTTGGTATAATTTAAACTTATAATTGATAACTTATACTAAATACATATCCCATTCACAGGTATCGACAGGCTGCCGTCGCCTAGCACTCCCAATCATTGCACAGAATCGTTCCGCTAGTAATTTGGATAAAACGGAATTCACAACGCCCGGCGAGATAGTGGACTACGATGATCCACCCCACTTGCCCGTGCCGGAGTATCCAGCCCGTCCTGATGAGCCTCTCGAAAAGCGCAAGCAGCGGTATGGACACCAACGTAATATACAGTCTTGTACTCCATTTAATTATTAAATATTTTGCAGGCTCCTCTATCAGAGCCGTAAGCGAGGCATGTTGGAGAATGATCTGTTGCTGAGTACCTTTGTGGCCAAATTTCTAAGGGATTTCAATGCCGAGCAGACAGCCGAGTATGATCGCTTAATTAATGGCGTTAGCAACGATTGGGATATATTCTATTGGGCCACTGAAACCAAGCCCACGCCTCCAGAATTTGATACGGAAATAATGAGAATGCTCAAGGAGCATGTCAAGAATGCGGAGAAAGTGCAGAGGATTAGGCAGCCAGATTTGTAGATGCTGCATGGAGGTTATATTAATAGATCGGTGTGGATTCTAAATCGCTTAAATGACGTCTAAAAGTAGGCGAGAAATTACGGTAGTGTAACTTTGCCTATTTTTGAGAGGATTAACATTTGTAGGAAATCGTCAGAGTTTAAATCCTTGGCGATTTGTGATTTAAAAGATGTATAAGAAATATTTTAATTTAAGTTGATTTTTTTTCATTTTAATGTCACAAGGATTTTTATTTAAGAATAAATTTATAGTAAATTATCAAATTCTTATAATTTACAAAAATAAATAAAGACGAATACTTTTAATAAATTTTTTGTTCAAGAAGAATTTGATATTATCAAAAAATATAAAAAAAACTATTTTTAATTGATTTGTGTCCTAGAAAATCGATATATTGGAGTTTTAAATGCAGCACTGATAATTACTGGGACCCCCTTATCTCCACAGCTAAAACAACACATTCTTTTCATGAAATACACATCCATACAATATATTTTTAAACGATTATCCAGTTTAATGGTATATCTGCGCTTGCTTTGCCTGATCTGTGTATACATTATATATATATAGAGTAAATTTAATATGCTTAAACCCTATAGAGAAAATATTACACTTGAAATGTTTCATTTGCTCGCGCTTAGTCTTGCCACAAAGATGATGAGAAAATCGCAGAGAAAACACTGGAAATCGGGAAATATTTGAACGAGGGGGAGGAGAGTCTACTACGTTTACGTTTATACCAGTTAACTATGGGTTTCCTATTCCAACATGCTAATTAGATGGATGAACACTTAACTAGTTCACTTTCTAGATTATATTTTGGGCGTGGAGAAGGAAGTTCTGGAAGGTGTCGTGTCGCAGCACAGTTGGGAAATTTAAGGATACATCATACTATTACACACTTTACGCTTAGAGAGAGACTATATAAAATATGTGTTGCATAAATGTTAAAATATTAAAAATCACGCCGAAATCATCATCTTTAGCATATTACTCGCTCGAACAATTAAAAGAAGGGCATTATGTTTGAAATAAATGAGAACGCGGGAAAAGTAACAACAAAATTTAACCTACTACGAATTGTAAATAATCTAAATTTAGTCGAGCGTCTCAAAGAAATCCTGCGGATCCCCGAACATGGACGCACTGCTCCCATCGCTCATCGTTCCGGCCTCTAGTTCTTCTTGCTCTGTCGCCTCCGCTTCTTCTTGCCCTGTCGCGTCCTCTTCCTCCGCCGCCCTTGCAGCTGCTGCTGCTGCCGCCGACGACGCTGCTGCTGCTGTTCCCTGTGCCGACCGCGATGATGAGCTGACTCCGCTGCCGCTGCTACGGTGCCGACCCCGACGCACTGGCCCTGTGCCCACGTTGACCGAAGCAGCCACCGCAGCTGCCGCTGAACGGAGACTGCTGCCCGTCATCACGGGATCATAGGTGCGGGAGGTGGGTGCATCAGTGCTGCTGGACAGTGAGGACTTGCGGCGCCGTTTATTACGGCGTCGTCGTCGGCGCTTGGTCGTCTGAACGGCGACTGCTGCCGTTGATGTAGAGGGCCCGGCTCCGCCAACGCCGGCGCTGCCCAGGGGTGGTTCTGTGAGCACACTGGTGCGCGGCAGGGTCAGCGTGGTCTCGAACATCTTCAGCAGCGTCGGCGAACTGGGTCAATTTTGCGGGAACACGTCGTCGATGGTAATGAAAGCATCCTCGCCCAGCGAGTGCTGTCCGATGATCTTGATTAGCTCAGAGGCGTGAGCCACCAGATACTCCAGCGGTGGACGGCGCTCGAAGTTAAGTGACTCTGTGGTAAGCCACTCGGGATTAATTATTATCTTTTAAGATTGACAGGTCTGTTATAACTTACCCAATATGGCCGAGTTGAGAGTGGTGGAGATGTTCCACCGACGCGAGGGACACAGCAGCCAGCCCAAGGGACTGGACCACGGATTTGAGTAGGCAATCAAGCTAAATGCATCCTGGAATTAAGTAAAGAATTCAACATTGGACTATGAAATAATCAAATAATCAAAGTAAGCAATTACCTCCAACATTTGACGCTCTTCCTCCGTCATGAGGTTCTCCTTCTCAAGCTGCTGGCCCATGCTGGACAGTTCCTTTCCAAACTCCAGAATCTTCTCGATCACACGGCCACCGCTGCGCGACGAGGGTGAAACGTCTACGTCTGAAGGGGAATTAGGTTTGTTCGGGGTAAAACATTATAGCCACTTACCCATTTCCTCGTCGATGGCATCTAGAGAGTTGCGAACGGCGCTGGCATTGCCATTGGAGCAGGAGTTGGAGTCGCCGCCGCCGTTCGAATGACTCTGGCAGGGTTCCATTTCGACGTCCATGCTGTTGCTGTCATGCTCCAAGCACTTGTTGGAGTTGTCGTCAACCAGCATGCTAAGAGAATTGATTTAGTTTATAATTGTTGGTTTAGGTAAGCAAAACATTAGGTTACCTTTTCGTATCTGCCTTGTCGCCCACTTGTGGCTTTATCACAGCTGGAGTCGCAGTGTTGTTCGGTTGCTGTTGTGATGACTGATTAATGTTTCCGTTACCATTGCCATTTCCGCTCTTGCTGTGCTTGAACGCCTTGGTGGACTGTATCACAGACGTCTGATTCGTTGGCATGGTCTGTGTGGTGGCGGTGACTTTGTTATTGGCATTCTGTCGGAATGGCTTCAATGTAAACTTGACTTATAGGATTATATACTCCTTTACTGACCTCAACGTCGGCTCCGTTGATCATCTCGATGAATTGGCGGCACTTCAAGGCGAACCAGAGGTTCTTATTGTTCTCCAAAAGCCCGGGATAGGACCGCAGGGTGTGCTCAATGGCCTGGCTCATTTTCCCTGTTAGTATTAGCTTGATGATCTCTGTGCAGGAATGTTTATCAAGCAATTAGTTGGGATTACTTCCTGTTTAGGGGGCTACCTACTTTGACGCGTCTTAATGGAGGAGAGATCCTCGTCGAAGGGCTGGTTTGTGTAGCCATTAAAGGCCTCGGCGGTCTTGCTGTAGCCATTGTGCACCAGATAGGTGGAGACCAATCTAAAAAAAGGAAATATACATACATATAAATCGATTCGATACCAAGAATTTGCATAAACAGACCGATTCATTAGGTTCTCCGGGGTTTCCAGCAGGTGCGGGTACCTGTCAATCTTGCGCAGTACACTCGAGCGCATCTCCTTCATCATTTCCACAATCTTGTCGAACTTGAAGGGCTCCTGGCCAAAATTGGCGTCCACCTCCTCGCCGGGCGTCTGCAGGCCCACAGTTGGATAAAGCTTGGTCTGCACAGAAAATGCCAGAGTGTTAAGGTATAAGAGTTAGGGATGGAAATGTTAAGATGCCCACCGGCAAGTCCCGAAATGCGATGCCCAGATCCACGCCGTTCTTCGTGTAGAAGCATGTGTTGTTCACAAAATTGACGCAGCAGCCGATAACGTCGCCGGTAGTGAAGGTGGGCCCGTATGTCTGTCCGTTCCCGGAGGAGCTGAATGAGTTGCCGTCGTCGCCGTGATAGCCATACGATTGCTTGTCCCAACCTACTTGAGGATTGGGGGTCATTAGGAATCATGGTGAGCACAGGAGCTGCGAGCAGCACGCATCATCGCAACACACAAACCTGGCAAGCGGTTCATTCGGAACTGCTGGGCGGTCAGGCCGATGCCCATGTAACCGTTCCGTCCCTTGGAGATAATCCGCACCTCGAAGTAGTACAGTCCGCAGGAGGACGGGATCGGGTAGGCGGTGCGCACGGAGGCAGCATCGCTGTGCTGCTTCCCTACCCCTGCAAAAGTAAAATTGCGGTAAAATGTCATGTCAAATGCATACATAAATATACATCACTGTACACACACTACACTGTACACGTTATGTTGTCTGCGGACAGCTGTTTCTGTTAACACAGTTTACAGTCACGCGAATGAGCGTGGGAGAAGTGAGTGGTGAAAAACAAAAACCACTAGCAACACAGCTGTGAGCACCTGTGTGTCTGTGTCTGTGCGTGTGCCAGAGTGCCAAGAGCGAGACAACTGCAGTGGCCCTCAAAATGCACTCGCTCATCATCACTCTCACTGTCTCTCCGCTTCTTTTAGAAATTAGATTTTTTGGTTTGATTAAAAAAAGATTATTGGGGAAGCCAAAAATAAATGGGAAAGAACACCATAATAGGAGATTCAGAGTATTTTGAATGCAATGCATTCGATTACGTCCTTGTTTGGTTATTAGCTTTGTGGACTTTCAACTAGATTCCAAACCATAAAAGATTATGACTCACCCTTGTATGTAACCCTCAGGTTATTCTGCGACAGTCCGATGGACAAGCACTTGTCGTGCGGACTCCAGCACCGCGGCAGCGGAGTCTCGCTCTCGTTGACATTGGGATACAGCAGTCTCAAGGGATCAACGCCCTGGTGTTGCGGCGAATTGGAGGCGGCAGTGCGGGCCGAGTGCTGGCTGCGACGTCCTCCGCTGCCCACCCGGGGCGAGCCCTGGGCACTGGTCCGGGGGGCGTGGCTGGGAAACATGTCGTTGCTGAAGTGACTGCCGTTGTTGCTGTAAAAGTGGCGAGTGCGTCGCGAATTGCCACTGCTGTTGTTACTACTGTTATTGTTGTTGTTGGTGTTGTTGTTGGTATCGTTGCTGGCGGTTCGTGGCGCCCGGACCAGCTGGGGCAGTGGTGCAACTCTCGACGAGTGACGTGAGTGCAGGCGCAGGGCCCGAATATAGGCGGAGGGGGAGGCAAACTCCCTGCCCACTATCTGGACGCTTTCGATTACAACCTCAGCGTCGTCTTCGTCCTCCACGACCTCGTCTTCCTCCTCGTCGGAGTCGTCGATGCGCTCCACGGCGTTGACCTCTAAGTTCTCGTCAATGATCCCGACAGGCGGCGGCGGCGGCGGTCCTGGCAGCTCCTGAGACTCTGAGTCCTCCTGCTCGTCCACGTCTTCGAGGAGGAGAGGTTCGGCTTCTGCTTCGGCTATGGGATCCGGTTGGACCTGAAGTAGTTGAGCTTCCCTCGCCGATTGATCCTCATTCAGAGAAGCGTCTTGAGCCGGCTGCGGCTGATCTGGGTACGGCTCCTGCCCTTGACGATCCTGCTCCTCTGCCGGTAACTGCTGCTGGTGCAGGTGCTGTTGTTGTTGCTGCTCGTGATCCTGGAAGGGTTGATCCGGCAACTCCTGCTGCACCTGTTGATCCTGCAACTGTAGGGCCGGATGCTGCTGCTGATCCTCCAACACAGGCGGTGGCTGCTCCTCCTCCGAATGCTGCTCTCGCTCCCGCTGTGGTGCCGTCGATGGAGGAGTCGTGGATGGCTGTTGCTGTGGTGGTGCCGGTGCGGTCTGGCGGAGATCAGGAGGAGTGGGTGAGTGTGAGTGATCATGCGGTGAATGCTCATTCAATGGGATATCCAGGGGAAGGGGGACGGCGGCCGGGGGAGTGGGCGAATGCGAATGAGAGTGCGACTGGGGCTGAGACTCGGATGAAGAGGGCGCTGCTCCCACGGCTCCCGACTGAGACAGATGGTGAGAGCTGCTGCTGGCGCTGCTGTTGTTACTGTTGCTCTCCTCGGAGAGCGGCGGTGGCTCATCGATGTGCTCCATGGCTGTTACGGTTCTTCTGCTTTTCTGTTCTGTTTATTGTTGTTGTTGCAAACAGGAGGCAAAAGTGCTGAGAGAGAGAGTCAGCGGGCGATTAGAGAGGGTGAGCTAACAGCGAGTGAGAGAGCAGATGATGCGGATGCGAATGCAGATGCTGTGTGTATACGTTGGGGAAGAGGGGTGGGGGATGGGACGGGGGAGAGGTGCCAATTGCAAACACAAACAACAACCTCCAAACTGCAAGTGTCCTTTGTCCGTTACACTGTCCATCTCTTATTTACTCTCTCTCACACTATCACTGACCCAAAATGCAACAGCAACAATTTACAGCGTACAACAATAACAGCAACCGCAGTTTACAGTTTGAACGCGCAGCTGCAGCACCAAAAACAATAACAACAACAGCAATGGCAGCAGCCATAAACTACTACAGCTACAAAACTGCATGCAGCAAAATGCAAAAAATCGATAACTAATCAAAATTAGCAATCACCTCTTTCGCTCTTACTTGCCTTGATATCAATTTATTTATTTTCATTAGTTTGGAAATGCCTTTTTACGTCGTTCTTTTCTAAAGTTTTCTTTGTTTTCCCTCTAACCAACGAGTCACTGTCCACACACAAACAAACACAGCTCTCTCTCTCGCACTCACCCACACACATATGCATGCAGCACGCACACACGCATACACAAGCACGGAGAAGAAAATTTTAGCTGGGGCAAATGATTTCTGTCTGTTGGTGGATTATTTTAGCTTTAGATGAATTCGATTTGGCTGTCATTGAATGCTGCTGAACAGGGCTACGGTCGATTTTTTCATATAATTACCTTCGAGCAATTGCTTCTGGTTAAAAACTACGAATTTTGATTTTATGTACTAAATCTGTACTAGAGCTGTGAGAACTTCGATGGCACTATCGATTGTTCTTCATCGTTCATTAATCGAAGGAGGTATTTTAATATTCGATATATTCTGGTATATTTTTTCGATAAATAAGAAGAACTAAAATAATTTATCCATTACATTGATCTGGTCACACTAGTCTATCCGCGTGTATAATTTATAATTATTTTTTGGAAAAGACCATGGACGACGAAGCGGAGACATACAAACTGTGGCGTATTCGCAAGACCATCATGCAGCTGAGCCACGACCGCGGCTACCTGGTGACGCAGGAGGAACTGGACCAGACCCTGGAGCAGTTCAAGAATATGTTTGGCGACAAGCCGAGTGAGAAGCGGCCCTCGCGCTCTGATTTAATTGTTTTGGTGGCGCACAACGACGATCCCACGGATCAGATGTTCGTCTTCTTCCCGGAGGAGCCAAAGATTGGCATAAAGACCATCAAGACATACTGCACTCGCATGCAGGAGGAGAACATTCACCGGGCCATCGTCGTGGTCCAGGGTGGAATGACGCCGTCAGCCAAGCAGTCGCTCGTGGACATGGCACCGAAGTACATTTTGGAACAGTTCCTGGAATCGGAGCTGCTGATCAATATAACCGAGCACGAGCTGGTGCCGGAGCACGTCGTGATGACCGCCGAGGAGAAGCAGGAGCTGCTGAGTCGCTACAAGCTCAAGGAAAACATGTTGATGCGTATCCAGGCGGGCGATCCGGTGGCCAGGTACTTTGGCCTTAAGCGCGGCCAGGTGGTAAAGATTATTCGCTCCTCGGAGACGGCTGGCCGGTACATCTCGTACCGATTGGTCTGTTGATGCCCAGATCTTTATGTGTAGCTTAAGAAACCTATGATATAAGACAAGGATTGCGAACTGTAAACGCCAATAAATTGCAATCTTTTCAAATCCAAAGTGTTTTTCCCAAAAATTTCGCAAAAAACCCTTTGAAAGGCTCGTTAAAAATAAATTAATATTTTCGATAACATATCGAAAGTTTACTGGGCCCTTTCCTTACAATTTTATTAATAACGAATTAATAAAAACAATGGCTTTTTTAATTTATTTTCTATTTAAAAATTACAAAATATTAAAAATTTGATCAAATATTAAGTAGTGGTATAGATTTATTCACTATCGATTTATTGCCATCTCTAACACTCAGCTAAACAAAACGGAAAACGAAAGAAGGAAGAAAAACAGAATTATACAACCAAAAGAGAGGCGAAAGGAGGTGTGGAGGACCAGCTACGCGTCTAGAGGAGCATCGGCGGCAGAGGTGACCTCCTAACAATGGCCATGTTGACGCGTTTGACTAGCAGCGGCACCACCACCGTGGCTGGAGCAGCACCTGGGTCGCCGAAGGGTCTGCAGAGATTCCAGAACTACATCGCTGCCTTCTTGTGGCCGGGAACGCAGCGCCAGAGGCGAAAGTCTACACAGTTGGACGCTATTGATTGCTTCACCAATGACCTGGTAACGCGCAAGACGCAGAAATGGGAGGAGCTCCGCGACAGCCTTATGAAGCGCCAACCGTCCGCACAGGAGACGGACGCCAATAGCAATGTGGCGACGCCGGTGCAGATAGGTAGCAAGGGAACGGCAGCGAGTACCACTAGCTTCAGCCAGAACGTTGGCATGATGTCCAAGGGCATGATGAGCGATTTGAAGGCGCTGCGTTCGCCGCAACTGGGCCTGGACATCCGATCTCTGTCGCAGCCGCAGCTGGACAACCTATTGATGGCCACGCTGGAGATCAAGAACAAGCTGGACTTTCTCTACCTGATCCGCCAGTGCATCCGCTGTCATCTGCTGCCCTCCAACGAGGTGTTTGTGGCCTGCCTCAAGTATTTGAGTGCCCAGCGCAAGCTCCAGCAACTGGAAGCGCTGGCTGAGACCTGTCGCCAGCTGGAGCATCCCTTTTCACAGACCTACGCCGATCTGGCTCCCTTCCGGGCCATCGCTCTGTGGAATAATGGCAACGCGGACGTGGCTTTAATGACCCTCCATCGCGGCTACGGGGTTAGTATGTCCTCGGAGGAGGGTCGGCGGATGGCGCGCACAGCTTTTCGTACCATTTCGGAGGAGACACTGGCCCAAAAGAGCGAGGCGGTGCTGGTGTCGCTCTTGGAAGTGGCGCGTGCCATTCACCGGGAACACAAGGACATCTTTGTGGTGGCCTGCGTGTGGAAGCAGTGCTTCGCCAGCGATTGGTTCTGCGACCAAAAGTCGGCGGGTGAGCTGTTCGAGCACTACAAGGAGCTGCAGGAGCTGGTGGAGAGGAGGTGTGATAATAAAGTTTCCTTTGGCAATTGTAACCCTAATCCATATTCTCTTTCCTTACAGAGCCAGTCCCTTGTGCTCCTCATTCCTGGGCCGCAATAATGTGGATGCCGTGCATCGTCTGATCGAGGTGTTTCTGCAGCACAAGCAGCGTTCCGCCTGCTCCAGCTGCCTCAGCCTGCTTTTCAACTATCAATGTGAGTCGTCTGATAACTAATATCCTCCTCGGCCAAGTATTAATTCCGACTTCTAAATCCCCTCCCAGATATGCGCAAGGATCTGCGCGCCTGCGCCGAGATTGTAAAGTCCTGCAGTGAGTTGGAGATGCCGCTGAACGAGCTACAGAACGAGCAGTTCCTCAGTTTGTTCCTTGACCAGAGCGATCCCTTGGACTCCTCTGGCGCTGGTGGGGCAGTCAGCAAGTACAAGGCACCCAAGTCCTTCCAGTATAAGTTCTAGTGTTGCCGCTTTTGCTCGTTATGCCGTTGTCATCGTAGTTTTAGCACAAGGAAGCGTTGAGCAATATGCATCCATCCCATCCCAAACAAAACAGTAGCGGTAGTCTCGCCTCTCTTTATTAAATGTTATTTAATGTCCAATTTCGTCGTCTCGCATATTGCCCGCGGGCAGTTGGCTGGGCAAAATACCGACGCACTCATAGCAGCGGGAGATCAGGTGGTTACCACACCGATGCGACTGGCATTGCTGGCACCGCGTTCGAGACTTGGTGCCTCGCTTGTTCCGGGCGCAGGGCTTGCATCTGCGATGCTTCTCGCCATAGCGACTGGACAGATTCACGCCCACCGGCAGTCTCACCTTGTCTGGTGTCAGTACGCCCACGCTGTCGGATCGCCTGGCATCGCCACTGGCCTCGCTGAGCAGCCGCTGACTGGGCTGCCCGAGAATCTCGCAGATCTGCAGGCGCATCACAAGCGACGTGGTGGTGGACCTTCGCTGCAAACGCCTCTGCAATCGCTGCTGGGTAAGAAAGAGTCCCAACTGACGCTGAAAGTCACGCTGCTCCATCGTGGCATCACCTTTAGGCGAGAGTCGAAGTAGGATCCATGCATTCACGGCGGCCGCATTGAGTACAAAGTGAAGGAGCTGCAGGAAGGAGTTGCACTGCTTTTCCAGGGAGGAGGGCAGCATGTGGGCGGTGCTAAAGCGTTCTGTGAGGTCATAAAACTGCTGGCAAGCCTGCGAAGTGTTCTGGTATGCCTGGAGTGCATCCACTTGGGGGCTGAGACCACAGCAGAAGATAGCTTCACCATCGAAAGGAATGAGCTTGGAGGAGCCGCTATAAGCGGGAATATCACACTGCCATTGTCGCGGCCAATCCGGCGACGTAGCCTCTAGCAATCCCAGCGAGCTGAGCTGGCGCTGCATCAGCTGCTCGCTCTGCGAAAGGTTCAGGTGTCTGAATCCCATCGTGACATTTCTGCTAGTCGTCTTGAAATCGCAAATCAACTGTTCCACATCCCTCTCCAGCGATCTCTGTTGCCTGCTGCTTAATAAGGCATTGGCCATGTACAAAGTCCTGGCGTCACAGCAGAGGGTCAGCCGATTCTTGGCCACCGTGCCGGAGGACTCATCCACATTCAACCAACTGCTGCAACCGTAGTAAGACCGACAGTTGATGAGGAGCCGCTGCCAAAGCTTTTGGGCCTCAGACCAACCCCCACTGGGACCCGACAGGCACTCGGAAATGCTCTTAAATCGGGCGAGGGTCATGGAGGCCCGGAAGATGGCGTTGCCCAGCTCCAACGTCCACAGTTCCTCTAGGGGTCCATTGAACTGGGCATTGCGGAAAACCCCGCAAAGGTAGCTCAAGCCGAGGAACGCCCGCAGCTCCACAATGTCCAGCGGTCGCTGGGCACCTGTGGGATTCCTGTTCTTGCGCATCTGCTCGTTTGTGTGACGCAGCAGGGATTTGAGCATTTCATCGTCAAACAGAAGCATCCAGGCCTCCACGGCGTTAGAAACGGAACGTGCTGGTCCCTTTCCGCAGGCTTGCTGGCCCAGCAAAGGCAGTTCCTCCCCGACTACCATCTGCGGATCCTTGACCAAGCTCCATATTTGTCCAGTGGTCGAAGTGTATTGGCCAGCATTATGGGACGGACGACCGCGGCCCCGTTTGGCAGTAAGTCCCGGGCGAACTGAAACCTCGGACTTGAGCACCATCTCGGCCAGTTGTTCGTTACCGATCAGCACATCGCCGTCCTCAAAAATCCAGGGAAAGCAGCTGCTTCCAGACGTCTCTTGCAGCGGATCGGAGTCATCTTCTTCAGCTTCCTGAGCAGTGGGATCCGGCAGCTGTGGTAGCTGCTCCTCCACCTGCATCTTCTCCTCCTCGTCGCCAGCATCCTCCTGGTCGCTGCATTTTATGTTGGCCAGCAGCTCTTCATCCAAGGCGCAGTTCATAACAGTTTAAAAAACAATCAACAAAAACAAAATTTTTTGTTTACGAATACAAATCAACGGTCACACTTTGGAAGCTGCAAGAGTGACCGTTTCATTGTTGCTAGATACTGCAGCACAGTCTATCGAAGTACTCCCATCACTATCATTGTTGTGTTGTTTCTTGTCGAGCCAGAGGCAAAAGATAATAAAATAAAACGCCAAAGGAAAACTTGTTGTAATAGACCACAGCCAATCGTTGTAAAGCACCCGTTGTCCCCCGTCAATCCCGCTTCAAATGGCGAAAATCCGGAGGCTGTGACCCAGCGTCTGCGTCGCTGTCCCCAACCACCTGGCTGATAGTGTGCCGAGAGCAAAAATTAACAAAAAATCAAGTGAAAAGTGCAATTAAATAAAAGCGGCAATGTACAGGAAAGCAGGTGACTAAATAGCAATCAAGTTGCCCGTTATTTAGGCGCGCAATGAAAATATTTTGCAAAAGTGTCAAATTTGACATGGACTGGTCGATGGACGGCGTTGACGGCTATCGATAGGTTTCAAACCAAATGAAAGTTGAAAGCCAAATTTGAATTTCGAAATTTCGCCAAGCAGGCCATGATTTTGGTGTCGAAAGGATTCGTGGTCCCATCTCCAAAAGTTAGTTTAATCTCATAGCCCGTGCTGTGAACACAGAAAATTTAGCTCTTGAAGAAAAGGAAAAAAACAACAATTTTCCCAGCTAGAGAAAAGCAACAAAAATTTCGTTGACAGCTTTTCCAATTATTTTTCGGTGTCACTTTTTGTACTTTTCTAGTCGTTTTTCCATCTAAACTCGATCGGGAATAGGCGGCCGTGTCCAATATGATGTCTCCGGAGCAGGAGCACGTCAACCTGGCGCTGGATCGCCAGGTGCGCCAGAACATCCATGACATGATGCGCGAAGCCAACGTCCAGGCCAGCCTGCTGGAGAGCGAAGGTGAGCGAGGGAGAGATGGTGCGGTGCATCATTCCTGCTTCATGCCATGTCTTAAGTTTCAGGGCGCAACCGATTCCAGTCTGAATGTAGCGACGACATGAATGGCGATGGCAGTATTGCCGTGATGGAAGCCTTGTCCGGTGATGGCCTGATGGAGGATGACAATTCGATTGATCACGTGGTTGTAATGTCGGGGGATTGCAACAATGATGTGCAGAACTACCACGACATGATGGTGGATGGTGATCCCAACAGCAACAGCGCCTCGAACCGCAAGCGTCGCGGCAACTTGCCCAAGCACTCGGTGAAGATCCTCAAGCGTTGGCTCTACGAGCATCGCTACAATGCCTATCCCAGTGATGCCGAAAAGTTTACATTGTCTCAGGATGCCGGGCTGACGGTGCTGCAGGTGTGCAATTGGTTCATCAATGCACGTCGCCGCATCCTGCCCGAAATGATACGCCGCGAAGGCAATGATCCGCTGCACTTTACGATTTCGCGTCGCGGCAAAAAGGTCAGCCCGAACTCCTCGACGTCAAGTGGTGGGGGAGGTCAGGGAATGAATATGTCCGGGACTCCAAATCCCATTTCGGGTAGTCCCGTCTCCGAAGTGGTGAGTTCTTGCTTTTGAAAGTAATGGGTATTGTTTCTTATTATTGTAATTTTTAATTTATAAATAATCCGATCTACTCAATATCTATATCAGGTCGTTGGTGCCACCGAAGAGGTTGATGGTGCCGCCGGCGAGATGCACGAAGGCATTGCCAATGTCTTGACTAATTTCGATCAGTATGTACAAGGACCCAATGGTCAGATGGTCAAGATGGAGCCAGAGTACGACGACAGCGTCATATACAGGTACCTACTGGTCGCTTGCCTTTAGTTGTAGTCGCAATTGCGTAGGTTATGCTCCTGTCCCAATCGTTATCCTCCTCCCCTCCTCCTCCCTCTATTAAGTTGGCAGCAGGCCATTGCAAACAACCCGATGGGCTTCCAAAGTCTCCATGCGTCGCTCCAGGCAACCATGATCGAAAAGATTCAGAACTATCAAATGCGCAAGGCGGCGGCAGCAGCTCTTAGTGGTGGCGGTGGTGGTAGCACGAGTGCCGGCTCCAGCTGCAGCTCTGCCGGTTCCTTAATCCCATACAATTTCGATGACGATGATGAGGATAAACCCAGTCAGACGAAGCGCGGCAAAAAGAGGCAAACGGCGACAGCGACTGGGAAGACGGTGGGCGCAAAGTCCAAGCAGTCGAAGCAGACGGGGACAGTAATCAAGCAGGTGTTCAAGAAATCATCGCAGACGAAGTCCAAGGCTGTGTACTGTTACCAGGACGAATTCGGGAGCTTCGTGATGGCCTCTAGGTACAGTTGTCAAACGACGACGTCGACCGACTGGCCTTAGTCTTTAGTATGCTTTCGCGTTGATATTCCATTGCTAAGCGCATTTATTTGTTTTCCAGATCCGAAACCGACGAGAGCGTCCAGGAATTCGAGCAGCGTAGCGAGGAGGGGCGCTTCGAGACAGACGACTGGCAGAGCGTGATGAAGTGAGTTATCTTTCGGGGGTCTGGTTGGAGATTTCTCAATTACATGAACCCCTTACTTTTTAGAACTGTTTTCACCACTGAAGAGGTGACCACCACCAACACTGTCACACTCAACGCTGCTACTGAATCAGGCACCAACTTGACTTCTGGTACTGGATCTGCCGATACTGCCAGCTGGAATCCCAACGAACAGATGGCCATACAAGACGGTAAGTCTCAGATGGAGAAAGTACCCATAAATACTTGGATTAACCAATATCTAATGCAGGCAAGACGGAGCAGTTGTACGAGCCCACAGTCATCTCTGACCCAGAACAGCCTGCCAAAAGGGATAATCTACAGTCGGAGGAAGCCTTCGCCATTACTAAGAACGAAAGTAACCCCGGTCAGACCTCGCCAGCGCCATCGCAGAGTATGTTTACCGTTAGTAGCTGGTTTTTGGGTTTAATCTTTATCAATTTTGTGCAGGCCTCAGCCGAGAGGATCGCGACAACTACAAGTGTCTGTATTACCTCGTGGAAACTGCCATGGCTGTGCGCCAGAACGACACCGGCGAAGACGACGATGACATGCCTGTAAATATATTTTAGAATTTTTCAACTGGAACCCTGCAGGTTATGGTCCCAGTGCCAGAGCCAAGACCTTGTTATTATGTTAATAGAAAGATGGAGAGAGGAGTAGGTTATTTAATAGAATGTACAAAGCACTAGATCAATTGAATAGGAATGCAATCGCAAGCTGCATATCAACCAAGTCAATTCAAAAGGAAAACGATGCATTACTTGCTGTCCATGGTTTTGTCCTGAACTTTATGCGATTGTTATGTAAAATAAACCAAAATCTTGTGCATTTGCAACACCTGCGCCATACAAGCCAAAGTGTTTGTAAGTGAAATTTGAATTTTTAAAAATAGTGCGGGCTAACGGTTGGATAAGGTGACGTAAAAAACCAACGTCATGAACCTTTTTTTCAGGTGAATCAATTTTATCATTGAGTACTTGGTAGTGGTAAATATTTGACATCTATAAAAGAAAAAATTTGTTAAATTTGTTACCAATAAACTAATTAAATAGAAAAATATATAATAAAATACTATTGGTGACGTCACGAATGGCACAACTCGTATCAAGTTAGTATTTTTCCCCTTCAGTATTTTTCCGTTGCCCAGCATTTGACAGTATTTTACCGTTTTACCCCATACGGTCAGTCGCCGATTTTGTTTTTTGTTTTTTTGCAAATAAATGTTTGTCCAGCACAATAATTAACCAATTGCCAAGGCAAACACGGAACGTGCTATTGTTTAAACCGCACTCTGAATGTCTGTCGTCCAGCTGTTTCGAACAGTAGCGTGTAAATAGGAACTTATTCAAGTGCAGGCGAATTTTCCGTATTCATTCGTTCGTTGTGCCCCGTCTCGCTCGCGCCCCCACGGTCGTCGTGTGCACTTTGTGTAAATTACAGCACAAATGAGTTTCGATTGGAGCCAACTGTTTAAAATGTAACGCCAGCCCAGCCAGCCGCTGCCGCACAAGCCGCCGCAAAGCGAAAATAAAGAAGCACAAGAAAAAGTAAGGCAAGCGCACCGCAAGCCGCAAAGCAATAGCAATAGGAGCTGCCGCTGGGCCACACCTGCCTGCCTGCCAGACTCACGCTTATCTTATCGCACCAGCAACACCCTAGAATCTGCAAGCAAGCTTTAGATCCCCTCCTTCTCCAGCTCTGAGTTGTCCTGGCAACGGAGGAAATCAGGACATGCTAAGAGCATTCCCAGTGTGGGTAAGTCTACAAAACTACGCTTCTACTTTACAAACATTCGTACATATATTTGTCTGCAGTAGCATGTGTGTGTGTGAGAGTGTGTGTCTGGGGCTATTGGTCAGTGGCGTAGGTAGGGGTAAAGGGTTTTTTTGGGGCTCTGTTACACCGTTTTTCCGGAGTCTCTTAAAAGTAGAAATAGACTTAAAATTAAATGTATCTTTGGATCAAATTTTTACCCCTTTAATTTTTTATGAAGACTACTTAAAAATATACAAGTTTAAGAGCCATACTTCTAAAACCCTGTTCCCTTTCCATTTTACCAAAAATAACCTGCCTAAGCCACTGGGGCCCCTTCGAATAAGTGAGTGCGGCAGTACGTGTACTGGCATATTTTTGGCTATTTGCTATTTACACTTTTACTTTCGGCTTTCGTCTTTCCTTTGTGGCTTGGACCCATTGCGTCATGACGAGCTTTATTTGTTGCTGTTGTAATCTTAATGCATTTGAGCTACTATTTGCCACTGTTTTGTGAGTGAGAGTGTATGTGTTTTTTGTTTTTTACTTTTACTCTCGAGAGGGTTAAGCCGGCGCTCTGGGAAACGGAAGCGATATCGGGGCCCTGAGCTAGTCACTACAAAACGACGCCTTATCGGTAAAGTATTTTAAATGCTCCGAAAAGAAGAAGAAAAGTAAATATAGCTAGGTTCAAAAAGTACCTATCAATGTCTTTGCTTTATGTATTTTGATAATGCATTTATGTAGATTAAACCGTACTATTTTTTCTTCGTTTTTATCTGGTTTTTAATCGAACAAAACTCAGAAATTCACAGTATTTTAAGCGTGCTTTTCTGTTTTGCTGTATGCAATCAAGTATTTTAAGAGATAAGAATTGTAATTATAAAAAATTTCTAAGAAAGCAACCGAGACTTTAAGTTTCAGTTTCTTTTTCTTACTACTCATTTGCGTTTTTGTGCTCTTAATTCCATCTAATCTCCTTTGTATCACTTAAGAGCATTTAAGAATTCGTCTTCCGTTCACACATTTTGAATATCTGAAATTTTAGGTCACCACCAATTGCCAAACGGTTTATATTTAGTGACCCATTGGAGTCTATTTTTAAGCACGTGCCTGGCACTCACTACCAGCAATGATAATGATGATGGTGATGCTTCCGATGCTTCCAATGATGATGATGATGACATCGGCGTAAGTGGCTCGAGTAGTTTGGCCCGATGCCCCGGCAGGAACATGAGTTTCTAAGCGGCAATTTGCAGCAATTATAAATACGAGAGGCAGTTGTTGGCAAAGTGCTAGTGCTAGTGCTTGTGCCGCCTCACACCTCACAGTGGCACAGCTCATGCCACACACGGCTCATGCCACAGCTCATTCCGTTCGCCCCGTGTTCGTGTGTCTCTTTTGGTTTTATTAATAAATCGAAGGGGCTGCCATTGCTGGGTGTGTGTGTGTGTGGGGAAAGGGTCAAACGGTGAGCTGCGCAGTTTGGTTCAGCAGCGGAAAAACACCATCCAAACCCATCGATATCCCACCCCCCACATTTCTCCCATGAGTTCAGCCCGGTTCAGTTTCATTTTCAGCTCTCGTTCAGCGACGCCGCCGCCGCCTCTGTCGCTCTATTTTGTTTGGCATGCACATATTAGCAGCCGCCGTCTGGGGTGCTCTCTTTTCTATCATTTTCCACCTCTTTGGGCCGCTCAGCTGCGGCTGCCACTCGGCACTGGCACTGGCACTGGCACTGGCATCGGCATCGGCATCGGTGCAGATGTGGCTGCGACTTGTTGTGCCACACACCATCAGACCAGAGTCAGACCGGCAGACGCATTCAGTTTGCAATTATCAACAAAACGCGCGCGCGGCATCGAAATCGGGAATAGTGTGCTAATGCCTCGCCCAGAAATATCACTGCTGGCATGGCCATAAATAAACCAAAATTTAATTCTTCGTATTTATTGCCCACGGTGGTGGTGGTGGTGCTGCTGGTGGTTAAGAGCTCACGTGAAGAGTTTCGATTGAACATCAACGATTTGAAATGCTGCTGACACGACGGTATGAGAGTGTTAAACGAAATCATTCCACAACCCACACAAACAGAGTGCTTATAAACCGCATTTGATTGGGTTTTAAGTGGCGATTTAAATGTGATCTCGAGTGTGTAATCCTAGGCCTGTGCATAATTGTTTGGCCACCTCTGTGCCTCCCTGGGGCACTTCAAGGTTGCATAAACGCCAGGCAGCCACCTCGTTCCTCCTGATGAGAGCTACTAACAAGTTTCTTGTTACCATTTCAATGTGGCACGAGGGCAAAAAGGAAAGGTACAAGCAGTTAAAACAAGAGTTCTTCTGCCTCTCCGCTTGACCACACCGTGAGCTGAATCTGCAATTTGTTTCTCGAATACCCTTGGCATTCTTCAATCATGTTTAAACTAGATATAAGTGGGCGAACAGTGCGTATACTTGTTTTGTGAAGTTGCTTTAAATTAGAGGAGATCTTACGTATACTTGTTATTTGCTGGATTCTCATAACTCTTTAGAGTGCTTGACTTAACTAAACTTAAAGTTACTCTGTATATAAGTTTGCCAACTGTGCGTATACTTGATATTTCATTTACTTAACTTCTTTTTTGAAATGAGAGAAGATGTAATTTTGTTTGTTTAAAAATATGATTTTGCTTTTCTTTCCTCTTTAGGTATATACAAATATCTTTATTTAAACTGGACTTTGACTGTAAATTCTCTCAATTAGAATAATGATTAAGTTATTAAAAAACTCCCAAGGATTAGGGCATCAAGTAGCCGACATGGTGACCCTGTTAACCATACAAAAAATCCCCCTCATCTCATCATGCAAACGATCCAGACAGACAGACAGAGACACAAAGCCGTCGTCTGTCTGAGGTAAGTGCGGTGCAAAAGGAAAACGGAAAATTCACAGAGAAGGCTGGGAAACTAGGGGAGGTTTTTGGGGTCGTGGGTGGTTTGGTGTGGTTTGGTTTGGTGTTGTGTAGTCTGTTATCTTGGCGCTTGTTAGCCCGTTGTCTTTGACGATTTGTTTGCATGCCATTCTTTGCTCTGGTTTCGTTTTTTTATCGCCCCTCCCTCCGCGCACTCCCGCCGCTGTCTGTTTTTTAATACAAAATCAATTGTATTGCATTGGAACTAAACTAAAAACTAAAAACCTCTGCTGCACTCATGTGTAAATAAGGTTGCGAAGGTTGCGGATTGCGGATTGCGGATTGCGGATACCGGATTGAGGTTGCCATTGCTTGTTGCTTTCAATTACAACTTTTGATTCTTTATTGATACGAGTATTCATATTCGAAACGAACATTTTACAGGGATATGCACGATGAGAAGGGGCTTAGCTCTAGACATTTAAACGTTAACATTATTGTTTTCCTTTGTTACCAGAGAGATTTGTGTGGGGAATGCCAGCTTACTATGTAAGGAAAAATACCCTTCGGATACCTCTCCGAATCGCTCTCTAGTAAACAAAATACTTTAAAGGCATAATCTTGAAGTGTGCATGTAACTTTTGTTGTGAAACATAAGACTCTCTGGGGGCTGTAAGGTGGCTAATAACGTGGCTTACAGGCAGGCTCTAGTTTATATATATATATATCGAAACTCATCTTAATCGTAGTTAAAGCACACTTGTGATTTAGGTTTTTGGTTTACAGACGCCCCATTAGGCTCACACATAACCGCTGGACTCCAGTTTGAGAGCTCCCTCGTATGTGGGCAGGCCCGATCTGTCAATTATCTTGCTCATGTCCAGGCTGATGATGCCGTTCTCGTTAATGGTGTTCAAATCCTCCTCCTCCCCCTCCTCCTCTGCCTGATGATTGCCCGCGGCCTCCCCGCCGGTTGGTGTTGTTGCTTCTCTGTCCGATGTTGCTGCTGCTCCTTCTACTGTTGCAGATGCTTCCAATGTTGCTGATGTTGCTGCTGCTGCGTTGTCATTTTCATCGTTGACAGCGGTTTGTGGCGGCGAGGAGGAAGTGCCTTCGTTAGGAGGCGTTGCCTCCAATGTGGATGCCTCCACCACGTTCCCATTTTCCGCATCCTGCAGCGCATCGCCGGTTGCCATGTGGTTGCCATTATCGCAATCGCTGGGACAGGGGCAGTTTGGCAGCTCCTCTGGCTCTTCCTCTCGCCGGCCGCCCATGTTTAGGCCGCTCTCCACAGACAAAGCGGTCAGGGGCTCATCCTCCGCCTCGATCTCGTATCGGAACTTGCCGCACAGCGGACAGCCTCGCCGGTAGTGGGTGGCACTGTGCTGATGGCTCTGCTGCAGGTACCGCCGCCCAAAGGTATTCAACCTGGTGCTCTGCACGGGCTTTCGCACCTGGAGGGCCAGCGGCAGGGAAGGCGGCGGCGCCGCTGCCGGCTGCAATGCTTCCATTTCCAGACAATTTCCGCTGCGTGCTGCCACCGCCGCTGCCGCAGCATTCCACATGCTCTCCACCTCGGCCCGCTGCAGGGAGCAGCAGGATTGGGCATTAAGCGCCAATTGCAATTGTTTATTGACCAGGAGTCCAGTGCCGCCTCCTCCTCCTCCTCCGCCTCCTCCACATCCACCGGAACTGCCGCTGGGCATTGCATCCACGCTGCCATCGGGCGTTCCACGGCTTCCACTTGCCCCCGGCTGCAGCAGCTGCTGCTGTTGATAGTTTAAGTCCAGCGAGGAGCGGTAACCCGGCGGCGGCGAGACGCGCTGCATCAAGAGCTGCTGCTGCTGTTGCAGTTGCAGTTGCAACTGTTGATGCTGCTGTTGCTCCAACTGCTGCTGGTGGAGCTGCTGCTCGTGCAGCACCACGGCGTCGTACGAGGGCGGTGGCTCGTGGTGCAGGGCCGGCACGGCAGACAGGCCATCGGTGGAGTCGCCCAGGAACAGGCCCGATGTTTCGTAGCACTGAAAAGAAAAGGAAATTAGGTTCAGAATATTCCATTATTACCCAAAATAATTAAAGACTTTTCCCAAAACCTAAGCAACCCACATGGTCTCATCCTCCCACAGAACCTCATCCTTTCCTCAAGGTCGTGAGTAATTGCTGATCTCCGCTTGGACGCACTGTAATTTAGGTTCTTAATGGAGACGCGGCGGACAAGTGAAATTTACGCGATCAAATAAAAAAGTTTAAATTGCACACATCATAAATTTATTTGTCCCTGTATACAGATATATATCTGTAGAACCCAAAGTGACCACCAGGCCCAGGAAACCCATGCCCGGCTCTAACTTCCCCCACAAAGGGACACCGCCTCATTCTGTCCGCAGTTGACATTTGGCGCCTGGACGGGCTAACGTTGATTTACGCGGAGGAGCCTTTAGCCGGCGCTTTTCTGTCTTTTCCTCCTCCTCCGTTTCCCAGCGGGCCAACAAACAACAATGAACTGACTGATGGGGGTGTTCTTGGGTTGGGTTGGGTTGGGTTGGGTGGTTCTTTCTGGCTGGTAACTTAATAAAGCCCTAGCCCATGGCCAAGTGTGCGGCTTCTGTGGCGGCCACTTGCAATGGCGATAGAAAACTGTCCCTCACCTCACTTTCCCGTGGCTGTCGCACCTGTTAAATGCGCCGCATAAATATCCATTACTGGCCTGCTTTCAGCCTGGCCTCCGACTTACTTTCAAACTGTCTTCATGAAATGTTGGCTTAAACTTGAAAAAGGACAATTAGGGTTGGCCTGCGGTTGGCTTTTCCTCCACATACAATTGGCTTTTGGTTAATAAACTGGGTTAACTTTGCCTAGCCTAAATTGTGATTTTAGCTTTTAATTTGGTTTTGAAGGGGATTTGATTGGAGTTTTAGTCCGTCTTTGTTTATTTAATGTTTAGTTCTCTCTACTTAACCTATAATTCAGGGCTCTAAGTAGAAATATTTAGTATTTATATTATTCTTTCTTAATTTGGCACTCCTTTATGTCTAGCCTTTGACTTTCTGACTTAAAATGGAAACTAGAAATCTTTAAAGTACCCATTTACATGATTTCTTGTATATATTAGTGTTGTTCAAGAGTATTTAGCTTAAGAAACTTATTTAATTAAGTGTAAATAAATCGAAAGCTTCATAAATAAATACAAAAAGGCAATGGAAACCCCTAGCATCATGGAAGTTTCCTCTTCTAGTTTCCTTTAATTAAATACCAACTCCTGACTCTCTCATCCTTGGAGGAAAGTTGTCTGTTGTCCATTGTTAGCCACAACTATTGGTGGAGCCTTTGACATCATCCGTTTGTTATTCTGGCAGATGGACAACACAAAGAGCCGGCACAGCACATCCAAGTCGAGCTAATACCTCGAGCTACATATGGATTGGATGCGATACAGATATATAAACACAACTCACCTGTTCGACGCTGTATATTTCCATGTTGGGATCGCCTTCGAGCCACTGGTGCTGCTGCTGCCTGTAGGCGGCCTCAGTTCGCTTTTTGATGTTTCGATGGCAACAATAGCAGACCACACACAATATGGTCGTCACCAGGGAGAGCATGGCCCTGCAATGGGAAATGGAAAATGGGAAATGGGAATGGGAATGGATAATACATAGAAATGGGCATGTGAATGCAGTGTGTGTTATGCCACGGATATCGGGCTCACATGGTGGAATGAAATTGATTGCCAGGCCTCGATAAATTGCCATCATGATAATAATATAGTATTAATGCCATGTTTGGCATTTATTAATTTTGTCAAACAAATTGCAATGTCTGTGTTTGTGTTTGTCTTTATTTATTTTAGCCTGCATATTGATGGCCTACATTTTGGGGACAATGTTGTCATTTTGTTGGATTCATACATCATCAGAACGGAAATTACTTTTCTTTCATTATGTTATGTTGTTTTAATTAGTTAGTGTACTTTTGTTGGCTTTATCAGAGTTTCAAGTCAGAAACTAGGCAAGTTTACCCTCATTTGCAGCTGAGTGAGTTTTGAAGAGCCTTTTGCTGCTGATGCTTAGCTTTGTCTACCAACTTCACCTTGGCAATTTCAATAGCTAATTTCCCTGAGCTAATTCCAATACGATTACCATAATTTGATAGTTTCATTATCTGTATCTCTCCCTCTCGCTGCTGCCTGTTTACCACAAATAACTATGCATTGTTTACCTTGAGCACATAATTGTCTTAATGGCGGTCTAAACCTTATAATTTCATTTATTTAATTGCCTTTCTTGGCTCAGATTTGTGGCTAAAATTGTTGCCTAAATCAATACAAAGTTGAATTACATATAATTACAGTTTACAGAGAGAATTATGTATTTTGAGGTTTGCCAGGCCAATTAGCAAGTTAGTTTTGTTACGTTAGGAAATATTTGTTTAAACAAGAAAGGAAACGGACTTCGGGATGCGGAAGTTTATATACCCAGCAGTTTGCAATTGAAGTATAGGATAAAGCTTATAATATTCAAATTTTTTAAAATTAATATTTATCAATATTTATGCATGACAATTTTTCCGGAAAATTCATGTTTTAAAAAACTAAGCCAAAAATGCATTAATTTAACTTCGGAAAGAATTTCTTTGCTAGTTTTTGATACGTGAACAAATCTGCATACTCAATTTGAAATGTAAAAAAGAACAATTTTTTCCATTTTTGACAACGATTTTTAACGAAAAAATTTCAAAAAAAATTGGCAAAAATTTTGTTTCTTTCCTACATGCCTAAAAAGTTTCGCCTGTTGATCCTGATCAAGAATATATATGATTTATAGGGTCGGAAATGACTCCTTCACTGTGTATTAAGCTCCTGACTAAAACTATAATACAATTTTTTGAGTCGATATGTATCTATATGTTTATATGAAAATTTTTTGTACAAATCAAGGCTTAACAAACTCATATCTAAGCCAAAAATGCATTAATTTTAATTCGGAAAGCAGTCCTATGCTATTTTTTTGTAGTTTAATAAATCTGCATACTCAAATAAAAATGTAAAAAAATCAACATTTTTGTCAATTTTAATGATGTGACCCCTAATAAAATTTGGTAAAATTTTGCAAAATTTTATTTTTTTTTTCATGCCCAGAAAGATTGGCCTGTTGATGCTGATCAAGAATATATATGGTTTATGGGGTCGGAAACGACTCCTTCACAGCTTTATAAGCTTCTGACTAAAGCGAAAATACCATTTTTAGTCGATATTGTTTATATTTTTATATGACAATTTGTTCAACAAATCAAAGTTTAAAAAACTCATAACTAAGTCGAAAATGCATTAATTTTAATTCGGAAAGCAGCCCTATTCCAGTTTTTATTAGGGTAATAAATCTGCATACTCAAATAAAAATGTAAAAAAATCAAAATTTTTGCCAATTTTAACGATGTAACCACTTATAAAATTTGGAAAAATTAGCAAAAATTTATTTTCTTTTTTTCATGCCCAGAAAGATTTGCCTGTTGATGCTGATCAAGAATATATATGGTTTATGTGGTCGGAAATGAATATTTCACATCTTTACAAGCTTTTAACTAAAATTATAATACCCTTGCAAGGTTATAAAAATTAATGTTCTAATATAATTGAACTTCTTGTATTTATATCATTTTAAAGTAATTATTTTTATTAAAGTTAACAGAGTTAGCTACAGATTTACCTATTTTTTAAGGAACTCAACTATTTATTTTAATTCTCCTACTATCACTAGTTTCTATTGGTATAGTTCCTTAAATGCTTTTAAAGGTGTAGGTGTGTAGAATTTTTTCTCCCGGAATTTATCAATAAATCAGCGTAATGCCCCCCACTATCCGCCTTGATTGCCAGTTATCAAAATTTCCTTTTAACGCCGTCGGCTGTCGGATTCATGTTTGGGTTTATTGAAACCCACTGGTTTATTTAGTCCGTCCTGGCCGGAAAAAGGTTTCGTGTCGATTTCGTTGCTCGAGGCATTTCCATGACGTCACTTAATCCACTTTAGAATGCAACATTGTGTCCCACTTGTCTGTCCAGCGATCTCTCTCTCTCTCTGTTCCTGTCTCATCCTGGTTTTTCTTTCTGTATTTTTTGGCTGTTCATTTTCCCCCGGTTCACGCAATTTCTCGCATGTCAACAGTTCATTAAGGACCTCTTTTCGGGCCCAGTTTCTGGCAACCTTCCACAGAGAGTCAGCAACGGCATGTGGCAGAAGGGAGCTTCTCCTTTACCCTTTCCATTTTCCATTTTCCCCCCCATTTTTATTCGTGGCTATTTTCAATGAATTGCCCACCAAGGCAAATCGATAAAAATGTAGTTAAAATAAAGTTTTTTCGGCGCGTGATGTTTACAGACATCAAAACGAAGAAGAAAACTATAAAAAACTGTGTTGACAATACGCTATTTTGTTGTTTTTGTTGGATTTTGGAACAAAAAAAAGAAAGGAAAGGGGAGAAGAGCTCGTGTTGCACACGAAAATAATATTTTATTAGGCAAAGGGAAAAGAGGATGCTTTGGTTTCCTAAAAAAAAGCTGGAAAAATGGCTTGGCACAATTATAATTATTATTTTCGCCGGAAAACTGCGGAAAGGAGCGGAGGCAGCTTGACATCGCCTCGCATCTTGCCGACGCTTAAAATTGTGATGTTTATTAATTTGCAGCTCCAACTCATAAATCAAGAGCGCACAACAGGGCATTATGATCCATGAGAGAGAGTGCTGTGTACTTGTAATATCCTTCTAAAATGAGTGTGTTTATGTGTCTACAAATGGGGCAATTACTGCAATTTACGAACTGCTGTTACGCATTTTTAATGATTGCTTGATTTTGTGTGCTTTCTGAGTGGTTTAATGCACCTTTTAGCCAATGGAACAGAGATCTTTAGATAGTGACTGCAAATTATAGTTCTGTTAGTAATGCTAGGTGAGTTATCTACAGAAAACAACGTTTTCCGAGAGGAGAGAGAACGGGCCTTAAATTTTAGGATTATCTGTAGAGAGTTTTCTCAACCTGTGGCCCTATATCATTTATATTTACAGAGCTATTTATAAAACCTATACCTTTCAGTTAATCCATAGATAAATTATCAATTGATATAAGCCTTTTGCGTAATCCAAAACCATTAACACCAAGTACAAGTGCACCAAAATAAATTGCTTTGGCTGGCACTATCGATCCTGGGGTACAATTTCTAGTAAAAAGCTCCTTTAAAATGTAAATATTTGATTGATTCCAGTCCAAGTCGAGTCTGTTCAACTTTCTTGACAACTCTAATTAATTAATGGCCAGAAGGAGGGGACTTGTGGGAATGTTTAGCCTGGCCAAAAGTTGCACTCATGATGTGTGTGGGTGTGTGTGTTGTACCACTCTTTCGCATTTCCCAGGAGCCCCACCTTGGCTCATCCTCGTGATGCCTCGCCATCAGTTTTCAGTGAATCTGGAGCTGTCAGACTTACCCGCCAAGCAGCAGATTCACATTTCCGTTGACAACATTTGCATAAGTTTGGGGTCCGCCAGGTCCTCCTCCGCCTCCTCCGCCGTTGCCGCTAGAGCTGACAGATCCTTGGCCGCCGCGTTGCTGATGATATTGCCCCAGACCGCTGGTATAGTAGGTGGTGAATGTGGTAATTGAGGATGAGGAGGATATGTGCTCCTGGGATTGCTGCTGCTGCAGCAGCTCCTCCTCATCCTCGCTGCCGGATGATGTCGAAGCTCCCGGCGCTGTTGTGGCAACTGATGATGGGGTCGGGATTGTTTGATTATGACCGAAGGCTCCCGTTCCCGCTCCCGCCTTAGTTGCATAATGCTTCAGAGACATTTCACTGCTACTTCAAGTCCAAATCGAAACGTTGCGATTGCATAACGATTAGCACGGCGCAGCACTCATTACACTAGCCATTAGCACGCACACCTTTGCCTCGAACAGGGCGCATCTAGAACTCGTGACTAGCCCTCAAGACCGTGAGGCGGGCTCTAGACCGCAGCAAGGACGAACAGCGACTGTTAGACCTCGCGAGCGACGACCCGAACGCAACACTACCACCTCCAAAGCCACACACACACTAACACACACTACACGGGAATTTAATTTAGTATAATTTTGATACTTTGTAATATGTATTTTATATATTCCAAAATGTAAGCTTGTTATTTTATGCATAGATTTAATATCTTTAGTTAATGGTGATAGTTTTGCTAGCACTGTTAATCCTTTTTGAAATTCATATTTAATACCCCTTAAGGCAGCTTGTTCTTCCAGCTTTATTGAATTGAAAGTAATTTAATTTCAACTAGTTTTCTCCTTTATTTCCCTCTCTGTAACTGACACAACGATCGATGGCCAAGGCAAAGGAACAAGTCTATTTTGGTAACTTTGTTTAGTAGTAGTTTTTGGCCGCGAATCGCGAGTTGTGCGTCTGGGCAAATGCGTTGCCCTGCTGCAACTGAGCTCCGGCTTGACTTGCTGACTAGTTCGCCCGCTCACTCAGCTGGCTGGCTGAGGACTTTGGCTTGGCTTATCCTTTTGTTGTGTGTGCCCCGACGAAGTTGCCTTGGCAACCGAATGAACCCGACTTCGGCTGAGGCTCTTTTCACTTCGTGTGTTTGCTGCTGCTGCGATTGCTTATCCTGCTGCTGCTGTTGCTGCTGTTGCTGCTTGCCTGTTACAAGTTGCGTTGCCCATTTTTCAGCGACTGCCTTTCCCTCTCTTTTTAGCTTTCGGGGGGTTGGGGCGAAGGCAGGTTGTCAGGATAAAGGAAGAGTCGACGACAAAGGCCAAGCACGGCTATTTGTATTGAGCTTCCCTTTGTATCCCTTTCACTCACTCAAGTCCTGTTCCTGCACGTTTCACGTCAAATTGAGCGCCAAAATGCTTTTGTATGCTCGTATGAGTTGTCATTATTGCTGTTGTTGTTGCTGCTGCTGCTGCTGCTGTTGCTGCTACAGTTGCTTTTGCTTCTGTATTTGTTGTTGTGGCAACCGTGCATGCCATTTGAACAACACTTGTCGCCAACTGACATTTTTCACGGCATGCGCCCATAAATAATAATGCGACTCGGAGGCAACAGTCCGCGTCGACCATATTGAGCATGCATGCAACATGCTGCAAGGCACACGTGTCGTATGAGTGATGCGTTTCAAAATTTAAAGACCATTATACTGAGATACGTTTGATAGACTTTAAAATTAAATTAAATTATAAAGAAGTGTTTTAATTTAAATTTTTCCCAAGATACTTCATTACTTTATTCAATTGTTGTCCGTATTTTTGGTTATTTATAGGGCTCACACTGCGTATGCTTGATTTTTATTATGAGAAACCAAATAATTTGGAATATAAGTTCCAATGCTCAATTCATGCTCATGCTTTTATTTCATTCACCGTTTTACATTTTCCTTTATTTTTACCGATCGTTTGTATGGCAGCTATATGATATAGTAGTCCGATTTTATACAATTTTACAAAAAATATAATATAATGGCTATATATTATATTTGATGAAACTGGAAAAGTTATAATTTTTTCTTAAAATTTTCCGATTGTTCCTATTTCAGCTATATATATATATATACATATATATTTATATAGTCCACCGATTCGCCATGCTTCGATTTATATGCTAGTAATATTATAAACAAGATTAACTGTGTAGTTTTATTTAAATAGCCTGCTCTTAAATGTGTTCCAAAACAAATCTCTCTCTGTGCATATGATTCTCAACTGGTTCAAGCATCCCCGGAACGAAGTGACTGCTGCCGGCCAAGTATCATAAGAGTGTTGTGTTACAAAAGTTGCAAGTCATTGTTTATTAGTGTTCAAAGTTAGTAACTGATTATACATACTTACTAGTCATAGATACTTATTGATCATAGTTACTTACTGGCAATAGATAATCACTGTTCTGAATTATTTACTAGTCATAGATACTTACTGATCATAGTTACTTCCTGGTCATAGATACTCACTGTTCAGAGTTACTTACTGCTCATAGGTAATTACTAATTATAGATCTATAAATCGTCCGATTGTTGCTATGTGAGCTATATATGTGTATATATAGTCCACCGATTCGCCATACTCCGACTTATATACTAGTAAAACTATATAGAAGAATAACTGCATAGTTTTATTTAAATAGCCTGCTCTTAAATTTGTTCCAAAACAAATCTCTCCTGTGCATATGATTCTCAACTGGTTCTAACATCCCCGGAACGAAGTGACTGCTGCCGGCCAAGTATCAGAAGAGTGTTGTGTTACAAAAGTTGCAAGTCATTGTTTATTAGTGTTCAAAGTTAGTAACTAACCATACATACTCACTAGTCATAGATACTTATTGATCATAGTTACTTTCTGTTCAGAGATACTCACTGTTCAGAGTTACTTACTGGTCATAGATACTCACTGTTCAGACTTACTTACTGCTCATAGGTAATTACTAATTATAGATCTATAAATCGTCCGATTGTTCCTATGTGAGCTATATATGTGTATATATAGTCCACCGATTCGCCGTGCTCCGATTTATATACTAGTAAAATTATATATAAGACTAACTGGACAGTTTCACTAAAATAGCTTGCTCTTAAATTTGTTCCAAAAAAATTTCTCTGTGCATATGATTCTCAACTGGTTCAAGCATCCCCGGAACGAAGTGACTGCTGCTGGCCAAGTATCAGAAGAGTGTTGTGTTACAAAAGTTGCAAGTCATTGTTTATTAGTGTTCGAAGTTAGTAACTGATCATACATACTTACGAGTCATAGATACTTATTGATCAGAGTTACTTACTGGTCATAAATACTAACTAAAACGAAAGTCTATAATAATTAAATATAATTTTGAATCAAATTAGATAAAAATATGTTATAAAATGGCTTTAAAGAACCTCTTCCCCTTGAATTATTTTAAACAAATTCCTAATTTATTTGCCTTTTACCTAGTCCCCTCCTCTGCCATTTAAAAATAACTGCAACAATATGAAAACAATTTGTAAAATGTTATGCCCAAATGCCTCAATGAAATGTAAGCCATTTGCATATCGGCCCACGTTTTATGGCACAAACCACCTGCCTGGCCCAGTTCTCTGCCCGTCCCCATATTGCAATCATCATTATAATTGCCAGCCGTTAGCAACTAATTGAAATGCACGTATTATTTCTCGCAAATTTGCTTTTAATTTATGACGCACTGGCACTCGTACAAACATTTAAATAGGCATTTCGGGCAAAGTGTGTCTGCCTGTCCAATATTCGGGGGCGGCACTGTGGCCCGAGCAGCTTCTCCACAGCTCCCATGACTGTGGCCATAGGTTCCACCTAGCCTAGCCCAAGCCAGCTGCACACAATCGCAGGCAGGCAGGCAGGCACGGGCACAGTCGCCCTGAGTTGGTTCAAGAACATATGTAAATAGTTGCACGCCATTTTTGTCGCCCCTCTCTTTGACTTTCTCGCTTTTCTCTGCACTGAGAGAAATAAAAACTAGTTCAATTAAGAAGTGTGATGTCATCTGGAGGACGCTAGAGCTACCAATATTGTTGAAAACCATTCTGTGATATGATTTAAAATTGTTTCGTTCGTTAAATTGTTTTCAGGTTTCCCTATTTTCATAGGGATCATTAGGAATTCATATAGTTTCTTATGAAAATATGTACATATGTTATATGTAAATTAGTATTAATTTTTTTCTGTGCCCCACTATCCCTCCCTTTCTCTCTCTCTCTCATTCTCAGTTGTCCTGTGTGTGTGTGTGTGTTTTTGGTTGTGCCAACTGTTTGTTGGCGGCGTCGGCGGTGACGGCGTTGTTGGAGCGTCTTGAAATCCGCGCTACGTTGGCGGCCCGGCAGTTGGGCGGACTCTCCGCACGGTTGTAGTTGTTGCCTGCACCTCGAGTGTCGCGCGCGCTGAAGAGCACGTTGTTCTTGCCGCTCGACGGCCGTGAATGGCGCACAAATAGTGCTGCTACAATTTTAGTTTTCCATCTCCTCTGGCATAATTTTAGATTTGTGTGAAAGAAAATTTGTCAATTCAGGAGGAGGACGACACCACCCGCACGGGAGCAGGAGCAGGAGCGGGAACAGCTGCAACAGCAGCAGCAGGAGGAGGAGGAGGAGCATCAGCAAACGGGCGGCAGCCACGTTTCTGTGTGTGTCACACCGCCCCTCAACAGTTGGCATCTGGCAACGTGACTCATTAGAGCGTCTCCCTGGAGGAGGAGGAGCAGCAGCAGCAGCATTGGGTCAGCTTTAGGGTGACACCGTGCCAGGGAGATGCGGGGGCCCCACGATGATGATGGATAGTTTCGGCCGCTTCTGGTCACTTTCGGGGGCCGCTCTGCGCACGCGTTACGGGTAAGCAACCGAGGCAACCGAAGAAGCCACCGCGTGTGGTCTAAACCCCAAGTGACAGTCGGTTAAGCGGGGGCAACTAATGATTCTGGGAGAAGTATAAAATAATTGCAGCCGAAAAGTGTTTTACCAATTGAAGCATAAACTATTTAAACTATTTTATTCATAAACATATTAAATACTTGAATTTCTCGTTCAGTTCTTTCCGTACTTCCACCTTGCTCAGTGTTCTATAGGGCATAGAACCGCAGGAAATCCTTATAAAATATAAACAAAATTATATTCAACTAACCCCTCCCCTTATATTCGCTTTAATTGAATGTCTGCTTTAGTTTTTACCCCATTTGTCCCGTTTTTTATGAGCACAAAGCCATGAGGAAAGCCCCCCTTTTGAAAGCGCTGCAATGTATGCTACACTTTACACAACATATTTTTGACAGTCGCCGTGCAGAAACTAATGAGGCTGTCACAGTCCCAGCAATCCTTTTCGACCCCTCGCACTGCCTTCGTTTCAAGCATTGGCAGCATTAATTATGCATGCCTGTTGATTTATTATGCATGACCATCAAGGTAATGATGGGGCCAGGCCACAAGCAAAGAGCACACGTCCACTGCAATGGGGGAGCACACTACATGGCAGCGTTAGTTAACCTCCTCCTCCTCCGGTTGCCGGTGGCAACACTGAAGAGTTGTAAAGGAGAATTCACCTCTGTGTTGCATGACCTGCGAAAGTATTTCATATTTCCACATGAAGCGTAATGAAAATTTTAAGGTCTCGCTGCTCGTCTCACCCAAGCCCAGCTTCGATTGTCGGAGTCGCACGGCACGCAAAGGTTGCACTGCATTTACAGGTGTGTTCCCCTCACACACACATTCAGACTGGAAGTCACGATACCTGGCACCTGGTACCATTCTTCATTGGTGGCAAGGTCTCGCCCTCGTCCTCGTTCTTTGCTCTCCGTTCCTCTATGCAAAAGTTTAAAAGAGCCCGCCCTAAAAATATATACATAACATAGGTATAAAAATCATATTTGGGTTTGTGGGTCCTCGGTTCTCCACTCATTTGTTAAGTAATTTGATTTGAAATCGATAAGGAAGCAGCATAAAGCGTTAAATTATAGGTTTTATTATAAACCTGATATGGGTAGGAGGGTTAAGTTGAAAGAAAGCTGTTTAGGGGTTGACACGCAGGTTAAAATCGGGTTAAATACATCTCAGAGACTGTGGGGAAGAAAGTGTTTACTAGGGGTTTAGTTTTCCACATACCAATCCATCCGTTTCCAATCTTGTACCCTTAGTATATATATTTTAAAACTCCTTAAAAATTATAGAATATACATATATGTGGATTCCTACTTTCCTAGCTCCCTACTTTTATGTTTTTCTGCAAACTTGTCTTCGATTTTTCAGTATGTTGCCCCAGCCAGGCGCCACCCCGAGACCCCAATTCCCTTGCGTGCTTCCCAAGGTGGGGTGGCATGGTGTGCCATGTGTGCGTGTACGGGATGGTGTTATTGGGAGGGCGGAGGCAGTCGCGGTCGCGGAGAACAAACAATTGCCACTAAATGGCATGTGGCGGTAGCCCCAACTCCTCGCGTTTGGGTTTCCTTTGATTTTATCGCTCGTCAAGCCCAAGTCGCGAGCATTGATTAAAGTTCGATGTGTCCTCTGTGGCAGAGCGGGCAAAGTAAGGCGGACCGAAGGAAGGGCCTCTGTGACACGACCTGCTATTGTGCATTATTGCTCAACTGTCTCAGTTCTTTGAACCAGAGAGATGATGATGTCAACGGTTGGGACGAAGGAGCTAAGCCTGGGGAAATCTGGTTCGAGGAACCAAGGGTTATTTGTAATTACACCATCACTATAATTAATAAGGATAGTGTTATAAGAATTGTACGTAGTGAAGAGTTCAATCTACAATATTCTTAATTACAGGTCTTGTGTTTTGTTTATAGAAAGTTATTCTGGCCTGATGATCCCAAGCTTGAAGCTGGCCTTCCTTTACTCTGAACCCGATTATTAATGCCTTAAAACCCTTTATTCCCTTCGCTTCTTCTAGCCTACGTTATCTCTATAAGATGTCCCTGGCCGTTTCGCTGCGCCGAGCTCTCTTGGCGCTGCTCTCCGGCGCCATCTTCATCCTGACGGTGCTCTATTGGAATCAGGGAGCCACCAAGACCCAGGCCTACAGTGAGGCGCTGGAACGTCCGCACAGCCACCGCGATGGCAGTGCCTTTCCCATGTGAGTGTGTCAAAGTGCCTATCAGGCTGCCGAAATCGAAGGTCTAATTCTTCTTCATCATTTCGGGCAGACCCGTCGAGAAGTCCTGGACGTACAAGTGCGAGAGTGACCGATGCCTGCGGGTAAGCCATCACGGCAAGTCCGGCAAGCGGGTCTCGTTCATCAGCTGCTCGATGACGTGCGGTGACATCAACATCTGGCCCCATCCCACCCATAAGTTCTTGCTCAGCTCGCACACGCACAGCTTCTCCGTGGAGGATGTGCAGTTGCAGGTGGACACGTCGCACCGGGAGGTACGCAAACAGCTGCAGTTGGCCTTTGACTGGTTCCTGAAGGACTTGCGGCAAATCCAGCGGTTGGACTACGCTGGCAGTGCTTCAGAGGCAGCGGTTAGTGAGTCTGCTTCCAAACTAAGGCGTCATGTGGACTCTGAGAGCCCAGCAGCCACGTTGTTTGGCGCCACATTCGGTGTGAAACAGGCTGGGGATCTGGCCAGTGTGCAGGTCAAGATCAGTGTGCACAAGTCGGGAGATGTTAACTTTAGTTTGGACAACGATGAAAGCTACCAGCTATCTTCCAACAGTAAGTAACTTTTGATTCTGGAGAATCTATAACAACATCTGACCAACCTTTTTCTTAAATAGCCGATGGTCATCGCCTGCTGGTGGAGATCACAGCCAACTCTTACTTCGGAGCCCGTCATGGCCTGTCCACGCTGCAGCAGCTGATCTGGTTCGACGACGAGGATCGCCTGCTGCACACCTACTCCAACAGCAAGGTAAAGGATGCGCCCAAGTTCCGCTATCGCGGCCTGATGCTGGACACCTCGAGGCACTTCTTCTCGGTAGAGGCCATCAAGCGAACGATTGTGGCCATGGGCCTGTCCAAGCTAAATCGCTTCCACTGGCATCTGACGGATGCGCAAAGTTTCCCATACATCTCACGTCACTATCCCGAGCTGGCTGAGCATGGTGCCTATTCCGAAAGTGAAACCTACACCGAGCAGGATGTGCGCGAGGTGGCAGAATTTGCAAAGATCTATGGCGTTCAGGTGATCCCAGAAATCGATGCTCCGGCCCATGCCGGCAATGGCTGGGATTGGGGACCGAAGCGCGGCATGGGCGAGCTGGCCATGTGCATTAACCAGCAACCATGGAGCTTTTACTGCGGCGAACCTCCGTGCGGTCAGCTTAATCCAAAGAACAACCACACCTACCTCATACTGCAGCGCCTCTACGAGGAACTGCTGCAGCAGACGGGGCCCACGGACCTCTTCCATCTGGGCGGCGACGAGGTGAATCTCGACTGCTGGGCGCAGTACTTCAATGACACGGATCTGCGCGGTCTGTGGTGCGATTTCATGCTTCAGGCGATGGCCAGGTGAGTGAGACTGTGATCTTTGATCCTTTTGATTTGAATTAATATTCACCCGCCCGATAGACTGAAGTTGGCCAACAATGGGGTGGCGCCCAAGTATGTGGCCGTTTGGTCCAGCGCCTTGACCAACACCAAGTGTCTTCCGCACAGTCAATTCGCCGTGCAGGTGTGGGGCGGCAGCACCTGGCAGGAGAACTACGATCTGCTGGACAACGGCTACAATGTGATCTTCTCGCATGTGGATGCCTGGTACTTGGACTGCGGCTTCGGCAGTTGGCGGGCCACCGGAGATGCTGCCTGTGCTCCGTACCGGACCTGGCAGAATGTCTACAAACATAGGCCGTGGGAGCGAATGCGTTTGGACATGAAGCACAGGAAGCAGGTGAGCTTTTCTCTTAATAAAAATAAAGTATATAACTTTAATTAATAATGCTTCATCTGTGATTAGGTGCTGGGTGGCGAAGCGTGCATGTGGACGGAGCAGGTGGACGAGAACCAGTTGGACAATCGGCTGTGGCCACGCTCGGCTGCCTTGGCTGAGCGTCTGTGGACGGATCCCAGCGATGATCATGATATCGATGTAGTGCCGTCGGATGTGTTCCGCCGAATCTCATTGTTCCGCAATCGCCTCGTCGAGCTGGGCATACGGGCGGAGGCACTGTTCCCCAAATATTGCGCCCAGAATCCCGGCGAATGCATTTGATATTACCTCTAAGAAGTGAAAGTAATCTCCGAACCCGAAATCCAACCAATCCCAACCCCTCCCGAAATGTGCGTTAGTTAGTTGATAGTCCAATTGTTATTTTATACGGATACCTAGGCTTCGGAGCAGGCGACGAGGACTGTTTGAAATGGTTTCTGGCATAAACCATGACTCGAATTTCGTTTACATAGATCAAACTAAACAAGAAAAACACAAAAAAAAACAAAAACATACACTCACTCACCCATAACTAGTACAATTCATCGCGAATTATAGCGCACATGGCAGACATGACCTAGTGTAGGGAACCAAGTCGAGGTTGATGGAATGCAGGTGACGACGTCGAACATTAGCGTTCATAGTTCATAGATTTAGTTGTAGATTTCATACGCATCCAATTCAGACATAGGCTTACGATATATATATATACATTAATACATAGTATTTAGGAGGATCAACCACAATTAAGGAAAAACGGAACCTTTTGATATAATTTGAACAAAAAAAGCTTTATTCGCAGAACATTTATTATTAAGACATACGATCTTTTTCCGCATATTTTACCTGTGTTTTTTTACTTTATTTCGCGTTGCCTTAAGTTATATAGTATACATTTAATTACATTTTCAGTGATATAAACAATGTGACCTTAAGAATCAGAAAGTAAAACGAGAAAACTGCTAAAAATGAGTAAAACTTAGAATTAGACATTTACAATTAATCGTTACGACAAGTTTTGCACGCATTGGCACACCCAACTAACACACAAACTCGATGACTAGTAAATTAGTAGCTAATCTAGAATGTACACTGAACTAAAAAAGGGGGGTATTCACAGTTTGTTTTCCTTTCGATGATTCGATGATTCTACCTTTGGAATGTTTGGATGAAAGCCCTATGTTAGCCACTTGTTTTCGTACTTAAGATCTTACTATAAGATATATCAAAAGCAAAAAGAAACCGAAAATCATGAACCTACATAAGTTTAACAACAATTTCTGCTGTAACTCCAAGTCACTCTTGAAAATAAACTACAAGTCCAGTCTAATCCGTTTCCTCTTTGGGGTTGAATCTAGTGAATCTAATGTATTTATGGTATATTCATGAAGTATCCAAAGTAAATTCTTAGCGAAATGTATATATTTCGATGAAGGAATAACTGAGTAAATTTAAATTATAGGGACTGAACACTTTGTAGCCACAAATTAAAATGCAAGTAATACTATAAACTGAGGGATTCCTAAACAAAATCGGTGATGTCGATGCTGTGGTAGCGTTGCAAGGATCCCAGCCGCGTGTGTGGCGATGGTCGCAGACAGATGACACACTCCTCCGTGCTGAAAATCAAGGATAATTAGTCACAGGAAGCAGAACACAATGGCGGATCGTTTATAAAAAATATAATACTTTAATCTGAGCTCTTAAAGTGTAAACTATAGCATGCAAAAAATACTTATGGCCAAAAGTAGAAATATGTAATAATATATAGTATGTGGGGGGGAAATCTCTGTGTCGTATACAATAATTGTGTGTGCTGTGGGTGGTGTTCATTCATAGTGTCCGGTGGGTACAGGACTTGTTGATGTCAGTCTACAAGAAAGAGGATAAACAGAACGAAAGAGAACCCAGGTGAGAAACGAAATAAAAAGAGGTGTCCTCGTAGACAGGCATGCAGATAAGTCAAGTATTGATAAGGATATAAACTACAGCAGGTGTTAGTAAGCGACACGAGTGCAATTTAGCTCTGGGGATTAGTGTCTAGAGTTAGAGGGGAAAGCATATACATGAGCATTGCGTATACGCACCGGAGACTTTCGGTTCGCGATCTCAGCGAGTAGTCTTTGGAGGCGCGATGCCTGAAATGGAAATTAAGTGGTTAAGTGACAACAACGACGACAACGACCACGGTAACAAATACTACATAGCAGCCAAAAAGCCACACCAACAAACTAATGCAAGTACTTAGTGTAAAGCCGATTTATATGGTACTATATATCAAGTGTAAACAGAACAACACCGATGTGTTAATATGCCAAATAAGTCCGGTCTCTGAGCCTGGACTACTGGCTTAGGTTGCTTAGCCCACCTGCGGTTCTTGATCGAACTGTTCCGATGGATATTCCTGTTCTCCCGCCACCTGGTAAACCGATGCCTCAGCGTCTGGCGAACCTCGGAGTTGAGAAAGCAGTAGAACAGAGCCACAAAGAAGCCCTAAGGTAAGGAGAAATATATATAGTGACCACAGGTAATACAGGGGTTAATAGGTCAAACCTGCGTGCTGATGAGGAAGGCACGGATGGCCTCAAAGAGATTCCGACTGATCCCCTGCTCGGGGCCAGTGAGCACCAGCAAGTAGGTGATGCCAAAGAGAGGAATCAGTACCAGCAAGGCCTTGGAGGCCTTGTAATACTGCCGCGTTTCTAGGGTGTGGGCAGAGCGCAGTTTGGTGATCAGAACCTAGGGCAGAACATATATATTTAAAGCAAATACAATATTTAATAATTAAATAACGAACTTACCCACATAATGCGTATGAGAAATACTAAGTTAACCAGCAGAGCCAGAGAGGCAGGACCCTTGAATATCCAGTCAATATGAGATTCACGCATCCAGGTGCACTCGATGTCCAGCTTTTATAATAATTATATGATTATTCTTAATTATAAATACATGTATATGCCACTTTACCCCATTGAAATGCTCATTTTCGAGATGCGGGGCAAAGGTCTTGGCTATGGACCAAACCAAAATGCATAAAGCTGGAGAGCCCCAGCCTATCAGGGCGTATATAATAAAGCTAATGTTATCACTGGAGAACGTTTGCACCACCAACGTGTACAGATAGAGACCTACGAAATTCGGGGATATAAATAAATGTATGGTATCCAGACTTTGGACTTCTTACCCTCCACAAACATCCAGAAGAAGTTGGTTAGATAAAAGTATTGAAACATGATGACCAGCGTAATGCAGCCAGCCTGACTAGACTCGGTGGTTATCTGTTCAAACATTGATTAAAATTATTAATTAAAATAATTAGAATTCAAATTTAAGAAGGTAACTTAACCCACCACTTGCAGGAACAATGTGAGTATCCACAACAGAGCTGAGGTGATGTAGGTGAGGAATAGATTTGCATGAATCGTATTACGCAGACAGCGCAAATCTCTAATAAAATATTTACAATATAATGTTATATAGAAATCATTCAAAATACATTTAGAAACTCACTTAAAACTGAGGAATATAATGAGAGCTACCACCAAGGTAGCAAAGCTTAGGAAATAACCGCAGGCATATATAATTGCCGGCAGATCGACGCTGGGCGAGAAGTCCGGCACAACGGGAATGGACCCAGAGTTCTGGTGGCAGCGATCATAGTCCGAATAGTGATCCCAGGTTCCATTCGGAAAGCAGAAGCGAGTGGCATTTTCTAAGGGTGTAAAATTACTTGCTTGAGAACTACTTAATTCAGGGAGAAACCACACCCACCTGTGGTGTCGTAATGAACGCCCTTGAACTCCTCGAAGCAGGGCAAAATCGCCAAACTGCCGGCATTGGTTCTGGGCCAACACAGCACGGAATCGAAGGAACTGGGACATTGTAAAATCTGTAAAGGAAAACACAGCTATTAGATATAGATATATGTAGGTTGGAGGCCAAGGAAAACATAGTTTCCCAAAAGGCTGAAATAAATAATTAAAGCCTTTTAATGATGCTGATGCCGCACGGCCATTAAGTTTCTCAATTTCTCTCTAAACGGAACCGACCTAACTCAACCCCATTAAACCAGATTGTACATCCGATTTATGCGTTCCAGCTGACCCCCGTATCTTTATGTCTTCATCTTCGGCTGGGCTTGTACTTTTATAGTTCTGACGCACTCGGATACATCTTTAATCAACTGAATTTCCAAAAATTCAAGAGTCAGGCAGAGAGGGAACCCGTATACATACAGATCACCCGCTGGCTGGCTATTTATTTATATATTTGCAGTGGCGATGAAATTGTTTATTTCGCACAGGCGTTTGGATATATGGAATATATAGTATATATAATATTAATGTTAAGTATACGCGATCGGTCGGCGGGGTCTGAGCTTCCATTGATATTTTTATTGGCCTTATCAGCTGGCATTGCACGCGGAGAATCGCCAACGAATTCCTTTCAATTCTTTTATTGTCTTCACCGCTGATAACCTAAAGCTCTTGGCTGACAGCTAATGCGATCGGACTTAGCCACGCGACACGGCGAGATGTCAACGAATAAGCCAAACAATGTTGGGGGAACTCCGTTTCAATATTTGTCTTTGCTTTTTTGATTTTCAGTCATTTGTTAGCTTTAGTTTGGGACTGAACGACCTTGAAACTGGTCCCCCCCACTGCCTGTCCCTTTGATCGTATTTATAAATTCGGGATAAACGATAAACAAAAATGGCAAAATGCAGCCTCAAGTGGGTTTCCTTGGCTTTTATTTTGTTTACAGCCAAGAGGAATACATAAATAAATATTTTCTGTTGCTGCTGCTACATTTTCCGGAAATAAAATTCGCCTAGAATATTTTCCCCAAAATTTATTCGAAAACCAGGCGCTGCTGCCTTGGTTTCCAATATTGTTCCCAAAATCGGAAAAGAGATTGACAGCCGGATGGATGGGAGGGAGGGAGGGCAATTATTCTTCCAGAAAGAAGATGGACCAATTAGCGCCAACGATTAATTGGGAAATTTCATTCAAATGGCCGAGAAAAATAAATTGCTTCTTCAAAACAATGGGTAATTAAAAAATATTTATAGGTTGGCTGTTGTCTTTGGCAAGTGTTGTTATGATTGGCTTCCGAAAAAATGTTGATTGAATGTGATGAATTGATAGAGAGAAGTTGCTTTATTTATTCTTTTTTTTAGAATTTATTTATAGCCAAGTACAATGTTTATTATTTTCAGACATTTTAAATATTGTTGCAGCGAAGTCTTGAAACGGAAAATTGCAGGATATTATAATTTCAGTCAGTAGCTGGCAAAGCAGTAAAGGAGTCACTTCCGACCCTATAAATCATATATATTCTTGATCAGCATCAACAGGCGAATCTTTCTAAGCATGAAGGAAAGATTATACATTTTTGCGACTTTTTTCAATATTTAGTAAGAGGTTAAAATTGTCAAAAATTGAAAAAAAAATTTTAAGCTGAGTATGCAGTTTTATTAATCTAATAAAAACTAACTAGGACTGCTTTCTGAATTGAAATTATTGTATTTTTGGCTTAGTTAAAAAGTGTGATTTTCCAAATAAATATTATCATTTAAAAATGGATCTAAAGCTTTTTGAATTGTATTTGTTTAGATATCAGGTTCTTAAAGAATGTTCAATTTATTGATGTTTGTATATCAATGTAGTTCTAACTCTCAAACGTGTGTTAATAATAATATAATCCAAATATCCCAAGCTTCCATTGACCCTTGCTTTAATTGCTTTATTTCTTAATTCCAGCATTCGAAAAATGATTAAATTAATAACACCCCGGATTGCCTCTTCTACAGATAAATCAATTAGGTGACTTATTGATCCATATACAGCTTATAATTAAGTACATCAAACGGTTTAGTGTGGCGTAAAATTGCCGAGTTCCTGGATTGGCTAACAAACAACTACCTCACTATCCGCTGGCTCTAATTAGTTTTTACATATAAACTTGGCTTAATAGAGGAACTGGGACTGGGACTGGGACTGGGACTGTCTAGGAATTTATGTGCTATGTGGTCCCTATGGGAAACTAAACCATCCTCTTCGGAGGAATGTATATATAACACATATAAAAGGGAGCACCAAGGACAACTCACCCGGTTGCCACCGGCTGCCGCCGCTTGGAGTTCCTCCAGCTCCTGCTGCTGCTGGCACTGCTGCGTGCGGTTGACGAGGGGCGCCCCACTGTGCGGCTGCTGGGCGCCAATTAGGGCGCTGGCTCGCTGCAGCATGTCCAGCGAGAAGTTGGCTATGACGCTGGCCAAATCCTCCCGCGAGGCGTCATCCAGGCTATCCACCAGTGCCCGCAAGTCGTCGTCAGCCATGTAGCGTGGCTCCTCCTCTGCGATGAGCGATGTGTTGCAATATAGCGATGGAGGACCTGTCAGCGAGGCGTCTCCGCTCCTGGCACTTTCTCTCTCTCCGCCGGACGATGCGCAATTAAATGGAATCTGGACAAATAAAGCGCCAGCGTGGGTGCAAGAAATAAAAAATAAAAGGGAAACGTTCTTCATATCTTCGTTTATCAGATAAAGTAAAGAGTGGAGAATCTTGGCCACCACCGAAAAGTATCACAGATGCCGAGAGCCAAGAGCCGAGAGCCAAGAGCCGAGAGCCAAGAACCCTGAACCCAAAGAGCAGCATCCACTCCAGATATGCTATATATAATATATACACTTGGAGAAATTAAAAGCCTCCGCTCTATTTGCTTGCTGATTAAATATTTTGGTAGCCATGACTCAACAGAACGCAAGGGTGCCTCTTCGCTGATTGAGGGAAATATATAAATAAATATATATACTAGATCACTAAACACTCTCCCTTTCTGCGCGGAAAACTTTCTGGGATGTGGAATGAAGGTGTTTTCGTCTTTTACCATATACAAATTATAATAAAAATCTGTTCAAATACGGCATGAGCCACTCACGTGACCCTGGGTGGGTGAGTGAGTCTGCTTTATGGTGGGAGTGGCAGTGGGCTCAGATTAAATGTGGATAGATAACCCACAGCACAATCTTTATGGACAGCCGAGAGTGGCAGGGAGGTGGGTGGTGGGTGGTGGGTGGTGACGACCTGGAACGAGGTGAAGCTCTCTCTTTCAATGGCGGCAAATACCCAGTAATTGAACGCTTTGCGCTCCAGACCGTCTGTCAATATAATTTGGGGGCGAACGCGAAACCCGATCAATTACACAGAGTCGTCGTCATCGACAACCCCATTAGATCCCCATTAGCTGCCATAACTCTAGATAATATTTAATCATATTTAAGTTGTAAGCTGTTGTCGTAGATTTCAGGGCATAGAGGCACAGAGATAACCTTTTCGATTCACACGAGTAAAAACGAGTTTTGAAAAAGCTATTTAATGGGTCTTGATATAAAGACGATAATTTGACAATGTTTACACCGCTGATTATTTAGCCAATTAGCTCACAATTTTAATTACATTATTACAAGGAAAGGAAATATTAAGAATTTTAAGTATTATTCGGATACGAATGTGTGTATTAAGTATTTAAATTAAAAATATAAGAAAGGAAGCTAGCTTTGGAAAGCAAAAGTCAGTATACCTATAAAATTTGGATAGGGTATCGAAAAACAATCATAACTAAGCCAAAATTCATTAATTTTAATTCGGAAAGCTTTCCTAAGCTAGTTTTTATTAGGTTAACAAATCTGCATACTGGGTTTAACAATTTAAAAAATTCAATTTTTCGTCAATTTTTGACAATTTTTACGATGTAACCCCTTAAAAAATTTCGAAAATTTTGAAAAAAATAGATTCTTGTCGGAGATGGCTAGATCGATTTGGCTGTTTATCCTGATCAAGAATATATATGATTTATAGGGTCGGAAATGACTCCTTCACTGTCTTACAAGCTCCTGACTGATATTAGAATACCATTTTTTGAGTCGATATTTATCAATATTTTTGTATGACAATTTTTACAACAAACTGATTCTTAAAAAAATCATAATTCCGCCAAAATAGCACTAATTTTAATTCGGAAAGCAGTCCTATGTTAGTTTTTATTAGATTGATAAATCTGCATACTCAGTTTAAAATTAAAATTTTTGTCAATTTTTGACAATTTTAACGACCAAACCCCTTATAAAATTTCGAAAATTTTGAAAAAAATAGATTCTTGCCAGAGATGGCTAGGTCGATTGGGCTGTTTATCCTGGTCAAGAATATATATGATTTATAGGGTCGGAAATTACTCCTTCACTGTTTTAAACCCTTCTGCCTAGAAATGGAATACCAATAAGATATAGCATTAATATTTGTAGGCATTTATAGGAATAGTTCAATCAATTAGTATTTTAAGTGTTGATAGAAAGTAATAATGATAGTATATATAACCCCATAGGAAAAACCAAAGCAATCTTGTACCACTAAATCCTGAACTAAGCCTTTCATTATTAATTTATGACAACTTGTTTTTCACGAAAGGAAATACCTTCAGTCTCTTTTGAATTAAAATCTTTGTTTGCCACGAATTTCAAAGGATGCGTTAATTACACCATGTACTCCTCCTCATTACACCATATATTCCTCATAGTCATATGTAAAATCAGCAGTCACGCACAATCATTACGTTGCAACAATTAAGATACAAAAGGTCGCCGGAATAAGAGTAATTAAACTAGGACGAAGGCCGTAGCTTTATCTGTTTATTGTGGGAGGTGGGCGGTGGACTGTGACAGATGTGTAAGCCAAAGGCAAGTACATAGTACGTTTTCACCTGGCGACGGCGGTGTGTACCTGCTCAATGGAGCCCAGCCAGCCAGGCAGCCAGGCAGCCACACACAGTGATTAAAACAAAGAGTGTCAAGTTATTTATTAATGAACAAATACCATGGCAGCGAGCTGCTCCACGGGTCGCCGACTCATCCCATCCCCTCCCCTCTCATCTCATCTCATCTCATCTCACATCTCATCGCACGCACTAAGCTGGAAGGAGATGGAGATGGACCAGGAGGAGCTTTGTCAATGTCAAGTTGAGGGAGATAACGTGGCATATGGCGGCTATGGACCATGGATAATGTCATGGCTTCTGGCTCGACAAGTGTTTCGGTATGCAGGTGGGCCATCTTGCATTGCTTGCCCACCTCTCTCGCTAATTATGGTCTATATAAATAGGCCACAACCACTTTGATCTCTGGCCAGGGCCAGAGTGCCAGGTACCAGGTGCACTTGCACCACCTTGCCAGCAAAGGAATCTGACTAAACAATTTCGGGTAGGTGCTCGGCTTTTCTCTTCTGCCTGGAATTCTTAGAGACTCTCCTCTCTTAGGTAATTTTAATATATAAAAACATTTAATTAAGGTATAAAGAATACTTTTTAAAAAGGCAAAGATTATTCATTATGGTGAATAAGTCTATTCAGACTTGCACAATAATAAAGTTTTTGGTGCGTAAAATAATTCAATTAAATAGAAATCAGATCCTGCAAGTCCCTCATTTAACTCGCATCCCTCCATGTTGTTATTTCAACTCCCACCGACCGACCGACCGACCGACCTACTACCCTACCCTCTGCTCCCTGCGGCGTGCAAATATTTGCCTTCAATCCCGAAATGGCCAAACATCTGGGCCCAGAAGAAGTCGTCATGCCACAATCTTAAGCTCCCTCTCCACAACTCAAAGCACACGAAACACGATTTATTTATGGGCCTTAGCAAACAAGCGCATTATTTGGACGAGCGCGTGCTGCTGTTTATCACGGCCGACTATAATCATCATAATAATAATATTAATAATGGTAATTAGCATCCATGTCATTTGGAGCCAATGGAAAGGCGACTAATCTGGCCTCAAATGCGCCACAATTGGAAGCTGCCGCCGAAGTAAACATTTCAACCGTTTGACCAATGTAAATAAAAGCAGTCAGAGTCTGTGGCGGGTAAGTTGGTGCAACAGGGCGTATGCCTAATATTCGGTAGCCACCGCTTGGATGATTTATGGAGTGTCAAAACAAATGAAAATTAATTGGCAATCGGCATGTGTGCAACAGGGTAGGGGATGAGGAAGGGAAGGAAGGGGGTGGATGAGGAGAGAAGGCCAACGAAGACGGACATGCAATCAAAAACATGCGCATTGTTCCAGCCATCAAAGTCGGTCGATTAGTAATCTCCATTGTTGTGTGGGAGCTCCACTATTTTCAATTGTCAATCGGAATGAAAGGCATTTAAATAGTGTACCTACATGATACTTTTTGATTAAAATTGTTTGCTTCATGAATGAGTAATAGAAGTGTGTAAGAGAGAGTGCTGTAAATTGTTTCCGTTTCTTTGTAATATTAATTGCACCCATCACAGACATAAAGATTAACATGAATTCCAAATGAAATCACTGGAGAGTCCTGAAGATAAATTAATTATTAAAATGCATAAAACGTTTATAGTATTTATTGAGCTATTGAATTGTTAATAAAGGAATTATGGCACTGCAACAGTAATTAACAGACTAAATGTCTTTTATAAGAATTGTGTTATGACACTACAATATTTTAGCTCCTAGTTTTTTTTTCGGTAAGGTAGGTCGCGGTTATATACATTTATTTTCCAGCGATTTCCTCGAATTCAATTCGTTTAAATATGCAAATTGTGTCGTTGGAAATATATTTGGATTCCATGTAAAAACTAAAAACAAATTATATATTTCTTTGCCTTTTTCAGAAGCTACAATAGAATACAGAGAAAAGTGATAAAGTGACCTTTATGATTTAATATCTCCTTGCTAAATATCAATTTCTTTTTCCTCGTTCCTCGATATCGCCTTCATCAATTAAAAGACTTAAAGCCAATGCCATATGACAGTGACACACAGTCACAGTGCGTGATAAAAGGCACGTAAATGAAATGTGCAAAAACATACGAAAAAAATGGTAATAAAAATTATGGGCAAACAGGAAGGAGGCAGTAGCATTTTATGAATGAACGAGCCCGGTCAGCGAAGCGTGTAGAAAAGTCAGAAGTCAGCGCCGTCAGCTGGCAGACAAATCAAATCGAAACGAATCGAATCGAATCGAATCGAATCGCATTGCAATGGCTATGGCGAATTAAATCGAACCGAATGGAATGGCAGACGCAGTCAGGCGCTATCATTTCGTTATTTATGGTTTTGGCCGGCCGAAAGCAAATAAATAGATGGGTTCGAGCCTCGTCATCCGTCCCATCATCCTTATCCAGTCCCAGTCCCCCATTAATTCCGGGGACAGTAGAATAGTAAAACAGACAAATATACGGACAAGAACGCCCACACGGACACGGGGAAAGTTTACAAATTAAAAGAAAATTGAATCGAAACCTAAAACACACACACCCAAGCAGAGCGAGTCCAGATCTGGGACCACGCGGCGTATGAGCAACTCGAAGCGATATCAAGCATACGCCGCGTTGCCAGACGACTTCATTTCATATGCTCACTAATTTTATTGCCTTACAACGGCATAACAAATTCTCAAGATGCTTTGAACTCGCAGGCAGCTTTAGATTTGCGGAGTGGCAGGGGCTACCTGTAAAGTTGCCAAAAAGCAGGAATAAACTTGAATAAAGTAAAAATAAAGCAAATATTTTCCTTTTCATTTGCAATTTTCATACAAGTTTCAGTGACTGAGGAGCTGCGGGCATTTTATTGCCTGTTGCAGGTTGGCTGGCGAACACGGGGAGAGGGGACTAAGGCCAGGAGTCATGGCAATTCTCGTAATAATGCCACTCCCACCCACGAACAAGCTATACAGAGATACATAAACATGATGTAATTTTAAAATTTCATGAGTTCATGTAAAGTTTGTTTTATCTGCTTTATGACAGAGAAAACGAGCGAGTATTGCCAGTGGCAGTGTTTCGCCATGCAGAAGGGGTGCCTCCTGCTCCGACATGAAGCTAGGTGGAACAGATGGAGCTAGACACCTGGACAGGTCGACAGCAGGCATCGTGGAGTGCAAACTATGAGGAGCAACAATCCATACATACTTATTAGAAAATTCAATTATCTAACTGCGGGCTATTGCCATTCATCTTTGGTGCAAAAACACACACTTTGCATAAAGGGGAGCACTTGGAGAAAATAATTTATATATAGATAACGTAAGTACTCCTTTGGGAAAAGGATATTAACTGTATCATTTTGAATATTTAACACTATCTATGAAAAAGAAGGTTTAATTAAATATGTTTAAAGATGTATGATGGAAATTTAATACTTTTTCAAGCCAATATTCAACGTTAATGATCAAGTACCTTGTTCTCCGTGTAAAAATCAAGTGTTAGTGCTCTCCACAATGACGAGAAAGACAGTCAGCATCTTGGTAAACACACAAAATGCATTTAGAGTAAGTACGAGTATTCAGATGGAGGAAAACCCTCTTCTCCGACCCACTTACACTCGAAAGCCATTTGCAAATTTTCAGCAAACACAAAGCCAGCAAACCACAAACCTACCGCCCGCCTCCCTTCCTTCCCTTTAAAATTTGCTCTTGTTTCGGCCTCCTTACAATCGAGTATAATTAAATTTAGGTATTTACTTAACAATTCATATTCGAGAGTCATAAACAATTTGCGACCCGAACTCCGTTTGTTTTTTATTCGCTGTTTGCTTTTCAGGAACCCGTGGTGGCCTAATGAATCGGAGAGGGGAGCTGAGAACTTGGAAACTTGGAACTGGGGAATATGCATTATAAGTATATATACATATATATATATAGAGATGTGTGGGGTGAATATTACAAATGTTTATCTTTGCTCAATAACAACAATACCGCTGGCGGTGGCCATGTGCAAAGGCGGGGGTGCAGATCTGAAATATGCATGAGATTTTACAGGGAACACAGAGCATTTTGCAATGCAATATAAGAGAGGGAACAAGAAGAGGAGCAGCCCATCCTGCCGGAAAGGAATTAATTACAAAATCCCATACTCGAAGGATGCAGGAAACAAAGAGGCAGAGGGAGAGAGCGGCAGATAGAGCGGTGTATATAGAGAGAAAAAAAGAGGCATCGGGAGCCAAACAGGACATGGGCATGGTGTCCCCAATCACCTCGAGGCACTACTCCTCCGCCAGTAAACGAGTCGTAAACATGCAAATGGAGCACAAACATTTGCATATATGAGATAAAATCAGGCAAAGGCGAAACTAGCAAGGAATCCATTCCCATACATTGAGCAAAATGTTTATAAATATTGTACTTTGCACACTAGCTAGTTCTGGAGTCTTGTCAATGGAACTATTTCTGAAATTTAGTCTCAAATTATGCATATTTTTGGATTAAATATATATTAATTTTCTGCACAAGTTTTCGGACTTCTGTTTTCAAATGGAAGCTCACTGCGTAATGATTATTTATATAGTTTTATTTCTTTTATATAAAAATACCATTTTATTGACACTTTTTCATACTTTTTGATAAAACTATTTTTAGCTGTGCAAATCCATTGGATAAGGTCGTTAAATTAAAAGAACTCGATATGATTTCGTTTATGGGAAATAAAAGTTAATGATTTCTTTAGCAGAAGACATGGATGAAATGGTTATATGTACATATGTATGTCTTATGATATGAAATCTAATAAAAGAAGATTTTCCACTGGTTAAAAGGCTGTAGCTCTGTTTAACGGTAGCTTTGTTTAACGACTCTATCTCGCATTTTTCATATATATTAAAAAAATAAATCTCTATTTTCTAAAGAATATGAAACCCAATAAAATTGTTTTAAAATGTGTTTAAAGATATATAGAATAAAATAGAATAGAAAAGGCATATTTAGAGTGTAAAAAGAACTGGGAAATTTCCTTCCTGTGCACCATATACTCCCTGCTCCCTCTCTCCCTACCACCCCCTGGTTTCACCTCAGTAATTTGTTTTCGCCTCTTGTGAAGCTGGCAGCGGATAATCTGACGGCCATTGAGTCTAATCAGACGTTTATTCTTCAATTTAAAGTCTATTTGCGGACTTCACCATTGTTTGCTAATGGGAGCAAGCTGCTAAGTGATCATCGCCACTTGGTCATGGATGTGGATGTGCCAGTGCCCCGTGGCGCTCTATAAGATTTGCCCAAAAATGAGGAATGTTTTTCAGCTTCTGTATTTGCCGTATTTGTTATGGACTGAATGAGGACCGAAACCGGGGGAGATCTTGGCGAGAACACTACGTCGGATCGCCATTGGGGGCCAGGGTCTCACGCTCCCGCAAAGTGTCGGCTAAATGCTGGAATTAGCGCCTCTCCTTAGCACTCACATGGGCTTTGCTGTTGCTTGTTGCTAATATTATTTTTCTTTTCTTGTCTTGAAGCTTTAAACGTTTATCGCCTTTTTATCATTATCATTTATTTGTTTGCATTACTTAACACACACGCACGCACGCTGGCGAGACACCCGATCGAGGAATGACACATTAAAGACTTTAATTTTAGACGAAAACAAGAATCACTTCCTAAAACACATCAAAAACGGAAAGGGGAAAATGCTAACGAAAGAGCAAACTAAGCCTGCGGCGCTTGCCTGCTGTCTCGTGCCTTTCGGATGGATGCCTGGGATACTGCGCGAGATTATCAGAGCATCTGCTGGATGGCGATTACAACTGGTGATAGCAATGAAGCGACGACGACGACGACGACGATGGCGGCGACACGCGTCCAATGGCGGCCAAAGACAGCGCCAAACTGCGGCCAACGGGGCGTATGAAAACGAGAGCTTTGCGGAAAAGCACACGAACACACGGAACACCGAACGCCGAGCACCTCTCACGGACGCAGGATTCAACACCAGTTGAAGTCGCCGCCAGCGGCAACAAGTTGGAGGTGGAAAGAGCTTTGCTAGCAGCGTGTCAGTGTGGGAGAGCGGAAAGCTCGGCAAGAGACCGGCGTTTTGCTCGGTTCGAGTAAGAGTGAGTATTTTGTGTTTTGTATTTATTGTATTTGCATTCAATTGACGCTGCTGCGGCTGACCACAGATTGCAGCGCAATAGCCGGCGATGGTGATAGCAATTGCCTGTCACCTGCAATTGACACTCAAGCTGAATGGGCACGGTAAATGGGTTTTGTCCACTTTCAACGGGAATAAGGCATTTAATACCCTAGGGTAGGTGGATGGGTAATCACCGAAAGTGTTTAAGCTGCATATATCGCCACCTAAACTTTTGAGGGAATCAATGGAAGGATTTGGAGCTGTTAACTATGGGATTTTAGTTTACTAGCTACCACAAATACTCGATAACTGATTTCTGCTATGGTTGTAATCTATAAAGATTAAAATCTATTACGAGAACTATACTATTCATAAGGAGAGAAAAGATTATATGTTTTAAATAAAACTTCGACACGCCGAAGTTTATATACCCTTGCAATTAGAACTTGAATCACTAGGAATTAATATAAAATAAATTACTACTTACTACCCATAGTTAACTACTGATTATAGATCTAAAAATCGTCCGATTGTTCCTATGTCAGCTATATATATGTTTATATATAGTCAACCGATTCGCCAAGCTCCGACATACATATATACTAGTAGAATTATATAGAAGAATAACTACATAGTTTCATTTAAATAGCTTGCTCCTAAATTTGTTCCAAAGCAAATTTCTCTCTATACATATGATTCTCAACTGGTTCAAGCATCCCCGGAACGAAGTGACTGCTGCCTGCCATGTATTAGAAGAGTGTTGTGTTACAAAAGTTGCAAGTCATTGTTTATTAGTGTTTAAAGTGAGTAACTGATCATGCATACTTACTAGTCATAGATACTTATTGATTATAGTTACTTACTAGTCATAGATACTCACTGTACAGAATTTCTTACTAGTCATAGATACTTACTTATAATAGTTACTTACTGGTCATAGATACACACTGTTCAGAGTTACTTACTGATCATAGATACTCACTGTTCAGAGTCGTTTTCTGGTCATAGATACTCACTGTTCAGAGTTTCTTACTGGTCCTAGATACTCACTGTTCAGAATTAGTTACTGCTCATAGATACTCACTCTTCAGAGTTACTTACTCCTCATAGTTAATTACTGATCGTAGTTAATTACTGATCATAGATCTATAAATCGTCCGATTGTTCCTATGTCAGCTATATATATGTTTATATATAGTCAACCGATTCGCCAAGCTCCGACATATATACTTGTAGAATTATATAGAAGAGTAACTACATAGTTTCATTTAAATAGCTTGCTCCTAAATTTGTTCCAAAGCAAATTTCTCTCTATACATATGATTCTCAACTGGTTCAAGCATCCCTGGAACGAAGTGACTGCTGCCGACCAAGTATTAGAATAGTGTTGTGTTATAAAAGTTGCAAGTCATTGTTTATTAGTGTTCAAAGTTAGTAGCTGATCATACATACTTACTAGTCATAGATACTTATTGATTATAGTTACTTACTGGTCATAGATACTCACTGTTCAGAGTTTCTTACTGGTCCTAGATACTCACTGTTCAGAATTAGTTACTGCTCATAGATAATCACTGTTCAGAGTGACTTACTCCTCATAGTTAATTACTGATCGTAGTTAATTACTGATTATAGATCTATAAATCGTCCGATTGTTCCTATGCCAACTATATATATGTATATATATAGTCCACTGATTCACCATGCTCCGACAAATATACTAGTAAAATTATATAGAAGAATAACTACATAGTTTCATTTAAATAGCTTGCTCCTAAATTTGTTCCAAAACAAATCTCTCTCTGTACATATGATTCCCAACTGGTTCTAGCATCCCCGGAACGAAGTGACTGCTGCCGGCCAAGTATCAGAAGAGTGTTGTGTTACAAAAGTTGCAAGTCACTGTTTATTAGTGTTCAAAGTTAGTAACTGATCATACATACTTACTAGTCATAGATACTTATTGATCATAGTTACTTCCTGTTCAGAGATACTCACTGTTCAGAGTTACTTACTGGTCATAGATACTCACTCTTCAGAGTTACTTACTGCTCATAGATAATCACTGTTCAGAGTTACTGCTCATAGGTAATTACTGATTATAGATCTAAAAATCGTCCGATTGTTCCTATGTCAGCTATATATATGTTTATATATAATCCACCGATTCTCCATGCTTCGATTTATATAAAGGTAAAATTTTACGAAGGAAACCCTGGATAGTTTATTTAAATAGCCTACTCTTAAATTTGTTCCATAACAAATCTCTCTCTATGCATATGATTCTCAATTGGTTCTAACATCCCCGGAACGAAGTGACTGCTGCCGGCCAAGTATCAGAAATGTGTTGTGTTACAAAAATTGCAAGTCATTGTTTATTAGTGTTCAAAGTTAGTAACTGATCATACTTGCTAACTGGTCATAGATACTTACTGTTCAAAATTAAATAATAATAAATAAATTAAGATGCTGTGATTTTGGATTTTCCCATTACCTTTAAATTGAATATATATTTAGACTCATATTTTTTACTTCTCCCTAATTCCTATGATATTTTAAATAATTATTTACTTAAAACTCAATTTTATAGAACTCTGGTAAGTTGTTCTAAATTTTGACGCAATTTATTATTAAAATTTTAAAAGTAAACAATATATCCCAGTAAATTGTTAAAAAATCCAATAAGCCTTCATTCTAGCTGTGAATAATGTAAGACTGGTAATTGTAGATTCTGATCAGCTTATATTCTGTATTACATTTTATAGTTATGACTGCAATACAGCTGATTTGGACTCAATCATGGACGTGGACGCCACATTTCACACAGGGAAGGCGGAGGTGAAGGCACCTGCGGATGGCACTGGAAGTCGAATGCAAATTGACGCAAATTGCCAACGCTCACGTTCACACGCTCGTTGTCTCGATCGTGGGCAATCACCGGAGGCAGAGATCCGCAGAAGAACTGGGCGTAGCCCAGGTGGAACAGTTGCGGCGCCCTGAACTCCGCTTCGAAGGCATAAGGACGATATTCGAGCTGCCTTGAGTCGTGATTCAAACCAAAGAAGGAGTCGTAGGCCAACTGGAGGCCATTGAGATCGGCCAGGCGCTCTTTCAGGGAAACGGCGGCTTGTTCGCCCCTAGCGCACTTAATGGCCTCCTGAAAACCCTTTGATTCGAGGATCTGAAAGCCAATGGGTGACTCATTTCCCGAGGAATCGAAGAGCACGGCCTCCTGTTCAAAGGCATGGCTCATTTCGTGACCCAACACCGCTCCCATAAGGCTCTCCTGGAAGATGGGATGCTGGCGGTGGTCGAACAGAGGAAACTGCAGGAATTCCATGGGCACGGTTATCGTGTTCCTTTCGTTCTCATAAAATGGAGAAGTGCGAGCTTTAACCACATTATCGTTGACGTAGTAACGCCGGAGATCTAGCCTAGCGTTTGGCTGAAGGAGTCCTGCGTGCTGTAGACGGGTGCGTAGTGCCAGGCCCTCAATAAGGTTGTCCAGGAAAGTGGAATCCTTGAAATCGGCGCTTTCATAGTGCGAGTCATAAAACTCAGGGGCCTTCTCCTCCGGCAGGTTACCAACCTTCAGCTGCATGCCCTCTAACTTGTCTTCAAGGAAGGCCAACATCTCGGCACTGAGCTCTAGACGATTGGCCTTCAAGTACTTTTTAAAGGTGGCCTTCAACCTGGTGAAGATCTCCTGCAGTCGACGAGTGTCCTGCTCCCGGTTTTGGTACACACAGCGATCGTAAATATAATTCATGCCCAGCGGCAGAATGGCACGCATGTGGTGAATGCAGGACTTGGGATTGCGGTTCCTAGGCGCCGCTTCTTGCAGGACAACCAAGTGGTGTACCCTTGAATACTCCTTATAATCCTCAAATTTAACGAACCTCAGAAGCTGAACCAATTCCCGAAAATACTCGACATTGCTCACCTCGAAGATGAGGTTATTGAAAAGAGGCGAGTTCCTGCTGACCTCGAATAGCTCACTAAGGATCTCTTCCCAGGCCAGATGGGGAATTTGTTCGAACATTTCTTCGTAGGTCCATGTGTGCACAGTCGGCTCATCCCCGAGATGCTTATCCTGCAGCTCCTGTAAGTCCTTGATAAATTGTGTCAGATTATCCTTGTCTTTGTAGTAACTGTTTGGATTTTCTATAATCTGCAGGGCCCTAAGCATCCTATATCTAGCGCTTGGCTCGGGCATCGTCAACTGGACAACCCGACGCGTGGAATCATTGGTGGCCACATCCGCCCGCTCATCAAAGGCTATGCCAAGGGGTCCTGTACTGGCTCTTGCCCAACGTTGGATTGTCTCTGGAGGATCTGCGGGCGTCCACTGCACCTTGTCGCTGGTGCAAGCCTTGTAATACGTTCTCATTTGGTGGATAAGTTTCGGTGCCTGGGTATCATTAGCTTCCAAGTCGCTCTCCATGAACTCCATCAGGGCTGTGGCAAAGTGGTCCTCGACCCATTCAAAGTTGTCCACATACTTGGAGGCTGAAGTGTTGTTGTTGTTGGCGAAGCCACCGCAGGCAAAGCTCCAGAAATCCGTGCAGGGCGATGCTGTTCTATTCAGGTTCTGGCGGATCTGGCTGGCCGTAGCCCTATTGATATCCACATTCGCTTCTATGGAAGCCACCAGAGCCAGAGCCAGAGCCAGGCGAAAGCCTAGCCAATGTGCACTTTGCATGTTTGCCAGATTGCAACTGAAATAAAATTAATAAATAAGCAGCTTATCGCTATGCCCGAGTCAGAGCTTGGAGCACCTATGGTGCAGAGGGCAAAGCTAGCTGGCCGGGAACTGATAACTCGGAACAGAGCTTTCCCTGAACAAGTAAAAAGATGATTAAACCGGTTTGTGACTATATTAAGGCGAGCTTAGCATTTATTGTTAATATCGATATTTAATTACAGCACTGTTGTATTCAAACATCGAATTTAAGCTAAGAAAGTTCTCAATATAAAAACAGGTAATCGTAATCGCATGGGGACTACCCCAACTTAAGTTCTAGTCTTAATTAAACAGGGATTTCTAATGTTCACTTCCTGAACTTTTGTTTTTTTCCCTCTTTCCCGCTTGTTGTCGACTTCTTCAACTGTCCAATCTGTTTCTTCTTCAGCTTGTTCTGTTTCTTGATGGGCTTCCCTTCCAGCAAGGGCACATCTGTGTCTCCGCGTGGTGCCTTGAATTGCTTTGAAGAGGTCTTCGGCTTGGCTGACGTCTTGGCTGGCATCCCGGATGGTTTTCTTCCTTCAAGTGGTGCAGGTGAAGCGCTACCATTTACAGTTGGCTTAAGAGCTTGGGATACTGTCTTGTTTTTATCCATTTTCTGGCTTGCTTCCGGTTCTTTTTTTACCTCCAGGAGCCCTCGATGTTGTGTCTTCTTAGAGGCCTTTCCTTCTGTTTTCGGAGAAGCTGAATTACCATTGGATTGGCCATTTTTGGTCAGAGGGTCGCTCCATCTGACTTTTTTCTTCTCCTGCGGCTTCTCTAGCTTCGGCTTCTTTGGCGCCTTGACGGGTTTCTCGAACACCTTGGCCACGTACTTTGTCTTGCTCTCCTCCAATTTCTTCTTCTTCAAATCCTGATCGACATCTGTGAGACTGGGCTTACCGGCACGTTTGCCCAATAGCTTCCGGGGAACCTTGTCATCCGCTGCCGTTTCATCCTCTGCATTAGTTGGACTTTCAGTGGTGGAGGTCGTCTCTGCTTCGATGGCGGCGTCCAGCTGCTTCTCATCTTCTTCCTGCTGTTCCTTGGTCAACGGTATCGTGTTGGAGAACTTCTTCAGTTTGGCCACGTAGAAGCCGTCCATATTGTGGGTGTGCGGATAGTAGCGCTTGGTAAGGTTCAAGCTGGGATGGAAGCGGTGCTGGCGGAACTTTGTAAAGCCCTCAACGCCAAAGTCTAGCCCCGTGGGCACCAGCTTGACATTGCGCTTCTTTAGCGCATAGTCGATAACCCACTCATTCTCCTCCGGCAGCACGGAGCAGGTCGAGTATACGATATAGCCACCGGTCGACGATTTCGCGTCCACACAATCAATTGCCGAGAGGAGGAGTTTGCGCTGCAGGTTGTAACACCTTTGGACATCCACCTCCGACTTGGTGGTCTTCACACTGGGATCCTTGGAGACCACTCCAGTGCCGGTACAAGGAGCGTCGAGCAGGACGCGGTCGAATCCGGTTATGATGTTCCTGAACTTGGTGCCATCCTCGCAGCTGACGATGGCATTCACAATGCCCAACCGATGAAAATTGGCCTGGACTGCCTTGACGCGATCTCGATTGAAGTCGTTGGCGAAAAGCGTTCCGGTGTTCTTCATAATTGAAGCAATGTGCGATCCCTTGCCACCAGGCGCTGAGCACATATCCAGGATACGTTCGTTCTCCTGCGGAGCGAGTGCCATTACCGGAAGCAGCGACGAGGCACCCTGGATCATGTAGTAACCAGCCAAGTACTCGGGAGTGGCACCCAGCGGCACCTGCGAGTTGAAGACGACCAATCCCACCTTGGTCCACTTGCCTAGTGGATCCAAATTCACGCCACGGTTGATCAGAGCTGCGGCCAGGTCCCGACGACGTGCCTTCAGCGTGTTGGTGCGGATGGTTAGTGGACGGGCCACCTGAAAATGTAAATATGCATGTTTAAATAAGGTTAATAAGCTTCCTTGCAGCTTCACCCACCTCCGAGGCCTCGAGGTACTCCATAAGTTCGGTTAGCGGGAACATGTCCATCAGTTTCTCCATCAAAAAATCATTGTAGCTGTAGTACAAGCACAAATCCTGGCGCAGCAGCTCAATATACTCCCCGCGAGAACGATCCGCCTGACGATATTTCTTGAAATCAGACAGGACCAAGGTAACATCTTTTATGCGCTGCTGCACCTGCTGCAGAGTGAGATCTTCGGTCTTATCCTCCTCGTTGGGCATTTGGAACACATCCTGATGATCAACCGTCATCTGCATCTCCTCATCCGCCAGCTGAGCGTCCTTGGCCTCCCGCTTCTTAAGCTTCTTGTTTGCGCGCTCAATCGGCAGCTTGTCGTCGTCATCATCATCATCATCATCGTCTTCGTCGTCATCTTCATCGCTCTCTACCTCAGCAGCATCCTCGTCGCCAGAAATATCAAAGTCATCGTCCGAGTTGGCCTCATCGTCGGAGAGATCAGCCAGATTGCCCACATGAGCGGTGTCTTCATCCGAATCCTCTTCTTCTTCTTCATCCTCAATATCCTCGTCATCGTCCTCCTCCTCGTCGTCCTCTGCGGATTCAGCAGATTCGACTCCATTTTCATCCTCTGACTCTGAGTCTTCCTCCAATCCCTCATCATCCTCGTCTTCAGACGCGGGTTCTGGCAACTTCTTTCCCTTTTTGGGCTTCAACCAAGCATCGTTGTCGTCTGTGAAACCCTTTGGAGCAGCAGATTTTTTATTTGTGGGCGCCGGCACCAATTGTGGCACCTCCTCATCGGAAGAGGCCTCTTGGGCCTCCACCTCTTCCTCTGGCTCGCTGTCGCTGTTGTAGGCCGTTTTGCGTCGGACTTGTGGCTGCTTCTTGACACCCTTGGCCCGCTTCTCTTGCAGTTTCGCCTTCTGGACTACTTTCTTTTGCTCCCGCTTGACGAAACGCTGCTTTTGACGGTGAGACAGCTTCTTATCCTCCTCTTCCATGGGAGCTGTCAAAGGAACGCATTTGAATTTAATACCCGGCATTCGGCAAGGAACTTTGTTGGCCACTTACTAAAGGATTTCTTGCGGAACACAGGCGGTCCCTGTTTGCGCGCCTTGCGGCCAGGTCCCTTTTTGGGTTTTTCACTATATTCAGCCTTGCGACCCATATTTTTACCTAATTTAACTGGTTTTTGTAGCTGATATAAAAACGTGAGAAACTACTCCACGTGCGCTACGTAATAGTGGTGGCAAAACATCAGTGCACTATCGATTCTATCGATATATAATATTTTTTATAAATACCGATTTTTTAACAGTGGGCTGTTTAAAAAGTGCTTAAAGTTTGTACAATTACCTTTAACTTGTGTTAATTTAATTTAATTTAATTAATTTTAAAAGCTGAAACAGTTTTAATTTTTATTTCCGTTAGAAGGAACGGTGTGGTGTTTTCGAAGACTCGAGTGACGGTCATACTGAAGCGGGTTCAAACAACTGCGCCTTTTCGTAATATTTTTGCAAATCATGGCTTACCAGGATAAAATTGCCGAATTCAAGTGCTGGGCCACTAGCCTGGGCTGTCCGCCTTCTGACCTGCCCATCGACGATGGCTTGGGAAGGTAATAGCTTGCAGAAAATCATTAAATTCATTTTCTGATTGAAAACGAACCTTTGATCCCGCAAAGGATCTTCAAGTCGGGCTCCAGTCTTCTCCTGAACCAGCTGCAGGCGCGCATCCACCCGCAGGATGTTGTGCGAGAGCTGCGCGAGAACCTGCTGATCGCCCAAGTGGCTCGCTACAAGGACAAGGTAGTACCGCTGGCTTCCCGCAGCTTCCAGCCGCCGGAGCTGCAGCGATATCAGCAAATGCAGCATCTTAAAAAGCAAAAGCAGAAAGCGGACCAGCAGTTGGCGGATGCCCGAAAGGAGTACCAGAGACTAGCCGCCACTATTAAGACCAAGAGTGGGTATTCTCCGCAATGGAATGAATAAAAAATGATCCTTGTATTTCTTCTCCCCCCGCAGACATTCAAGCCACCAGTGCCACGAACCGAAAGCAACTTCTGGAGGCCAAGTGCAACATCCTCAAGAAAAAACTTGAGTCGCTAAACAAAAACTGCGAGCAGGAGCAGAAAACCAAGACCCAGATCCTGGCCACCACGCCGGTTGTGCTAAATGCGAGGAATGCCAGCGAGAAGCAAGCGGCCCGCGATGTTGATGCGGCGCTAAAAAAGCTGGAGAACTTCTACGGTGTGTGCGACAAAGACATCAATGCTCAAACCATGGCGGAGGTTAAACGGCAGCTGTGGGATGAGATGCGCACCATCTTTGCGGACACACCCAACTATACGCTGCTTAATGTCATCATGAAGATCAAGGAGGACCAGCTGCAGCACATAATGCACCTTAATGAAGCTAGGGATAACCCGACAATGACAAAACCGCCACTCAATAGCTACGAGGTGAAGCTGCTGAAGACTAAGGCCGACATGCTGGGACTGGCTGCCAAATCCCTGGCCGCACACAAGGAGTTGGAGGTGACGGAGGCTCGCTTCTGTCAGGAGTATAGCGACTTTGTGGACGAGCTGCAGCAGAAAGTGCACATTTTTAATGGCATCGATGCTGACTCTGAGGATGCAGAGGCCGCTGATGAATTGATCAGCGACTATCTCGTCCAGTACAACATGCGGAACTTCAATCGCGCCCAGAACGACTTTCTGCGCGAACATATTGAACAGCTGCGCCAAGAACTGGACGCCGGCGGCAGCCAGCTGGAGAACCACGACCTGAAGCTCGGCTCCGTGAAGCAGGTGTACGGCGACATTAACACCTCGATCAATCGCATTCAACAGGATATGGTACAGCTGTCGCAAATCAAAGACAAGATCGTATTCTGCCGCAACATGATGAAGAATCTGCTGGATGACATGCAGGCCACGGCGCAGAAACAGAATGCCAAGTCCCAGCTAATGAGCACTAAGCTGAAGGTCAGCAACATGTCCATGCTGGGCGCCGAGAGTTTCTGCTTGGCCAACGACAGCGTCTTCTCCAGCACCAAGATGGAGCTCGATTGCAGTGCCAGTATTATGAACTCATCCATGCGCAGGAGCTTTGACAACAAGACCCTGATGCCAGGAGCCGGCGATTTCACAATCCTGGTGCCACAATCCGGCGGAACAGTACCCGCACACCTGTTAGAACTGAACACCTTCGCGGAAATGCCACTCGAAAACCTGAGCTGCCTGTCACGAGCCTGGTAAATACGAGGGCATTTAATCAAATGATTTTTCACTTAATTGATGTTTCTGGCTTTCAGCTCTTTCCTGCTGTCGGCCAATCCGCTCGTCGTGGAGGGACAGGAGCTGGCCTCCACCGTTCAACTGGCGCCCGGTTATCTGCTAACACCCTTCGGCGCCCTGCAGGAAGTCCGGAAACGCATTTTGTGGGCGTCAGCAATTGCCGCGCACACGTCTGACTTGAAATTGAATTTGGAGCCGTTAATTGGTAAGCTCAAACTCAGACATTTTGTCCTCATATCCGGCCAGACTGAAGTATAACCCTCCCGTCCTGCCCCAGTTGATCCGCACGATTTGAGACTGAAGGTGAGCCGTCAGCAGGACGAAATGGACCAATTGCTGGACAACATGAATGCTATTGGGGTGAAAACCCAGTTGCAACGAGACAGGGCCGAGCGCATCTATCGCTTCCTGCTCGACAATCCGCTGCGGCGCTTCGTTCCGCCCAGCAAGCGGCACAATAATGGCTCCTTTGCCGACTACGAATGCGAGTTCAATCTCTACTATCGCATGACCACCAATGGAGGGTCGTTGAGAAGTGGAAATCACGATTAGGTTTAGCTCAAAATATCATTTTGTTCTCATTTACAAACTAACTAACTTTTAAAACTAAATGTGTTCCTTGTTGTGAACTAAAAGAAAAGGTCGTGTACTTTTGTTTTTTAAATATTTTTATTGATTTTTTTTCGTTTGTTCATTTGTTTTTTGTCGTTTCTTTTTTCTTGAATTACAAAGTCGAAATTGATTTGAGTCGTCGTTGAAGCCACACAAAAACTGGGCTCAAAAATCTTGTCTTGTTTATCAAAAGAATTTCACATTGTGCTTAAGACCTAAGTAGAGAGATGTTTACAGATGTTTTTGCCTCGATTTAATGCAAGTGTTAGTACTATCATTAGGGTATATTCGAGTTGTCACGAGAATACTTTATTGATTATTAAATAAAAAATAAAATATCTCTGTCCCCCCAGTGCGGTGGAAACGGAATGTGGAAAAGATGTATATCGTGCCTAGATTAAGGTATTTAAAACATATACAGTGCCACATAAGAAAGCAAAACGGTCGGACATTTAAGAGATGTATATCGAGAGAGAGTCTGATATGATTGGAGTTCGATTTGGTGGCCCAAGGAAACGTTCTAATAAATTATATCGATTGCTCTCGGTTCTACTCATCGCCGTCCCCCTCTTTTTCACTTAGCATACTTCTTAACTTAAGACATAATATATTGGACGTAAGAAAACGGAAACGGAAATGGAGCTACAACAGATTTTTCGTTTAAGAACTGGATTTCCGGAATCATTTGAGACTTCTAATGCGCGATTATAAGGTATATCTGTATATTATTTTTGTTTATATTTATGCATTCGAGGGCTGAGTGTGATGGATTGTGTTCTTTTTTTTTTGTTTGTTGGTTGGACTTGGAGAGCGGATGTTGGCTTATCTGGCGAAGATCAGCGCTGCCAGGATGCCCACCAGGGCGAACGAGGTGGCGGCCACTTCTTCGGCACCGGCATACGACGCCTGACCACAGGCCGGCGGGCACACGGGAATGATGGTCTCGAAGAGATTGACGCGCGCCTCCGCCTCGCCAAAGCGATTGGTGGCCTTGCACACATAATCACCATACTGACGCTTCTCAATGGTGATCACGCGGAGCGTCGAGTCGGAGTACTCGTCGGCGGTGGCGAAGTGCGAGATGCTGTAGTGCTGGTTGTTGGCCAGCTGGATGTCATCCTTGGTCCAGACAATGGCCGGCGGCGGGTACGCCTCAATGTGGCACTCCAAATCCATGTCGTATTGCAGGGCCTGTCCCAGGCGTGGTCGGGGCACCGTAATCACTGGCGCGAACTCCACCTCCACGTTGACGTTACGACGATCACCCTTGCTGACACCATTGTCGGCCACACAGTAGTAGGTGCCACGATCCTCCTTCTTCACCGACTTGATGCGCAGGATGTTGCCGGAATAGGTGGCACTATCTGGAAAGGGATAGAATGGAGAGGTTTACTTTATATTTATTCTCAATTCAAAGGTAATTATAGCTAAATACTCAAAATGCTTGATAAATAATGACCTTTATCTTTTTTATAGAATGTATACCAACTACAAATGCTCCTGCCTTTTTAATCTCGTATAAATCGCAACGAATAATTGCCCTTTTGAACTGCGGCGTAACAGTTTCCATTAACCAGAGAGTGGCAGCTTTAATGTGATCCCGTCCTAGGCGCGCGTTCATGTGCAAACACATCTATTCAATGGCAGTGGCGGCTATTAATGGAGCAGCTCTAAACGCTCTCTATTGTGTTTGTGCACCGGGGAGCAGAGTCAAAAATCCGATTTTAATGAGCCAACGCAAGGGGCACATCCGTTGGCACTTGCTGCGGGTGACCTTTTCCAGAGAAGTGTCCACGCCATGTTCGCACAAAACAATGGCCACGTTAATGACCTCTAACAAGTAAACCATTTCGAGCCGAGCATTGCTCGCCCTGCTCGCCCTGCTCGCTCTGCTCGTTTGCGTTGCCAACTAATTTGGAAAAAAGTTCGGAGTACGCCACTGCACTTAGGCATAAGTGCACGGAAGGATGGCCCAGGGACCGGGAGGTAGCCGAGTTGTGTTGAGCCACTGAAGCGTAAACGTGAATGGGAATAGGAATTGCAGTGCGAATGCAAAATGCGAATTGCGAAAGGTGCTCCGGGTTCATAACCGGAAGTTGGCTCGGCTCAGCGGGCTAAATGGAGGGTGAGATGCAGTAACAGCGAGTGCAATGAGCCTAGGGATCTGTTTGCTCTCATCCAGCACCGGGATACACACACACACACACACTCCTCCTCGGTGAGTGTCTGTGGCTGCTCTTCAAACATTTGCCAAAACAATTCAGGCTCAAACAATTGACACAAACTACATGAGAGCAAAAAAATCCACCGAGAGAAATGTAGCTCACAAAGTTGGCTGTACTTTAATAATTATTAATTGTAACTTTAGTATTTAAGTATATGTATGTATTTTTTAAGTATGAGCGGGTTTAATACGTTTGTTCATAGGTGCTTTTTAGAAATTCCTTTATTTTGGTCTCCTCGGGAAGAGGAGAAGAAAACTTGCTTCGGGAATCGATCATAACTAAGCCAAAAGTGGTCTTGATTTAATTATAAATTTGAATTGATAAACTCTAGCTAAAGTTTCGCTCGGTGTCCGAAAAAAAGAGTTGGCAAATACCGGATCGGAGTGGAGGAGGCATCGGCAGGCAGCCAGGAGAAAGAGCATTGACCAAAGCTCCGGAATGCCCTGAAAATATGTTTTATGCGAATTGCACACAAAATGCGGGCCACAACGAGAGGGGGAAGGAATACCATATTCGAGTGCGGCTTGTGCCTGCTCAACTGAAACATTTCAAATTAATTGCGCCTGGGAATCGAAGTAACACATTTCATTAAAATTGGATTGACAGAATCCCACACCCTTCCTCCTTCATTGCACTCACAGAGCAAACAGTGTGATGCCAATGGGTTAAGGCGGAGTTGAAGAGCTCAAATGGCATCTTGTCGTGATGCGGGCTTTCCATCCTCTCACAGCATAAAACAACGCAACAAAACTCATTTCAATATTAGAAAAACAAACATCTAAGCATATTTGTATATATGTATATATCCGAAAGGCAGACTTAAGAGACAGAGACCGAGGGGGGAATTGGTTTAATTAGTCCAAATGGAAAATGATTCACTTTGGATTCCAGACAAACACAGAGAGATAGGGAGCGATTGTAGGTGTCGTGAGGGGTAGACATTTCTCTGAACAATTGGACAATAATTGAAGCGATAAAAGAAGAACTACATATTATATACAATAGTAAGAGCTTAAGAGCGCCTTGTGAGTTATCAGGGAATGTTGAATTCCTCTTTAAATATTAAAGGAAACGATTAAATCATCAAAAATGCAACCTTATTTTTGAGTTTTAAACTTATCAAGGGCGCTTAACCCTTATCTTCTATATTTTAATATAAATTATTTACACTTTATTTCTTATCAATGACATTCCTGGAATTATTAAAGCTGATCTCAATGTTTCCTAACATTTCCCAAGCTTTAATACTTATAATCGTGGGGTGATATTCATGTGAATTTCAACACAAATCTCATAAAGACATAAGCTTACATATCTCTAGAAAAGATTACAATTTCGCACTACCAAACTTAAGCAGGGGAAACCAACCAAATCCGCAAAATATTCTCAGAGCTGACGAAAACAAAGGTCATTTCCATCAATTGAGAAATATACAGTCTTACAGCTCTTCCCAGCAACTTGAGTGTTCTTGAGTTTGTAAATTACGAGCGTTTACTGTGGCCATGTCAGCAGGAGGAGAAGAAGAAGCCTGGGCGCTCTAAAACAGGTTCTTTCTCTATCTCTAGGTTCTGTTTCAGATTCTGTTTCTGTTGCCTTTTCCCTTGTGCATTACCTCTGACTCCGGCAGAGTCCGATCGAAGCCAGAGTTATAGTTCACATGCAGCCTACACTAAAAATAACAAATTTCCAACTATTACCACTTTGTTTTTTCACTATTTTTAATGCCCTTTTTGACGGACTGCCGCTTACTTACTGGACTGTGAAATGATATGCAAGTCAGGTAGCAAGCAAGAGTGGATAGGAATTTCAGAGCTTCAAACATTTGTCGCCTGTTTACCGTTGCGGCATGTAGAAAAACTAGGAAAACTCCAAGTTTTTCAAGCAGAGTTGCGCATGCGCGTAATTGGGGCGTGTCGAGGAAAGTGGCAAATATTTAATTGCTAATTAGTTATGCGACGCAGACGGAGAGAGCGAACTCGCAGCTGCCAGTATCTTGAGTTCAAAACATTTCTCATTCTCCGGTTTTAATTAATGCAGAAATAATGCCTCGAATTGACTCCAAGCGACACTTCCCGAGGGTTCGAAATTCATGAACTAGAGCACAAAGTCTTTGAAACAGAACACCCCAAAAAGCAAGATGGTGCTGTGCTCTGTGTTTTGTTTGAGAATTCGAGATTATGTAAGAGTTCGTGAATCGAAAACATTGTAATGGCTTCGAATTACATAAACCAGACTCGTATATCACTCGATAAACAAGCCCAAGGCAAAGGGGTTGGGTCTACGGTGTCCAAATATGTACAACTCGGGGATCGGAGATCGGAGATCTATTGGGAACGAGAACCTTGTAGAATAACCATAACATATTGACAAATTAAGAGTGAATTTCAGTTCAATCAAACTAATGAGAGATGCCCGCATTTCAGGGATCCAACAAAAGATATATGGTATGGAGAATGCGTGGCGGAAATAGGCTATCTTCCCCGATTCCCATATCATGCCAGCCATCATCCATCAACGCCGAATGGTGCCGAGTAATTTCAGTTACTAGTGAGAGAATTAAAAACACTTTGCACCGGCCAACACAGGATGGATGATGACTCCGACTGCGACTCCAACTCCGACTCCGACTCTGACTGTGCAATCCCCGACAACTAATGAAAGGAAAACACAAGCAGAAAGAGAACGAACCCAGGCTACAGAAGTAGAAACATAAACAGAGCTCGAAGAGAGTGCAGCCCGGAAAGATGGAAACTGAAAAGGTAATGAAAGCCCCGACAAAACAGCCAGGCGAGGCGAGGTGAGGCGGGTCCACACATTTGTTTTAGGCCGGCTTCCTTCAAGGGAACCTGTCTGGCGAACCTCTCAGGCGAAATGAAAACAACGCTGCTAACGCAACAACACCCCGACCAAGTCCGAGTCCTATCCTGTCCCTTGGGCAAACAGCCAGAGAGATAAATTGTCAGTTGAAGAAAAAGGAAGATTGTGCAAGTTAAGGGAGGTGAGAATTGGGTTCCTGCCGGCGAGTAGGAGGAGGTGCGAAGTGCAGGTAGATGGAACCCGGCCTGAAAGGATGCACCAAACTCCTTTGTGCTCCAGAGGAAAATGTGGAAAATGCCTGGGAAAAGCAGCACCACCAAATGGATACAGGTGCACCGAGCATGAGCATGGGTGTAGGTGTAGCTGGGATTGGACTATGTGACCCGCTGAGGTCTAGGTCTTGGCGCTTGAATGACTCTTAGCGTTAAATGCATCAAGAAGGGCGCTCGCTTGGAAAATTTGTGACCCTACCAGAAGGTGGAAAGGGTTGCTACTCTTCATTTTTCACAAACTACTTAAAGCGAGGCAAACGAGGCACACCGCCATTTTGTGAAGTAACGAAACAACCACCAAAGGAGGAACAGGACGCGGACACGGACAGGGACAGGGACAGGGAATGGGAATGGGACTGGGAAGTCGGGGAAAACACCAAAACGACGGGCATGCAAAAAATATGCGCACCAATCACAGGACCAGAGACACCGCCCTTCTCTCCCCTTCGGGAAAACGTGTGACGAACGGCGAACTAACCGAAATAAATTTGATGCCGCCGGAGCAGCGCTTTCCCTTTCCCAGGAAGTCTAGGTCTTGTCCTGCGGCCATATTTGTTTTTTCTCCGCATTCAATTTCCTGCAATTTGGCGGCAAGCTCGTCTTCCTGCCCAGGAAAAGCTGCTCCGCTCCGGAGCTCTTCAAATGTCAACTGAGAGTCGAGTCGAGTCCAAGGTTCTATGAACCGAACGTTGCCATGTGGAAATTATGAATGTTAATGCAGCGCGTCAACAATGTGTGACTCATCATAATTTAAAACACGGACTGGCAAAGGCAGTGGCAGAAGCCGGAGCCAAATGCCGAAGCGGGTGCGCTTTTAATGACGCTTCGCATTATTTGCGCCTGCTGCACACACTCCTCCGGCCTAAACCCAAGCCCAAGCCCAAACCCAAACCCAATCCCAATCCCAAGCTCATACCCCCATCGAAAGGAAAACTCAGGCACAGCAGCAGCCACCCGACATATCATCGCTCCAGGGCATGTCACAGATGGGTCATGTTTCTCTTTCCTCCTCTCCAGAGTTCGTTGGTTCGCCAGAGAAATCCAATTAAA